TCAGTAGGTAGATTTCCATATCTAGCCTACCTTAACTTAAATTTAATAGATATCTACGGGTATCAATAGTTAATGTTATTCATTTGTTATTGCCGTTAGTGCTACTTATTCAAATGTAGAATCTTAGAAAACATCTCCATAATATTTATTTTTAATAATAATGGAATTTTAAGTAAATAATAAAACATAATTTTAGTAAAATTTGAATAAATGTGTAAATTTGGACCAAGAAAAAATTATAAATCAAAAGTAGTTTCAAAAAATTAAAATACAAAGTCCCCTTATGTTGTTCGTTACTATAAACTAATTATGGCATCATTGACACAACAATTGAAATTTCTCAACGATTGAAAAAGAAATACTTGAAATAATATTTCTGTGGTTGTTTTCCAAAATCTGATATATCACTTTTAGCATTTTTAGAAGAACAAAAACAAATAAAAATATCAAGGATATCATATGGAAATTGCTATTTTTGAAGTGCAAAAAGTAAAAATCTTGCCTATAAAATTGACTGGTAATTTTTTGTCACGTGAAAGATAACATTATCCTCTATACAAATTATAAACAATTTCAAAAACCCATTTTTTTTTTTATAAAATATCAGCTTTTGGATTATGAATCACAATCCTAAATAAAAAATGTATATACTCGCGACAATTAATGAATATTTTATTTATCAATGAATGCCAGAAGAAGAAAATTTACATTATTCGAATCGGATTTACACACAAAATTGAGATGATTGCATATACTCATCTAAGAAATCACCTTTCATTAATTTACTGGTATTTATGTAAGGTCACGGTCAGTCATATCAATACCAGCGATTAGTACAGTTTTATGTATATATTATAACAATCATAATAATATAAAGATTTTTTTTAACACCTTTAACAAGTAGAACGTGGAAAACTCGTTATACTATTGATGATTTGCATTTAAGAAGAAACCAATTGCAATAGTAACATCAAAAAATAATTACCTAACCACCGCATTGAGAAGGTATAGATATTTTATCGCTTTTGATAATGTAATAAGAACATATGTAAACTTACATGTACAGTTATGTATTAATATATGTTTTTTATTATCAAGGTAGCAAAAAACACTTCCCGAATTAATGCCGTTACATGGTTTATGTTTTTATTTTAGTAAAATTGCACACCTCAACTTTAATTACGAAACGTGCGATTAAAAAAAGTCGATTGATATCGTAAAGTGTTTTAAGAACTACGTATTAATATAGCACGTGTTAAATAAAAAGAAAACATCTATTGCTTAAGAACTTACTAGATGAATTAGAAAAAATGTTTTCTTCAATTTGATTATCCAATTGAACTTTAATCTCTAAAGTTTTTATTGCCATCGCTCTCGAGTGTTTTAAATAAAGCCAATCGATGTTGTCCATTGTACTGATTATATTACATTATTGTCCAATATTTTATCTCTGGACGCGTCACGCAAGGTGTTATAAATTAGAGCTTGACACAACTTATCTCAACAAATTAATGCTGCCATAATAAAATAACGTTCTAGTTCTTTTTAAATCATAAAAAAAAAATTCATATTCTAAAAAAAAAAAAAAGAACCTCCAAGATAATAGACAAGTAGTCAAACATTAGCTAATATTTGAGCAAACACCACTCAAAACACATACTAGAAAATAAATATATTAATGTGTATCTCGATTGGAACTCAATATAGCAACTGATGAATATTTATCTAATCAAGTCCAATTCTAAGTGAAATATTTTGTTTGGTACGAGAAGGGAAATCGTCCCGTGGGCGAATTTAAAAATGAACTCGCCCGTTTTATTTTCGTATAAAAACAATGCACCAAAACCATGTTGCACCGTATTTATTGTGCGTGTTAAATTTACGCTCGTAGTGATGCCATTAGCACTGGCGAGTCAATTTTGGTGATTGTGTCTTTTTATTTCAACGGCATCGGAACCCTCAGCTCAGAAAGTATCGAAAATATCGCTAATTAAACAATTTGTACAACAACGTGTTGATCGGCTCAATTGACTTTACCGCTAAGGTGACCTTTGCACAACACTGACCGTGACAAACAGTGTAGATGAATATCGACCAATTAGCTGACTGGAAACAATTGATGTCAATATGATTATTACTATTGAACGACAATATTAGAGGCGAAAACGAACTGATCATAATTTTAAGCATACGCACCTAGATGCTACGAATTAAACGATTTTTTAATTTTCCCATAGTATAACAACGCGTGGGAGAGTAGAGTGTAATCCACGTGAATGACTACATCGAAATCGATGTTGCGTCATACAATCGCCCGGGGTGAAGGGCGAGGTGCTGCAAACAATCAGAGAGGGGGTGAATCACTAAACAGCCGTCCGGTCACCACCTTGCCCGCCACGGTAACGGTGTAAGGGGTCGTTGTCCCGTACTACGACGAGTAAGTTTTACATATAGTTTGTTTTGTTTATTCATTCATTTAAAATAGATCTTGGACTCAATAGGAATTACTTATTTTCGACATTATAGTAAACAAATTATTGTGGAACGTTCTGCGCCTACACATACTCAATAAACCCGTTTTGGCAGGCTCGTTTCAGACTACGTGCCACATCGATTTACATCTTAAAACAGCGTTTGGTTACTATTCAATGGGCTAATGAAACGTTTTCAGCAAATACAATCGATTGTCAACAATTCGAGAAAATTTTTGTTTGCCTAAACTTTAAACTAATGACATAGTTATTTAGCGATAATAAACATGGATAATCAATAGGTCGTGTGTGTTGAAGCTAAACGTATACCTAAGTAAAATCAAATGTAATCAAAAATGAAAAAAAAAAACCAAAAGCTTGTGTTCCTACGTACATGGTAAATATGCAGGTGTATTTCAAAAACATAGAAATATGTAAATATACAAAATGAATTTCATTTTAAGTAAAAATTTTGTTATATTTTGCTGCGAAAGAAAAGCTAACAAAGCAGTGGCTAATGCCAAATTTTTACAAAAATGTTCTTTTTTAACAACCAACAACGTTGAAACAATAGAATAAGAGAATCTTTTGCTGTAATTATTATAAAACTAGACTTTGTTAGTTCATTAAAATAAATTAACGTTGAACCGTTCGATTGTTACCAAGATTTGACAAATTATACGACAATTAGAAGACACACGCGACGCACAAAAAACACTAAGGTATTTAAAAACATCATAACCGTGAAAATGTTGTTAAAGAGCAACAGATAATTCATAAGGAATCGTCAGAAATTTAACACAAAATAAAAACAGCTAAAGTGTTTAACTAACTAAAAATTAAATTGTTTTGTCACCGAAAATTACACAACAGCACAGAAAATAAATGATTCACTATCCTAGTATTTTAAAAAAGTATTTAATAATGATAATGAATGATCAATAAGCAGGCAATTTTATGACTGTATACAAAGAAACTGAATGAAATTTAATCTGAATGTTTAGATATACTTTGATGTTAAAAACATAAAACAAACAAACAATAAAAAATAGACAGCTTTTGGAATTTGGGTTAGAAAATTTTAAAAAGGTGGAAATATTTTCTACCACGAACGCACAATTTATATTTATTTTAGAAAAATTTCAATATATGAAATTTTCCTCTTAAGTTTACAGTCAAAATAAAAAAAAACATAAAAAAGGTGTTTCTAAATTAAAAGCCTTGGCAAGTTTTATTATTTACTAGAATTATTTTTTTTTATATATATTTACGAAATAAATAAACTTCCAGATAAGTAAACTTTGTAACTGATTTATTAGTATTTAAAATTACAGCCCAAGATTATAAATTGGACAAATATATAATACATAAATATTATGATCTTAAGTAAATACAACATCTACCCTTTATATAGACGTCGTTAAGGCATAGAAAACTTTCTAATCTTAGTGTGTATATTAGCTTTTTCGTTAATGTCATCCAATATAGGCATAATTCAACTAAACCAATATTAAAGTATCTATTTTTATAACATATAACTTTTCTGAATATTAAATTATAACTAAAATATGTCGGGAAACGTATAAATGATATCCAACAAAAAAAAGTTTACCTCATTTAAATTGACCAACTTGAAGAAATTCAGGAGTTAAATATTTTAGTAAACCTTCGTGGACTTATTTCAAGTTCAGATGAAAAAATATTTCAAATTAACTTGAATAGAACTTAAATAATCCTTAGTATAAAAAAATCGTCCAACTTTTTATAAAATACTAAAATATTAAACAATTAAATTCGACATTAAATACTTAAAATAACTATCAAGAGATGTTCACAACTTTAAAATATGACAGTTTTTATAAAACAAAATGAAATTAACTACACTTATACTTATAATTTTGAGTAAAAAACTTTATAACTTATAAAAAGGACTGTAAATAATATGCATTTTTTACGATTTATTTGGGCCACTATAAGTTAGTACAATTCACTTGAGAATATAACACCAATATGTATTTTGGAAAAATACATTACTAAGTTTTCAAATCAATTAATAAAAACTTGTACTGGTATGTTGACAAAATGTATAAATGCATACAATTCACAGTCCTACTGATGAGTATTAAGGATATAAAACATATCTACTCTCCTAAGCAAAATGTAGCGCTTTGACTTCATATTCTTTAATTAATTGAATTATCAATATTTATAAATACAACGTTGTCGGTCGTCGTAAAGTATTGACGTACCGGCGTAACGTCCACGTGGATTTCAATTCAAAGCAACTGACAAGAAGCCGGCACTTAGATATACCGATTATATTAAACTTTTTAACCCTCATCTTTTAATTTATAACACAACCTAATAAAAAAATACATAAAATTAGAAAATCACGAATCTCTGTTAAAGAAAAGCCTATGTAATATTGAAACAACTTATGTCAGACTTAAATTATTATTTTTTTATTGCCTACAATTAAAACCTGAACTATATTTAATTATGAAAGTAAAGATATTGAATTAAGCTTACCTCCGTTTTTTAATAACTTATTTCGGAATTTTTTTATTGTGATAAAAATTATCTTTAAACAGTCAACACAAACTATGTATCACAGTGAAATTAAAATTGCTGACTTTAGAACTACGCTCCGCCAAAACACGAGTGAAAAAACTGTAATTACGACGGATAAAAAATAACAATATTGTTAAAATACTATCTCTCGGTATCTGCGGAGGCGATTAAGTAAAACCTAGCGACTAGTCTATCAGCACGCGTTCCAATGTGAAATGATATTATAGTTGTACTACACAACACGCGCTCCACACGCGATTATTACAAGACCCAAAGAGGCGACGGCGACGACCGATGGAAATAGAAACAAGGCTGGTTTCGCGCACTTTGGTCACCCCAGGCAGCTGCGGCGGCGACTCTCATTCAGTTCATACTAAGTATCGTGCTGCTCCTGGTGGTAATGCAAAATATCATAACTGGATATCTTTATCCGACAAACGATAAGTTGACTGTTATTTATCATTGAAAGTACTTATTGTTATCTTGAATATAGAAGCCATAAGTTTTGAGGTTAACATAAAGCGTGTGAAATTTAATTTCAAACAATTAAAAATAATATTGTCAAAAGGCTTTGTTAAAAAAATTAATTCTTGCAAAAATCCAAAATAAATAAATAAATGGGAATTACTTTTTAGTAAAACTTATAACATAATATCATAACAAAACGGTAGCACAGTGGAATCGCGGCACAGTGTGAGCGTAGCATAGTTGGGACAAGTATAGATGATATCTGACAGTGATTAAAATCACTATCATAAGAAACGCTTCGATACAAATCTGTAGATAATATTTAATTTTAAGAAATTGGCATATTATTCAAAAGCAAAATTCTAACTTAAAAATAATTAAGGAAACATTGTAAAAAAATCATTGCCACTGGCAATGATTTTTACTGAATCTTAAAACGTTCGTCGCATTCGTTGTTTGATAAAATTGGCAATTTAAGCTGATTTAAATGTTAAAATTACTTTTTTCGGCTTAAAAGAAAAAAAATTGAAATAAATTTAATTTTACATTATATGTCAATTAGATTTATATAAAATTCATGAAAATCAGTGTACTCCTCTTATAAGTCATATTAAAATAAATTAAAATACAATACCAAGAATTTTAACACAGAAATAGCATATTTTTGAATATGAAACCATTTTTACTATATCTCAAAAAATTTTTTTCATAGTAAGGTATAATACATAAGCTTAAATTTAAGATTAAATATTTCCGTTAAATTTTCAGAAATTAAGTTTAACCTGTGTGTAAAAATTATTATTTTGAATCCCCACTGTCGGCAGGTAAAGGATTAAATTTTCAAAAAATTTATATCATATGAAAGGAAAATATCTAAGGCTTCAATATAGAAAAAGAGTTATTTTAATTCATTCATTTTTCAAAAAGTTATGACAGTCTTAAATATTTAAAATTTCATGTTAAACAGTGATTTTTAGATAATAATTACATTTTTCGTTAAATTCCGACAGCCATTTCCCATAGAAGAAAAAATGTCGGGACAAATTTTTTTTTGAACTTATAGTATTTATTGTAAGATTTAATTTGAAATATATTTAAAGCTCAGTGTATTTCTGGAACATTTTCAAAAGTTATGTTGAAAAAGTTATACCTTTTACTCGTATTTTTAAAAATTTAAACTCCCCTGTATAAAGGGAAATGGTTCAATTAAAAAAAAATAAATTATATTGGATAAAGGTAACACATTTAGAAACAAAAATTTGTATTAATCCATACATTTTTCAAAAAGTTATAGTAATATAAAGTTGAAAAAAAAAATTTGAAATCATAAATTTTACCACCGAAATTGCATTTTTTTAACTACGACAACCATAAAAGATATGATAATTAAAAAAAAAAAATGAAAAATGTCGAAATTTTGTGATTTTAAAAACCGTATTTTTTGGAGAATTTTCACCATTTACGGGGAAAATTTTTTCATTTTTGAGGGTTGTTTTCAACTAGATACGGTTTATGATCTTTTGACGTATCGTTGAGAAAAATCGGTTCAGTGAGAGCTGAAAAAAGTGGTTACAGACACAAAAAAAAAAATTAATAAATAAATAAAAACATCATGGTAAAATTAATATCTTCTCAGATTTGCATTAAAGCTAAAATTAATAAATAAAGTAAATAATAAAAAGTTATCTTACTCGTGTGTTTAATAGAGTATTTTGATTATCTAATTACCGTTAAACTTAAATAATCAATAATGGTAACGACTTTCACATATTTTTATAAAAAAGTAAATTTTTGATACATAATTATTTTTGTATAAGCTTTAATTTAACTATAAAATATTAAAAATATACACTTTAACTTTTTGTATTTTATTATTTTATATTAGTAAAAAACAAACTGTTTTAAAATGTATGATTAAAAAAATTTTTATTTGAAATTTGTAACATTTCGTAAAAAATAATAATCAAGCGCTTGCAATTATGAATATTAATAATAGGGGTACCTATAAAAAATAGTTCTAAGAGTATTGAATAAATAATATGCATAGGCGAAAAATGGAAATATTTTGGTTATTTAGCACTCCTAAACAGGTTTCATTATTCTTTTAATGTTTTGCAAGGAATTTCCTATTAATGTCATATCCATAAGTCTTTATTTTTTTTTTCTTATACTTGTTTTGTAATGCTTCAAGTATACAGGGTGTTCAGTAAGTAAGGAAACAAGTTTCTATTGTTCTCACTGTGTATAACAATTGACCTATTTCCTAATTACCTATTTCTGAACACTCTATAAATTGTAGTGTGAACATTTTTCATAAAAATAAAAAATAATAATGACGGAGTGTTCTCTATTTTACACTCATAACAATGATAATAAGCGATTATCATTGGTTTTGATTTTTTTAAATTTCGTGCTGTAAAATATTGCCTATAAATTTCAGCTGTTTGAAATACTACAAGCGGTCGATTATCGAAGGTCTGTTTATAAAACTTTTTATTCTTAGAAATAGCATAGAAGCATTTTTATATTGTTTGTTTATAGGAAAAACAAAATGTCAGCTAAAAAGAACTAGGGTAACTGTTCATTCACAGGTGAACCAATGAACGAACAGTTAAGTATTTTTCATCTTTTAAAGTTCTTTAAAAACACTAACACGATTTATTACAATCAAATTAGAAATTTTGTTTTTTAAACTTAGTGGTGTTTATGCTCTAGTATTTTCACTCAAAATGATAAAAATAAAAATGAAAAATATTTTGTTTATCTAGATATATTCATCTAAATAAGTGTATAATTCACCTAAGCATTCAGATGCTAGTTTTCTTAATTATCTAGATGAGATACAAATTCAATCATTTTTATTTAGTTATTGTATCTAGACATCGCTCAACTCTGGTAAGAAGAATGACGCGTTATCATGACTTGGCTTGTGCTTGATACAACTTTGTACTTTACATCATAATAAAAATATCATAAGCATACATAATATACACAGTGGAATACAATGATTAAAGTGATGGTGGACGGATTCCCCCTTCTTATTTGGAGAATAATCTAGCGTCCCTTTTAAATCGAATCCTAAAATTCCGGAAAAGCTTTAATTTGAGCTCTGAAGAGTGAAAAGCGTTATTATAAGAAATTTATTCAAACGGTCAAAATTTCAAAATTTTTAAAAAAAAATAACTAAAGAAGGATGTTTACATCCATTCTTCAGATAACATTTCCTCCTGATATTTAATATTGTGAGAATATCAATGTATAAATAATCAGTTTTACATCTTTCTATTTCTTAAACTTAACATGCAACAGAGGATGGTAGCACTCTTTCACATGTTAGGAAGTCAAAGATGGTTCTTGGCTAGGTCAATGATGGACGGGATGCATATTATGGTCGGCTTGCACCAGAGACCAGACACCATCACTGAGATAGTCACAAGAAAAATCCCACGGACAATTGAACCGTTTCTACTCACTAGGCCAAACCGACCCCATAATAATTTATAAATATCTATTTTATAAAAAAAAAATTAGTATGATACTCACCTTTGCTTATATATTTTTATAAAATATCTTGAATTTTAAAAGTACTTTCTACATCTGATTGAAAAAAAAACGTTCGACCGACTTTCTTGGATTAACAGGTGTAATCGATAATAATTACAAATTTTATTTTTTAAAAGAATGCATACATAATGTATATAATATATTATTATGTAATAATGATTTTTTTTACGATTTATGAACGTAATGGTAAAAAAGTTAATAAAGTTATCTCTCGATAACTTATGAGAACAATGAGTTGAAAGACCGAAAGTAAAAATTAATTCAAATAAATATAAGCTAGAAATATAAGATCATTAAAAATATTTTTCTCAGAATAGATTCCCCTCGCTAAAATACATTATTGATTAGGACCGTATTATCTATTAGAATACTGTAAGTACTATGTCTACTAACTTATTTTCTAAGCATATTTTTTGTCCAGCACCCTGGTCATAGAACTATTTTTATAAAAAATGCCATAATCATATAATTTTGAAGAAATTAGGAAATCTAATATTTCTTTATCTTAATTTATTTTTATTTATAACTGTATAATAGTTATACAGTTAACTTTGTCATCACTTAAGTTGACCTAAGTCTTAAAAAAATTATTAAAATATTTGAAAAAAAGTCATCAAGTAACTTGATGACTCAATATAATTATAAAAATTATTAATTAATTTTTGTAGCCTGTCCAAAATATTTGATTAAATATCACTAAGACAACACATTCTTTTTGTAGTTAATCCGTTTTACATGCCGTAATGTGTCTCACTGCCTAGTGGTGATGTTATGTTACGTGGAATTGCATCAGCCCATTCATAAAACACATGTATTGATTCGAACACAGTTGCCAGAAACGTAGACACGTTGAGCCACTATAAAAATAGTAGTCATATTTTGATGTATTGTTTATTTAAATAAGCTATCTGAGATCTTCATTTTAAGTAAATTATAGAAAATGTATTTTATGGACTTATATTATAAAATTACTAAGTTTCCGTCAATATATTGCTACTTTTTTATTTATCAATTCAACGTTGTATAGATATTTTATTAATCTTTATCTGACATGGGTGGCAGGATATCTCAAAAAGTAAGTATAGATGGGGTATTATACAACTTGGGAATATTTTATATTTTTAGTACATAGTTTTTTAATATAACAGGATGCTGCCAAAAATAAAAATAAAAAAAATTACATAATTAAAAAAGTTATTCTGTCAGCAAAAATAATTTTGTTATAAAAAAAAAACAAAATTTTATATATTTATAATTATGTATGTATCAATGTTTATTTATTAATTTAATTGTGTGTATACATTTTGCTTGAAAAAAAAATTTAGTCACTTTTCAAAATGTATTAATATTTTAAAATTTTACTTAATGTTGACTAATAATAGACCCTCAAAAATTAAAAAAAAAAACTCCTAAATAAAAATTTTAAATGAATAGTTTTTATACAAAGTTTTCTGGTTGCTTAAATTATTCTTACTCCCTTGAAAATGGTAACATATGTCCAGCTGTTTGCATACACTTTTAATTAAGTATTATTTAAGATATACATAAACAAGGTGAGTAAAATTGACTTTTAATATTTTATTTTAAAAAAAAAAGAAACTTTTTTTCATTATCAGAATAGTTTCCGGGGCCACTTGAAGCAACATTGCGGGACACAAGTTGCACACCTCTAGTACCAGACCTATTTATATATCTAATAATTACTTCAACTATACAGAGTGATACTTTTGTCATTGACCACTTCATAAATCAAACAATTTTTATTTTGATTTCTTTTAGATACAAGTTTATTTTTATTAATCAATCAAAAAGTATTTTTATGTTCATCCCTTGATCATAAAGGTGTTAACTTTATTTTTTCAAATATTCATGATTAACTAGCTTATTTATTAGAAAATGATATAATTAAGAAAGTGCTAGTCGATAACAACTTATGGACTATTATTTCGGAAGTTATTTACACTTTTTAAACTAGACGAGAGGAGAAGCGTAGATAAGAAATATCTAGTAATAAATATAATGACAACTACTTCTCACTCCAGCCAATACTGTAAAATTGTTAATAACTTCTGAAATATTGATCTATAAGTTGTTATTAAATAGTCATTTTCTTAACTAAATTATTATCATTAAGAATATTTACAGATTCACCCATGTCTTCAATTTTGTGTTGACGCTTCAAACTCGTTTTAGAATTTATTTCCGAATCAGTAAACACACGCCCGAAGTTATAAATATACTGTCGGACTAACTCATTGTCCGTTTGTTTTAATATCGGTAATCGAATGATAACCGATAACGCCAATATGATTATTTTTTGTTGTTGATGTTATTGTTGTATTGTTATTGATGTTGTTTTTGTCAGTGTTTAGTTCTTATTGTTGTTTTCGACATTTTAATCTTTCTTTTTTGCACCGGCGATTTTTAGAAATGCCGGATATGGTTTTTTGACATATTGTAATGTTGTCTTCATTTTTCATGGTATATAATAGGTAATCAATTATTCTTTATTTTCTGAATATTTTAATTTCTATTGCTTATTTTATACATTCGTTTATTAAAATGAGCTTTTATTGACTTTGTCAAATTTTATTTTGTGTCCATTATTTGAGTTGTTTTTAGCTACTGTGGATTTTCACATCCTTTGGTAACTACGTCTTTTTCATTTTCTTTTATTCTTGTTATTAATGCTCTTCATGATTGTTCAATGTATGGTTTGACACATGAACACGGCATTTCATAGTCACCTGGTGTTTGCATTTCGGGTAATTCGTTCTTCTGAGTAATGTTACTTTGACGGTGTTCAGTTTGAAGATGTTTCTTATTTTTAATTTACTAGTATTTATTGAGATATGGTACGTAATTCATTGTATGTATGGCAATATTAAAGTTCCTTCTTTATTGTTTTCTTTGTTTTTAAATTCGTTGTTGCTTATTATATTTTTTCTTCTTTTGGCTTTTATTTTTTTAATGCCTTGATTATACTTTTCATTCTATTTATGAAAGTTTCATCATTTTATTCTATAAGTTTTCAGTGATACATGTTAAATTGATTAACTATACAAGAAACAGGATCTGTTTAAAATGTTAACTCATCAAATACAACTTTAATCGATTACAGTAACTTTTCAAACTGGCATAAGGTACTTGTCAGTTGGAAGCATCTTTCGTCCAATTCAACTGCGAAATTACTTAATCTATGTATAAAGAAAATAGCTGTGCTTTATATAACATTTATTATCATTGACATATAACATTTGGTTTTTAATGAATTTAAAAAATCATCCGTTATTACACAGGTCAATTTTTATAGATCAGAAGTATTCTTATCGACAATATTGTTTGAAGAAACAGTCACATGTTTATTAGTACGTATTAGGCATTTTAAAGAAAGCTTCTTCGTCTATTACAAGAACTGCATAATACTAATAATAATTTAATCTTAAATTTCTGAAACTTTTGTATTTAATACAAAATTCTTTTAATTGATTTAAAATTATTATATTTGGATCAATTGCATTTATAAAATTGATTGTAAAAAAAATAAAATAAAATACATTAGTACAAAAAAAAAATAACATATTAACAAAATCCTACACAGTAGTATATTGCTTGTTCTTCAATTGTAATTATTAAGTTCTTGTCAATTTTTGAAGTTATTAATTAAAAAGTTTTGTTGCAAGATATATTTTGAAAAACTGAATTATTAAAATAGATGACATTATTGTAATATTATGTTTGACATTATAAGATTTAATTTATGTTTAAATACTTTAAATACATGTGCTTATATGATAAAAAAAATGTAATTCTTAATATGTAAGAGTAAAAAGGGAAGGGTCTAGGATCAAATTCCCCCAGAATCTTAAAAATGCCTAAATTTTGATACAAGATGAAAGATGTTTGAACAAATTTTCCTATGTAAAACTTCTCTCAAAATTTAATTTAAAATATACCACTAACTCATAGATAATATTTTAACTATATCATAAGTCATAATAAAGATGGGGTTGCTATACATTAAAATAATCTAATACAATTTATTATTTCATAATACATAACAATATAAAAAATATAATATAATGAGTCAGTAACTAAATTTTAACATTAATGTTATATATAAAATCTTTAAATATATAATCAAAAAAAAGCTTAAATTTTTATAACATGGAATACAATTATTTTACCAAATATATTTAATACCAATATAGTTATAAAAAATTTCTGCATGTACATTATAAATGTAAATTTATTTAAATTTATTATGTAAAATTGAGTTCAAAAAATTAGTTGATCTTACTGTATAAATTATTAATATATAATTAGTAAAAATAAGAGTGTTATTTAACATTTTATAGATAATTCAATTTATATAAATTTTCAAGATTAAAAAAAAAATTTATACAAAATTTTAGGCTAAAATTGTTTTAAAAAATGTATTAGAAATTGTTTTTTAATCCAATAGGTATTTTTACAGTTTAATTTGCAAAAATGTTCTTACAAAATTATAAACTGATGTCTTAGTGTTTATGTAAAATATTCTTTTGACATACATTAAAGTTGATATTATTTTTATAGCTTTCAACTAATTTAATAATGTTAGCTATATTTACACCATACTTAAATAAAATGTTAATATAATTTTTGTGGACATATTAATCATTCAATTGGTGACTGAATAACACTTTCAGATGATAACAATTCCTATTTGAAAAAATAAAAATGACCAATAATGAATATCATAGTTTTTTAATATAATTAACAGCAACAAAACTTACTGTGTTACTTCTTATAGTTATGTGAACTAAAAGAGAAGCTAAAGGAATATCTTCTGAATAACCATTTTTTAAAGGAACACTGCGATAGCCAGATCTCAATGAAATAATCTAAAAAGGATCAAATAGTTTTAAAAGTCATTTATAAATAAAAAAAGAACTGTATAACTAACAGGATAAGTTCCTTGACCAATAAAATTTGGATCACCAAACATATCCTCATCATTAACAACAAATCGAATAAAAGCAATTGCTGGATTTGTTATCTCAAACTCTGACGTCTCATTCCAAACAGGATTAAATCCATTGTCCGCTAAAATAATATAAAATAGATTTTTATAGTTTCATAAAATTAAAAGAAACTATTATTCTTAAAAATTAGCTTACTGATAGTATGAGTATTTAATTTTAATCCAGAGTCTACTTCTGCTCCGTGCACTTCGACTACGACAAATGGATTTGAAATACCATTACGGCCAGGTCTACCAACATGTCTTCCAGCTATTACACAAATTGTTACAGACAAAGTTTCATCCATCCAATTGTTTGTAAAAGTATCACTTTCTTCAAACATATAATCTGGTTTTAACACATAGCCACATCCTCCATTAAGTCGAAATTTAGCTTGGTTTAATTGCATAGCTTTATCTATAAATAAACATGCATGTTTATTCTATTTTAATTTTATTGTATAAAATATTTATGTTTAATTATTAACCAGGAGATTGGTAGTTTAGTGCAGCCATCTGGCAACCAGTATTCCAAATATTTATAGGAGAGTAATTTGAGGAATCAATTCGTTGACCTTTTGGAAACACTCTACTGAATTGTATTTGATGATACTTAAAAAAATAATTGCTTTCTTGGTGACACATAATTTTTTCAGCTTTATTTTCAGGAAAGGATGACATTTCATTGTACAAAAAACCACGTTCACGTTGTGATTCTAAACAAAAAGCAACTGATCTACAATAAATAATTAAATCTGACATTTCCTTAGCTATTTTCAACTGCCGTTCCATTTTTTTATTTTCTGTTTCCTAAAAATAATTTTTTTATTAAATATTTTTCATTTCACACACAAAAAAATTTTTTACTTTGGCACTGGCATTATGAGCAGTTTCAACAATTAGATTTTTCCATTCTTCCGCTTGTTCTCGTGATACTGAACCCACAACAAAAGGTGTACAAGCATTAGACATTTGTATTTTGATCATCCATTCAAGTTTTGGTTGATTTAACTTCCCAATTTCAACTAGTGCACCAGTCAGGTCCAAACTACCTTTTTGAGAACTGCCTAAGAACATAGACTCAGTCGACTGTTATAACATACACATAAATATACGAAAATTAACTTTAACAAAAAGGATAATGTAGGGTAAGATCTTAAAATATTTTACAGAAAAAATTACCCCACTATCAGAATTCTCTATGTGTGCTTCATGTAATTCTTCAACATAATTACTAGGGAACCAATGTTGTCTTTTGCCACCATAATCACCACGCCACCAACCACTATCTTGCTTGACAACATTAGTGATTACAGCGTGTTTACAAAATGATAGTTCATCTTCTTGTCGCCCTTCATAATCAAAAGTTGCTTTTACTGTAACCTAAATTAAAAAAAATAACGATGTATACCAAATAACATCAGAAATTTAAGAGTCCAACACCACATAATAGTTCTCAGAATAAGAGGATATTAGGGATAAAACTTTTGAAAAGAATAATTACCAAATGAAAATATAGTATTGGAAACTTATGAACCCCCCATGACAAAATCTTAATAATAATAAGTATAATAATTTTTCTAGTTTGGTGTAAATAACAAATATATCAATCAGTTAAATGATACACTAATATTGTACATTTGAAAATGTATTGTATACAGTCAGGTTTAGTAACCGGGTAAATATTGGTGTCTCTTAGTTAAAAACATGGAGATAATTAGTTTTGCATTAGACAACTTGAAAGAACATAAAACAAGACATACTTTTTTAATGAAATTGCTGGGATCCATGTAACCAGGAGTACTTGATATAGACGAATCATCAGTTTCCTAAAAAATTACACAAAAAATAATAAATAATTTGATATTAGTTACACATTAGGAGTAGTTTTGAAATATTAACTTTAACGTTTTTTTTCATTTGATATTAATGTGTGCTATTTCAAATAATAATTAAATAAATTTATTTAATAAAATTTTATAACTCCTGAATTAAATATATTTTTTATTTATAGAATAAATAATAAGAGAAAGTACAAAACGTTTTTTGGTAACTTTTTCTGCACTACATTTCTTTTAGTAGTTTTTTTGTATGGAAGCAACTAGGTTAATCATCTTCTTTCCAATACTTCACATTATCACAGCTTTGAAAAATTGTGTAAAATTATTTTATTTTATTATTTTTTCTTTTTTAGTGACTTCGCAGGCATTATAATGTACTTTTAAAAATTTGCAAAAAAAATTAACCCAAACTTCTTTTATTCTTTCTCTTTAAGCTAGGAAATACGTCACTTTAGTTATATTATGGAAGGTAAAATAACTCGATAAAGCTGATTAATAAATAATTCATTTAGAATATCAAAAAAAAAATTGATTATTGAACGAGTGATTCAATTATTATTCCACTTTGAATTAATTTTAAAAATATTTGTATGATATTATATTTAACACATTGTTCAAAATAATTATTATAAATTTAACTCCTATTAAAACTTGAAAGTTATAATAAAGTAATAATTAAATTGTTTATTTTTACCAAGGCTGAGCATTAACTCGTTAAACAGTTAAAATTAAGTTATATAATTAGTTACATTTTTGAGCGATTAAACTTTTAACATAGTTTGTTACTTATTTTAATTTATTATAGTAGTATTAATATTATGATAAATGTGGTTCACAATGCTTAATTTGTTTTCTAATATCCCGATACTTTATAATCTATTATTTGTTTAAAATGTATATTTTATACTATCCAGACAAAAAAATAAATATATACAATACTGGTTTTGAAATTTCTCAGAATTGTAATGATATACATAGTACATCATTAATATCATAATAAATTATTTGTATACACATTAGATCATTAATGTCATAATGTAGTATTTAAGACTTCAATCAATCAATTACACAAAATAAAATGTATACCAATAAAAATAAGATATATATATATGTACCTTTTAAATGTTTAAAAATACTAATGAAATTTCGTAGAAAAAGAGTATATATTAATTATATAAAACAAATAGGAAATAATAAACAATATGTTATGGTAGCACATAAGATGTAGGGTAATAAACTATGTCTAAATTATTATATAAGATATGATAGTATTTTATAATATGTAGATCATTATTGATGAAAATGTAATAAATAACATGTAATAAATTACGATTAATAAAGAAATAACGGTGGCGTCGGGAATTACTTCTTGCCTTTGAACTACGGTCAAATTTAATATAAAAAGACAAAAATAAAGAGCATTCTGAGACAGATGCAATCAGATATTTACAGAGGCACTCACTGCGCTCGATCATTCCACACTACGAAATATATGCAAGAAGTGATCCGCCGTCAATACAGTTATATTTGTTCAAAGGAAAACACAACATCTATTTATTTAAGAGTATAGCAGAAAATATCAAGGTAGGAATCTAATAAATTCATCAAAAATAAATAAGGTTTAGAATTTAATTCTATGAGTACATAGATTAAGTAGGCATACAGGAAAATCAAGTGATTATCAATAATAACTAATATACCAAATAAATTTAATAAATCGATAATGTTTGTACAGAGTTACTTGGCAGAGTTATATCGTTGATACGTGTCTATTTCAGGAGTTAAGTTGGAGGTTCATATGTATAGCCACCATACCACTCTGGGTAGACACACGAGGTGACTCAATCCCACCTATCATCGATAACCGTCAAAACTCGTGTCATTATTGATATTTAAGAATTGACAATTAATTATAATAAATCCCATATTAATAAAATAAAGATCACTTTATTTTTCTATCATCTTCTATCTTTCTTACAGACCCTCGTACTCATACCCCAAGTAATAATATTATTAATACAATAAAGTAGTGGATCAAATAAGAATCAAAATCCCGTCATATTCTATTTAACTTATTTCTTTTAAGCAACTGTCAAAGTAGCTCCCTAAATTAATAACCCCTTAAAATAACATCATTAATACATGTAAAGTTTTTTATATTATTTTTTCCTTTTTTTGATTCACTACAGAATGTGGCCATTAAACAAACACGTCACATTGAAAAAATAAAAAATTTTACTATTTTCTACAAGGAAACTTTCGTGTTAATGTATTTTACAAATTAAAAATAAATAAAGGAAATACCATATGCAAGCATAGTGATCGGCTTTTGTAAGAAGATGATGTGGCACTATGGGTCTTCTGCTTATTAGTCGGGGCAATGCTATATTTCATTTAAAATAATTATTAGAAAATATCTTCTTTGATCATTGGAGAAGACTTGGTAAAATCGATATTATTTGAAAATATAATACGAATAAAAATGTATTTTTTTTTGGCAAGTTAATTTTAATTTAACGAAATTAAAAAAAATAATTTAATTATCTTTTGACTTCACTTAATTTTTCTGGAATTAATTTAACTTTACGAGTTTCAAAAAAAGTGTTATCTTACCCAGTCTTGATTTTTTACATAACAATAAAATATTAATTTTAGCAAAGAACTAAAATAAAAATTATGAATTTATACTAAATTTATTAGACACAAAGACAGTTTTAAATAAAATTAAAAAATAATCTGTATATTAAGGAAAGTCAAAATACGTCAATAATTGAAGACAAATCTATACTCAATAAATCATGTGCAAACGACTTTGTTTTAAACATCTTAATTATTATTAGTTGGTTACTCCTGATAGTTGGGCATTCGTAAACTTGGCCTGAGAGGTCAATTAAAGTTCGATGAACCTTATAAAAATACGATTTAAGGGTCGAACGATAGCATCTTTCATAACAAAACATTAAAAACGTTTTTTTTTTTTGTTTCCATTACTAGCAGTTCATGAAAAGTATGGTAGTTGGTATCCCAGAAACCTGATCTTGGAATTTTTAAATTATATTGTCTCAATAGGTGACCGCCCGGGTGCGCTCGCACACATGGATTTTATTTTATTTTTTATATTATCCTTATAAACCGGTTATGGTGGTGGACAGGGCCAACTAAGATTTCATTCGTGAGCTACGCTCGTGTGTTTTAGGTGAATTGTCGTCATACAGAGAACTTATAGAGGGTGAAACCACTGACTATACAGATATCTTAAATATGTTTTTGAATCGGATTCCACTACTTGCATACTACATGGATTTACTATGCTCGATGGCTGAACATCGGTAGTACATAAAAGTAATCGAGGTGTTATACTATATCTTGTTAGTTACACAAATATAGGGGTGAAGAGTATAAAAGAGGGATAATTTTTTTTGTACAATATGGAAGATATCATGATTGTAATATATTTTTTATATTTATGTTAAAGTGAATATTTGAGCAATACATGAAACTAAAAAATTAAAGGGTGACGATTGTTATAAGTACTGTGAAAATACTTTAACATCTTTATGTGGTAATTTATTCAATGGTTGGTATTTTATAGCATACCTTTCATTTATGCATAATAAAAACTCCGAAAATTCATGAGAATGTTAGTATGATGTTAAAGATTATTTTATGAAGAACGCATTCATGTCTTGATAGTAAAAATTGTGTTGTTTATACTTTTCAACATCCCAATTTAATTGACATTTCATTTTCCCTCCAAAATTCTAGTTCATTCAAGAAATATACCAAAATTAATACAGTCTTATAAATAACTTTCGAAAATATAATTTTCCTAGTGCTTAATTAAAAAAATATATAAAAAAATTCTAACAATTCGAATAAAAATTTTAATTAAGAAACATTTAAATATTTTTGGGATGTGACAATATAGATCAGATTGAGTTAAAATGTACTTTAACTCAATATAATAACATACTGAAAAAATGTATTTTTAATACATAAGTAAAAGAAAAATTTAACTACATAAATAAATCTGAAAATAGGTTTATTACCTACAGATTCCTCATTTAAATATAATTTGAACCTGAAAATCTAAAAACACCAGTAATAAATCCGATTATCCTTTTACTGACATGCTATTGAAATCGAGCTGACATCGCTTTTAAAGGGACAAAAAAAATAATTCTTGGAACCCCAAAAAATATATATTATAATAACTCGAAAGAATTGAAAAAAAGTTTACACTGAACATACCATCAATTAAAAATATTATAGATTTGTTTCTCATAACTAGTAAGTATAAATGCCTGAAAAATATTCTAGATAATCTGATATCAAAACGTGTATTGTATAGTTTCAACTATAAAATATTAACACAATCATTTGAAAAATATTAAAATACTATAATATATTATTATAAATGAATTATAGCTTTGTAAATTTTAATAATTTCTAGAAAAAAAAAGTTTATTTCACGATATGTATCGTTGTATACATTTAATGATATAATTTAAATATTTTTACGTTATAACATAAAATTATTATTTATAAAATCCGGTAAACACCTTCTTTGTCCACTATTTTTTAAAGATATTCTTCAATAAATTGAATACTTTAATGAGACTGATAATAAATTATAAACATAAGTTACTTTAGATGCATATTTACTGAGAAGGTTCTCTGGGTCAAACCTTTAGAACCTAAAAAATTACATAATTTAAATACGAGGATAAGAAAACATTGTCTTGTATAAAATACCACAGAGGAAAAAATCCTAGAATCACTGCTGGGTTACTTAAAGAAAATAAATCGACAAAGTAACTATTCAATCAATTATCAACACTCCAAGACAAAAATAGATGGATTGTACTTAATCTATTGACAAGGGTTAGTATAAACTCTAATTAAACTTTTTTTGATGATGAATCGGCAACGAACAAAATTAAAAAATAATAATAATAACGGTACATCGATCATGAATACAGAACACGGTTAAAAAACGTAAATAAAACCGTCAACTAAGTAGAATTGAATACGTCTTACAACTATATTTTAACATTAAAAGTGACTTAACATTAAACTACATATACCATTAAAAGTGATCGACAAAAATATCTTAACATATTCATTTTGTTTAACAACGTCTGTCGACAGTTAATTATTCTTTAGAATATTAGTTCATCGATAGTTTTAATCCGGCACAATGTTATAAATATTTTTTAAAATCCAACTGAAATTTAATTACGGTTTTTTAATCGCGAAGTAAAAAAACAATAAACGGCTATTTATAGTCAGTTTTAATGATGTTTACGAATATCCAGAACCGTCGTTAACTTGCTTACCACTTGTGAGACATATGATAACGGGATATCAGAGTGTACTTTTAAATAAAATTACACGGTGCTGCGTATCCGTCCTTAAACTTGTACTATATGGATAACATAATACTTAACAAGGNCACTTGTGAGACATATGATAACGGGATATCAGAGTGTACTTTTAAATAAAATTACACGGTGCTGCGTATCCGTCCTTAAACTTTGTACTATATGGATAACATAATACTTAACAAGGTATATATATATATATACATACAAACATATATGAGTAGGCATTACACTTGATTTCAACCATAATTTAAATAAACGACGGTGGTTAAGACCATACAGTTACATCATACACTGGAGTATCCTTAATGGAAATATTTGTTGTTAGTAATACAACAGAGGTGATGTGAGGGGTCTAAGCCAACCTGTCTGAGACAGCGGTCGCGGTGGATGTAAGAACACGAAGAAGTCAAGGCTGACGTAATAGAGATTATAAAAGGGGGTTGATGACGGACCGCACACATCAGTGTAATTATTCTGTTCAGACCGCCAGGGTCCAACGTTTTGTGAGGTTTCGACAATGGGAACAACGATGGTGAAGTTCGCATCTAAAAACGCTATACAAGTAAGACAAATTTTGATTGTTTAAAATTAATTTATAAGTGAACGAAAATAATTTTTAATTGTTTGTCAAATGCACATTTTTTTTTTGTTTATAAAAAAAACTATGTAGAAGTAATGGACAAATAAAAATAAAAATGATAATTTGGTTCAAAAATAATTTTAGGGGTCTCATTAAGACAATTCTCATGTCTCCGCAAAAAACCTTGATTGGAACAGTGTAATAAAATACTTTTATTAAACTTGTCAAAAATAAAAATTAAATATTTTTGTACTCTAAAGTCGGATAAAATACTCTTATTCAGAGTTACAAGTAAAAGGGCATAAATTATTTATTTATTATTATATATTTAATTAGATATTTAGCTTAAGCTTAGGTTTTAAATGATATGTTTAACTAACAACCTCAGAATATTCGTAATGTAAGAAATCAAATTATAAAATATAATTTATTCTCTAAATGTTTTTTTTATAATATTTTACTTAACTGAGTTACAATAATAAAAAAGAGAGTAAGCAATTCCATTTCCAACATATTTTTGTTGAAATAATTTGAAACGGAAACTAAGTCATGTGAACTGTTTAAAAAATGTAATAGTTATAACGTAACATATAGTTATGCGGATAATAGGGTAGTTCTGTAAGGTGTAAATAATAGTGCATTCATACCTGTAGGCCAAAGCCTACCGGTATCCTTTTTTTACTTGTAATGATAGTAAATTGTTTTTTTTTCGATTCGTGTTTGACAAAGAATTTTTTAGTCTATTGTTCAAAATGATAAATGATATTTAATCATTTTTAAATAAGTAAATCAGTATATTATGTAAAAGTTTTCAGTAGGGCGGAAAATAAAATGGTATTAAACACGAATACTTCAAATTAAAAATATTGACACTTATTTATCCTAATGACATACAACAGTATAACTCAAGGTGTAATTTATATTATTTCAGATTTTATTTTTCATTTTTCTATTGAATAAAGTGAACTGTGTGAGACCATTAGGCAGGCAAGGACTGTCTCCGTTACAAGAAGTAATAAAAACTAAATTAATTTTACTCTATAATATTTATTCTATATTTAAATAAATTATTTTTATTTGATAAAATTTTAGGCACCACAGTATCGTTTCCATTACTTCGTTCAAGATGATAACCTAGGTCACGGTGGCGGCACTCACAAGACTCATGATGAACACAAGAATGCCGCTATTGTTACATCAACACCAGTTGTACAAAATGGTCCAGTTTACAATGCACAGACTGAATCACAAACCCCCATAGTGGTAGAATCAACGGTTCCTCAAATTCAGCAAAAGTCGTCTAAATCTATAGAATCTGAATCGAATGATGAGAGTAATAAAACTAGTGAGAAAATTGATTTAACAGTCAGTGGACGAACGGAAGATAGGCAAGACGATGATGATAAAGACTCTACACAAGAGCAAGTTTATGTTCAAGATAAAGATGAATCGATGAAACAACCGTCAGAATTTACAATTCCATTCAAAAAACCTAATACAGTGGGAGTAGATGATGTAAAATACGATAGTACCGACGAGGAAGTAATGAAGAAAGATATAGTTAAGGTGATCCAAAATATTAACGGGGCAGGACTTTACAGTATGGACCATTCTAATTCACACTCACATATGAAAAATGGAATGTCCGAAAAACCAATGAAAATTTTCAATTCGGATTCTATAGAATCTGATCATGTTGATATCCATTCCCAGTTAAACAATGGTGAGTCTCATATCAATTTCAAAAGTCAACAGTTGTCTAATAAACCACTTAGACTATTTGGGTATAATCCTTTTTCAACAGTAGGGTCGACCTACGATATGGATATCAAACCTCAACCAATACTCGGGAATGTTCATGGAAGTTACTTCTACGGTGATGATGCAGTGAAAAATGTTCCTACTTATGATGCAAATCCCATGTACAGTTATTATCCTCCTGTTTATCAATATCCTGGTTTATCAAGTGGAGGATATAAAGGAGGACTTTCAAAATACAACTCAGCTGCATCTCAACAACTTTATTACTATGACCCAAATTCAATGTTAATGATACCAATTTATCCAAATACTATTAATGGACAAACAGGAGGTTACCAACAGTTTATGGACAATGGGATCAATACTAAACCCCAGCCATCAGCCACACAGTTAGATATGCCAAACAAGAAGGGATTTAACTTAATGCAAATATTGAATGGAGGCACTTATTATAAGAGTGCAATAGAACAAGCGGAAGGATCACAGACAACAATGGTAAAAGACATGCCAGCTACACAAGAATCAAATAAACAAGAACCAATCAAAACAGATAAGCCAAAAGCTCCTTCTGATGATGATAAATCAAAACCAGTTCAAACATTAATGTTGTACTTAAGTCCAAATGATTCTCCATTGGATCTAAAGAAATTGTCTACTAGTCCGATACAGTTAATGGTAAGCCAACAGCCACTACAAAATAATTGTTCACCTAAAAATAAAACTCCAGTTGTAAAAGAAAAACCATTACCACTGCCCATACCGCTATGTTCTGATTGTGTTCCAGCACTAGGATTAATAGGATTACCAAACACTAAAGCACCAATTGCAGTCCAAACAAAAATATCAGCAGCTTCTCCTACTACTACTACTCCACAACCTCAAATAATGCCCATATGGAATGGACAAAATACTTCAAAATTTAATTATCTTATCTTACCTAATCCAATAACTAAATAAGGTTATATAAATTATGTATAAAATATATGAGATGATAGTATATTTGTGTTAATATAGTCTAATTTAAAATAATCATACCTAATCTTAAAATAAAGAACTTAGATATGTATAATTATCGATATTTTTTGTCATTATGTTTTTATTAGTTTATTTACTTACAGTTCCCATCCTCTGAACGATGTCTTCATTAACAGGAAACCATAATTTTATTTTTCTATATAAATAGTTTTGTTCATAAAACTTGATTAATTCTACGAGACTTTCAAATTGTTTTATACCAATAGTGTATAAACGACCTTCTAATTTTATACGACAGTGCTTAATTTTATTTTCAGCTCTAAAAATGTTACAAATAATTATTTAAAAAATTTTAAATAAAATAAAAAATTAAATTTCACCTAAATGAAATAGCAAACAAATGCTTATCATTTTCACATGGGCGAACTAGAAATGCTCCTTCATGAGGTACACGTCTTAATAATGCTTCTGCTCGACTTCGGCAAACATGAGGTAAATACCAAACCATTCCTTCATGTTTTAAAGGCTGAGGTACAGGTTCACTTAATACAAGATAATTCTCCTTAAACAAAAACAAAATAATTCAAATATAATAAAATAATATGAAATGTAATTAATTGATATAAATATATAGTTACATGTATACGCAATGGATAAGATCGGTAATAAGTAATTAAACTATACAAACTATCAAAAACAGAACCTTCAATTAAATAATATTTCAATTGACCTCTATCATGTTTTGATCGAATTCTACAGTGATTTACTTTTCCTTGATGCCTAAAATATAAGTATTATTGATATTTTTTGTTAAGTGTAAAAAATGTTTTTTATTATGTAATAAAAAATTTATTAGTGCTTGATAATTACCAAAAAGAAAGAGAATAATCACCAACAAATGTATCACTTTGTCGAACTAAAAAGGTACCATCACCAAAATGTTTATACTGTTTTAGTAATTCTTCAGCTTCATTCCTTCCACGTGCAAGTTTTCCATGAAACCAGTATTCTCCAAAATGCAATTCATCATTAGGGATTCCCTAGAAAAAATTTTGGATTTTCAAAATTTATTTTTTATATGTATTTAATGAAATATACTTCTCTTAACCGTGTGGTACTAGATACATCAGAATTATCAATTTCACCTCCTTCAATTTCTTCATCATTATCGACGTCATTTTTACACAGATCTGTATAGTACAGTTTAGTGCCAGATAAAACAAAAAAATGTGGTTTCCATTGTTTTTCTGTCGGATCCTCCAAATAAAGAACACCATTTTTAATTGTATTTCTTAAATCAGTTTCTTTAGCTTAAAATAAAAATAAAAATAATCATTCACACAACATGAAACAACAAAATTAATGACATACGATCTTCATGAGGTTTAAAAGCTATAGCTAGATCACTATCTTTTTCAGGAAGTCTCTTGTGCTTCACTATAAACTTGTACATTAATTGGTCAGGGGATGGCATTTTAGTTTCATTTTTGTCAATAGGTTGAGTAAGCAACATATCACCTAAAATTTCAATCATAGTTGCAGCCATATTTCTTTGTTGTGGTATAGAACAGTTATCTTCAATTGACAGTATTACTGGATATCTAAAATATTAAGTTTATACTTACATTAGTAGTAACTATTAAGTTTAATGAATTAATTATTAATATATAATATAGAAATAATAATTTATATATTTAAGATTAAGATGAATAAAAGTATTTTAATATTATATTTTTTTAAAACTAATAGTCAACTTTAACTTATACATTATATACTATAGTTTATATTTTAGCTTCGATGCAAAGTTGAGAAGGTATTATTTATACTATGATGTGTTTTTTTAAAAATTTTTTTGTGTCTGTTACCACTTTTTCTCAGCTCTCACCGAACGGATTTCTTTCAACGATACGTCTAAAGATCACAAATCATATCTAGTCGAAGACATTACCCTCAAAAATTGAAAAAAATTCCCTTGTTACCCATAAATGGGGGAAATCTACAAAAAAATCGATGATTTTCGACATTTTTTCAATTTATTTTTGTTTAAAACTGCCATAACTTTATTAAAAATGACCAAATCAATACAATTTTTTTTTTACTTCATTTTGTCTTCACGGTGAAAATGGCTACCGGAATGCTATCTTTGTCTGAAAATTCTCGATTTTGTATTTTACATTTTTAACTTTATTATGCTATAATTTTTTGAAAAATGTATGAATACAATTTTTTCATGAGAAGTAGTATTTATATACTTATATATCTTCTTATATATCTTTCATTCGACATACTTTATCTTAATCAGGATATAAATAAGGAAATAGAAGATCATGTAACTTTTGGAATAAACCACCAATTTTTTAAAATTTTATATTAATAGAGTATGTAATTCTAATTTATTATATTCTAAAAAAAACCCAGCACAGGGGTTTCACTGCACAGTGGTGACGTGGCATAGTTGGGTCAAGTAAAATGATATCTAACAGTGATTAAAACCACTATCATAAAAAACGCTTCGATGCAAATCTTTAAATAGTGTTTGGTTTTAAAAAATTGATGGATTATTCCAGATGGATCTCCTATTTCCTTATTTATATCCTGATTACAAGTTTTATGATTTATAAGTGTAATATGTTAAATATTATTTTAATAAAGGCTATTAAAAAAAAAAATAAAAAAAATAAAAAATAAGTGTAATATATATATATATATAAAGGTAAATGGTTTAATTTTAAAAAAAAAGTATGCAAATGACAATATTTTTCAAAAAGCTATAGCATTATAAAATTAAAAATATAAAAAAGAATTTTTTTACAAAAATCACATTTTTATTAACTTTAATGTGTTTGTTCACGGTAAAGACAAAATAAAGTACGAAATTTTTTTTTTCCATGATAAAGTATATTACATAAGCTTTAATTTAAGATATATATAAAAGTGTCAGAGTTACTGCAACACTTTCAAAAGTTAAATTGAAAAAATTAATTTTTTGTGAATAAGTTGCCATTTTGAAACTTTCCCTTTGGGCTGGAAAAGGGTCAAATGTTCACAAAAATATATGAAATAATAGGTTAATACCTAAGGTATCTATAAAAAAAAAATTATATTGATTCGGTTATTTTTAAAAAAGGTATGGCAGTTTTAAGTAAAGAAAATTGAAAATATGTCAAAAATTAACGATTGTCAAATTTATAATTTTTTGGGGGATTTCCTCCATTTAGGGGGAACGAGGTAATTTTTTTCATTTTCGAGGGTAATGTCTTCGACTAGATACGATTTGTGATCTTTTGATGTATCGTGGAAAGAAATTCATTCAGTGAGAGCTGAATAAAAATGGTAACAGACACAAAAAAAATAAAATAAAAACACATCATAGTAAAATGAATACCTTCTCAGATTCGCATCAAAGCTAATAATAAGATACTACAGTAGATAGAAACGTGAAATTTGGCATTAGGATAGTCTTATAGTGAAGGTAAAGTGAAAATCTGATAATTATTATTTTCTCTAAATAAACGATCTTAGAGGCAGGAATGTTATTTAAAAGCATTAGAATAGGCAGTTTTTTTTGAAATTTCATAAAATTCATGTATAATTCTAGTTTAAGCAAGCAAAAAGAAATGATATCCTCAACAAGAACCAAACTGTAAAAAAGTTCCAACCTAAATAAATGGATTTCACTATGAATTCAAATAAAAATTTATAGTGAAAATAATTTTCTGATTCCAGTTTAAAGTAATAAAATTAATCTGAAAAAAGTAACTTTAAGTTTCTTAAGTGACTAAGTAGCAACTTTTAAATAGTGAACTTACGGAGAAGTAATAAAAGCATGTTCTTTGATTGTCTTTAAAACATCTAAAAATTTGATTCGACTAGTCAATGTATGACCATGGTAAATGATCGGTAATCCATCTGGTCCGTCCCAGCAGTCCAATTCAATACAACGGCATCCCCATCGTAAGCATCTAGCATATGCTTCTATTGAACTTTCACTTGATACTTGATCTCCAGTTAAATAACTTTAAAAAAAAAGTATGTTAGTAAAAAATTTATGAATACAAAACTTTCAGAATAGCTAACGTATTATGAGATGAAGATATCCAATAATGTGTTAGGGGCCTGGTCATATTTTGATATATATTGTCATAATATTGATCCCAAACTTCATTTTGCTTTGAATACAAGTAATCCATAAACTGAAAATATAATAAATAAAAATATATATTTTAAAACATTTTTCAAAATTATAGAAAATTAATATTTAAAATGTAAAAAATATTTTTTAAAAATCAGTTTAAATCAGCAAATAATCAAAAATTACCGATTTCAATTCACACAACAATCCTAAATCATGACATGATTTTCTTACAATATTTTTAAAAAATGTTCCTAAATGTCAAGTGTTGAGTACAACTTTTTTTTTAAATTTTAAACAATGACATCTAAAATTTTTTTTATACCAACTATAATATTTTTCCTATAGCTTGTTTAGTAAAACTATGCCCATTATCATAAACAATAATTGTAAACATTTTACTAGTATTGTAGAATAATAAGCAAAATAATGATATTTAATTGTTCTAAGTTACATTATTACAGAATATATATTTTGGGGATATTATAAAAGTTTATTATTTGAGTACCACAATGTTCTTTAAACAACATTAATTAATTAAATGAAATTAATAACATGGCCAGTAGGTAGATTTAGTATGAATAAATCTACTCTGTTAGAGAGTTAGTTTTAAGCACAAGACCCACATTGTAGTGTTTGATATCGTAAAAAAAAACACAAAAATTAAAAATTTTATGAACTTTTAAATACAACGAATAGTTTACGATTTAATGAGATATTTTTACCAAATATTTTTTTCAAAAAACTGTAATCTATAAAATTTATTTTAATAACTTAAGAACAATTTCAGTGTGATGTCATTTATATGTTTTTTAAGTATAAAAATGATTCAAAGAATAAATTAATGTAAAAAATTAATTGAATCAAAAGTTATTAAACTTATCATATCTTCGGGACTCCCTGTAAATGGTGTACAAATTATACCGTTAGAACTAGTGATGGGCTTATTCGAATATTTTAAACTAATAATTAATTCAAATAATATTTGATAGTTTTAAAAAACTACCAAATAACTATTCGAATTGTTTTTATACAAGCGAATAGTGTGTTTTTAGCATAAACTATCGAAGTTTTAAAAAATATTCGATTGGGCTAGCGAATGGTTTCAAAAAATATTCGATTAGTTCTATCTAAAATTTTTATTAAGTACACATAATTATAATAAGAAGATAATTAATGAATACTTAAAATAAATTATTATACAATTAATAATAGTTAAAAGTACCAATTTATTTATTTTTAGTTTGTGAGTCGTTAGTAAAAACTAATAAATGTGGGTCAATTCATTATTAAATTCGTTTTAGGTTCATCCCTTATACCTTGTAAGTGTATCAACTTAATTTTTAAAATGGCAATATACATAATTAATTAACTTATAGGTTAGATAATAATATTATTAATAAAATGATTAATTGATAACAACTTTTGGACTAGTATTTCAGAAGTTATAGCATTTTAATAAACGAACTGGGGTGAGTCGCAGGTATATATTAAGGTGGCTCTTATTTTATTAACTTTCATTGATCGATCTCCATACCCGCCAATGTTTTTTTTTATTATATGAAAGTTATTTGTGTAAAATTTGGTTTTGATAACTTACCTCCTTCAAATCCGAATCAGGAATGAAAATTTGCTCAAAAAGGTAATTTTTCAGTTTTTGATTATTATTTTTAAAACTAACACACTTAGCGTAACAATGTATAGAATATAAATTATAGATTTTAATATTTTCTTCTAAAATGGTATAAAAAAAATTTCTAAAATTATTTTTACTTGCTCAAAAACATAAAATAAAAAAATAATTTTCTAAAATTCATTTTTTGAATATAAATCATTCTTAATTTTCGAAATAATCATTTTACAACAAAATTTTTCGTTAAAAAAAATTTGTAAATTTAAATTTTCTAAATAATTGGTCTTATGTAAAATTAGTCAGATTTATAGTTTTGCTGTTTTAATAACACTAACGATCAAAATAGGATTGTTTAAAACTGTTTATTCAGGGTACTACGAATATAAATGAATACAATTAATAATAAAAAAACCCAGCACAGGGGGGTCGCGGCACAGTGGTGACGTGGCATAGTTGGATCAAGTATAATGATATCTGACAGTGATTAAAATCACTATAAAAAAAAAACGCTTCGATGCAAATCTTTAGATAGTGTTTAATTTTAAAAAATTGGTGGATTATTCCAAAAACTTCATAAACTGCTAGTTTCTTATTAATATGCTGATTAAGANCATAAACTGCTAGTTCCTTATTAATATCCTGATTAAGATAAAGTATGTCGAATGAAAAAGGGATTATTAAAAAATAGTATTTCCCATAAAAAAATTATATTGATCAATACACTTTTCAATAAGTTATAGCATTATAATGTTAAAAATGTAAAAAATAAAATTGAGAATTTTCACACAATAATAGCATTTGGTAGCCATTTTCACCGTGAAGACAAAATAAAGTCCGAAATTTTTTTTTTTCATGATAAAGTATATTACATTAGCTTTAATTTAAGATATATATAAAAGTGTCAGACCTTCCGGAACACTTTCAAAAGTTAAGTTGAAAAAATTAATTTTTTGTAAAAAAGTTGTCATTTTAAATCCCCCCCTGTGGGCAGGTAAAAAGTCAGATTTATAAAAAAAATATACCAAATGATAGGTAATGACATCATGCATCTATAAAAAAAAGAATTATATTGATATGTTTATTTTTAAAAAAGTTACGGCAGTTTTTAGTAAAAAAAATTGAAAAAATTTCGAAAATTAGCCATTTTTAAATTTGTAATTTTTTTGGAGGTTTCCCCCATTTACGGGGAACGAGGGAATTTTTTTCAATTTTTGAGGGTAATGTCTTCGACTAGATACGATTTTTGATCTTTTGACGTATCATTGAAAGAAATTGGTTCGGTGAGAGCTGAGAAAAAGTGGTAACAGACACAAAAAAAAAAATAAAATAAAAACACATCATAGTAAAATGAATACCTTCTCAGATTCGCATCGAAGCTAAAAATTAGTGATGGGCATTTTCAAATATTTTAAACTATCGATTAACTATTCAAATTGTGTTTATACCACCGAATATTTTATTTTTAGAATAAATTATCAAATATTTTAAACACTATTTGAATATATTGTGTAACTATCGAATATTTTTACTATTAGAATAGTTTTTGAATGACTATTGACTAGTTCGAATAGTGGACAACTATCAAATAGTTCGATAGTTACTATTCGATATTTCCCATCACTAGTTAGAACCTCAAATTCCCATAAAGACTGCTTTTGCAGACAACAACTGAAACGTTTTCCACTTAATAAATGAAACACTGATAAGAACAAAGTTCGCCGATCTTATCTTCTGTTATGCAACTATTCTATCTATAATCTAGGTAAACTGTTAATAACATGAACCGTGTTTATGGTAGCCATTTTAATAATAATGTAATCTTATTGATTTAGTTTTTTTCAGCCGCATCAATACTGCCTTATTTTATATACATACCAATACAATTTTCAGAACAAACTTAAAAAATGATCCGTTTTATTTTGATTCAGAACCGTGCCGGCAAAACAAGATTAGCAAAATGGTACATGAATTTTGATGATGATGAGAAACAAAAACTTATTGAAGAAGTACATGCAGTCGTCACAGTCAGAGATGCAAAGCACACTAATTTTGTAGAATTTAGGAATTTCAAGATAATTTATCGAAGATACGCTGGATTATACTTCTGTATTTGTGTAGATGTAGGAGATAATAACTTATGCTATCTTGAAGCAATACACAATTTTGTAGAAGTATTGAATGAATATTTTCACAATGTCTGTGAATTGGACCTGGTATTCAACTTTTACAAAGTATATACTGTAGTTGATGAAATGTTTTTGGCTGGTGAGATTAGGGAAACTAGTCAAACCAAAGTATTAAAACAATTACTCATGTTAAGTTCATTAGAGTAAGCTTATGATTAATAATTTATGTTAAACATTATACATTGAACATTTTTTATATTATATTCTTTATTCCATTATTAAATTGTATTAATTTGTAACCTTAATATTAAATAATGTATAAATTACTATATTCCTATTATTAAATTGTAAAATGCCCATATTAAAAAAATATATTTATAAATTTATTACTATTCAATTTTGTTATCTTTATTTATTACTAAAGTATTATAGTGATAAGAGATAATATGACATTTCCCAGGTATTAGTCAGAAATAAATGTTTTGACAATAAACATCATATAAAATATTAAGATAAAAATATAACTAAAGTTTCTATATAAATGGATGGATACAAAGTTTTGAAGTTAAGTGTTATAATTACAGTAGGTGTGTTTAAACTCTATTTATGGACGAAATTTATGACATAGTCTTATACTTACATCAGTTGAAGTAAATACTAATTTTTCATTTGAATTCTTTTCACAATACTGAAAATATTCTTTCATATGCTTAGCAACAATTTCTTCTTCAAGACATAAACTTTCTTGTTCTGCGTTTAAAAATCTGGTAAGATTTTGAACATTAAAAGTATCATCAGCTGAACAATACATAGAAAAGCACTCTTTGAATATCTAATAACATTTAAGCTAGTATTAAAAACTATATGAAAATATAAATGTAATTGTTGTGTAGATTTTAAGAAAATGGTAAATTTGAAAATATATACTTACACATTTATGTTTACTAAATAAAGGTAGCCTTTTATTTAATAGAATTTTATTAACTATTAAAATGTAGCTCAATAAATTGAAAGAATAAAATTTTTATAAACATAACCTGTTGTCTTATAGTTTTAAACCGGAAACATACTAATACACAAAAAGAAACAAAATATTTTATTTGGAAAATAGCTATCTTAGTTCATAATTATGTAAAATAAGATAGAAAATGGCTTACAAAAAATTTTGGCTATAAATTTATGAAGTTGATAATTTATTTATAACTTTAACAAGATCTTGTACTAAATTTTCTGTTTTTTGACAATTTCTTAAGTATGAATAAAATTCTGTAACATCTCATGATGTTATAGTGACCTAAACGAATATTTTCATAATCTTTTCATCAAGTCATATAATTGACTTAAATTCTTATATTTTTTTGATACAAGATTAAAAGATACTTGAAAATAAAAATATTATACGATTCATCAAAAAATAATTTAGAAGATCTACAAATTATGATGTAGGATTGTATTTACTATTGAGACAACAAATATATAAATATAATAATGGTTAAAAGTAAAGTTTTTTTTGTAGTACATTCATTTATAATGTTTTACCCCAAAGGATACCTAAAAATTACACAATTTATTGTTAGACAATGTGTAAATATAATAAATAGTTTTTTATATTTAATAAGTAATTAGATAAAATATTATAACATTTTCTTTATTATCTATTTCAGTGAATTAAAAAAATTAATGTTTTTGGAAAAAATGACTCGCTTGAAAAGTTTTGAATGGTAGGTTGAGACCTTGATTTATTAAATTTTTTCTTTAATACAATAATTAATTAATTAATTAATTAACACAAAACTTATTACTTACTCCTGCATTACAGATAAGTTTATTGTACAGACTGACAAATTCATCAAAATTAAGTTCATTACGTTTTCTTGAATCAACTTCTTGGAACAATTCACGTAATTTACTAGTAGAAATTTTGCAGTGAACACGAGGCAAAAATGTTTTTACATCCTTCAATGTTACTCTAAATATATATATATTTTTTTCTTTTTAATGTTTTATTCAATAAATACTACAACTATTTGTATAAAATACATAGTATGTAATTTAAAAAGTATGCAGCCTGTGTAGTTTAATTGGAAATATGTCATCCCTCAATACAAAGGTATTAAAGTTTGACTTTGTTCCAAGCTAAACAGGTTTTTTTTACCTTTTAAATAAATTAATAACTAACATATAAAACATCAAAAATTTTTATACATATAAATAAATAAAACTAATTTACGTTTCTCTTAAATTTTCCATGCTGTAAAATTCTTTGCGTAACCATCTTTCAACTTGTAAAGGATATGGAGCACAAACTGTATCATTTACAAGATGATATAACCCTCTCAACCATAATTCACACTCTTGCTCAGATAAAGCTAAAATATTATTTTATAAAATTAATTAAGTATTCCATATACATAATTAGTTACAGAGTTACATATCATTCATTAAAAAGATGAAAAATGTACTGTGTTATCAGATTTATACTAATTATTTCAATGTTATTTTAAATAATTCAGCACAAAAATTAAACTAAATTTTACTTTAAGTAAAATAATAAATATTTAAAAATTTTTTATTGATTTATTCTTTTATATAATTTTTGTAACAAATGATATAATACATTTGATTATTTTAATTTAATTCCATTTGTGATGGTGATACCATTACCATTACTGTAGAAAATTATTATAATAAAAAACAGACAGCGCATCAGCTTCTAGAGACTCATGAATTTACGATTAATATTTATTGCAAAATTGGCAAACGTCCGAATTACTATTTAAACCCAAAGTACCTGACCATCGTGGTCAGTCGATTTCAGTGTCATTCATCAGTCTCAGTACTCCATTGTCATTGTCTGGCTTTCTGCATAAAGTCAAGTCTTTGTTTTTTCCTTTTCACTTACTTACTTTCGTCCTCGACATTTTAGAGTACTTGTCTCTAACATTTCATCTGTACCTCGTACTCTGTTATCGTCCTTAACTGGTATGCCTAGTACTTGTGTCTTGCACTTCGTCTGCACCTCATACTTCATTATTTTCTCCTAATAACCAAAGTAATTGTATCTTGTATTTCGTTTGCACCTCGTACTTTGTTATACTCTTTACTATAGTACTCCCAATATTTGTATCTTGCATTTCGTCTGCACCTCATACCTAGGTGTCATGCTTATTCCCTTCCTATAACAATGGCTTTTCAACATCCATAGCTAATCTGGAATGTCAGCTGAGCAGGGTAGCTGCTGTATGATCACACATAAGTAAACACCCAGGCAACACCTTCCATTTGTATTTTGTTTTGTATTATAACACATTACAGAATATTAAAAATTAAGTTATCATTTTTTAGTTTCTTTGAATTTAATTAAATTAAAAAGTATATATAAGGTAGTTCTCAATGCACTATTTTAAAATTTAACTTAACAAATTTATAAAGTTTGTTTACTTACCCAATCTAGCATATAGGAGGAGATTAGTATTAAATAATATAGAATTTTAAGTTATATTAAAATTAATAAAAAAGAATTTTACATAATTAACAAAAAAATTAAATATAATAACTCAGTATAAGAGATAATTAATAAAATTCAGCATACCAACAACAGAAAGAGTTTTCAACTTGAACTCATTGCCATAAAACACCACAAAACATTTAGTAGATTCATATTTTTTTAATTCGTCAGGCCATCTTTCAAATTCTTTACTACTTCTACCAAACCGTACTTCTTTAGCATCTCTTAAATCCACTAGAAATAAAGCTTATTAAATAAGTTTAGATATAAAATAGTAATATAATAAATAACCAACAACATCCATCAAATATTTTAGTATTGGAACTAGTAGTCCTCGACCATAAAAGTTGTCTAGTTTCAACACGCAACCGAAGAGTACGCTTTTCTGGTCTTTTTTTCAAATAAAATCTTGTGATTAATGTTCCTCTTTCTAAAATGTTGATGATTTGATCGAATTCTGGTACAAACAAATTAGTAGAAAAAAGATTCCCACAAGCCATTTTGCTGAAAATTTTGTTCAGCTATTTTTCTAAGAGTGGTCATTCATGAATTGTAGTAGTTTAGTTAACTACCTAATTGACTGTTTCTCCATTCTCTAGACACAGGATTATGAAAGAATATATCTCAGCAACTGAGGATGCATTCGGAATCGTGATAACATGTTATCAGATAAATTCCATCTATCTTTAATTCAGATAAGATGCAAAGAACTTGAATCCAATATGTACAAATGCAGAAACTCATTAATAGATTAAAAAATTAAATCATAGATATATTTTTAAAACATATTCTATTAAGAGATATATGAATATCCTAATAAACGTACTTGATACTCAAACATTACAATGAACCATTTAAGGATAGCAAAATTATTTTATTTTAAACTTTTTAATTTCCTTAGAACAGATAATTTTCCTCACATAAAATATACGCGATGACCTTAAAATCAATAAATTACACAACACTATAAACCAAATTTGTTTTGTAATTAAATAGGAAGTAACTCTGCACATGGTGTATGTTCATAATTCACAGTAATTGGTTATTAAATATATTATTAGTCTACTTACTATAACTTTTTCTTGTGGTGTTTTTATTTTTTAATATAACCGATTTTTAAATAGTAAGATATTTTTGAATCTTATGTATTTGCTTAACTTTGAAATGCTTTCAAAAAAGAAAACATATTTGTTAAATTTCTTTAAATTTAATTATAAAGTCTTAAGTGTCAAACATAGTTTCTAAATATATAAATGTAAAGATTTTATTTACTCATCATTAAATATTACAAATTAAAGTGTGAATGATTATCAATAAAAAAAAATGTAATCATAAATACAGTTTATATATAAAATTATAATGATTAAAATTTTAACTTTACTCCGCCTCAAATGTGCTGTAAATTTACAACATTGAAAACTTAAAGTTTAACAATATTGTTAAATCTAAAATTTGTTAACAAATCTGAAGGAACATTATTGTTTGAACTTTTGTAAGTTACGTAATTATTCAATTACTATTAAAACAAGAGCAAGACAGATATATTGAAAAGATAATTTACTCTACCTTTTTAAATTTTGTATGATGATAATACATGGGTAGTATGATTAATTTCATTATTTGTTTTAGTTATTTTGAAATTTTCACAATGTCTACTTAAAAAATTGGAGTGTTAAAACGTAGAGAAAAAATTAAGATTAATAACAAATTTAGAACTCGAGTTGATCCAAATTGTTTCGTTATTGTTGACACAATAATATTATATGTTTAAAATCATGTTATATGATTATATGTTTTCTAAAATATTTAGAACTATAATGTTTTCTAGCTTTAAATATTTTAGAAAAATTACATGACAATGAAAAAAAAATTGTGGTAAACTGGTTGTTTTAAGTCAAATTTGATCACACGGATAAGTGTCTTCGGGAAGAGTAAAATTAATAACTATAACGTAAATTTCACCGATGGAACACTAACCAACGAGTAATCGGTCAGATTAATATTTATACAAATTAATAATAACATTAACAATTAACGAGTATTTGATGTCATCGAATCGGTGGTGATTAATAAATACTTTTTAAAAATGAACTCGGGTAACAACACTTTCTAGTAGTTAAAATATTACATAAGAATTAATTAAAAACATTAACATAAATTTATAAATTCTAAATATTTACAAAATAACATTGAGTTCACGACAAAACGATCAGTGCCATGAATTTTACTTTGTTATCAACTTGATAAACGAAGCTTCAAATGTACGGGATCCAAAGGAATAATACATTATTTACTAATGGCGTAGAACGTTAGTAAAATGTCGTTTTGAGAGTATATAGAAAAATTTTGGAACGTTTCTGGCGTATGGCCGTCAAAAAAATCATAATTATTGCTATGGAAAATTTATAACAAAATTATTGCACGTATAATTGTATATTTATGTATACCTTTAATGCTAAAAGTAGCACAAAGTGCATGGTCTAATTATCACATGTCCTTTTTGCAAAAATACATGTCTTCTTCTTCTTCCTCGCCTTAATCCCAAATACTTGAGGTCGGTCACCCTTATCCTAAACTTCCACTTGACACGATCTCCCACATCCTCTACGCTCACATCAGCTGTCCACATATCGCATTCAATAACATCTCTCCATCTTTTTTTTGGTCTTCTTCTACCTCTTCTTCCTTCAACATTCATTTCTATAACTTTTTGTAAAAACACATGTATTGCTGTAAAAATTTTAGTCAATAAGGGGTGTGTTTTTACCCAAAACGTAAAATTCTTAAATATGTTTGGATAAATATAAAAAAAAACAGCAATCAATTATTGTTTTTCACATTCGGGAAATCGACTTTTTATGAGCTTATAATTTGTTATGTAAATACCTTAGTTTAACTAATGATTTTATATAATGTTCATGAACATTAAGATTTTCTCATTAATTTTCTTTCTTAAAGACACAAAATAAAAATTTTTTGTGACAGAATAATTACAAATGTAACGAATACGTTGCGCACCTGTTGGATTATGGTACAGTGACGTCACAATATAGCCTGTGAACATGAAAGCCGGTTCTCCCGTCGATGTCCTACATTGGGATTCCCGTTACTTGTGCCACTTGTGCCGTGGACGACACCGCGCGAGTTTCTTTACTACATGTTTTATTGTATCTCAACGATACCGGTTGTATATTGACTATAATACTGTATCCAAATTATTATTTTTCTATAGTATACTGTGATATTGATTGAAGTGCAAATTTCACAGGTTTATTTACAGTGCGCACGCTATTAGAGGACAACATTTCATATTAATAGCGAATTCGATAAAAATAGGAAATACATGGAAACAGTTAAGGAGCATTTCAGAGTAACCAAGAGCGACACTTCAAGAAGTAGTCATAAGTCAGGTGGCAAGAAAAAGAGCAAATTTCTTGCGTACCTGCTGTGGCTTTTTGGCGGCCTTTGTGGCCTGCACCATTTCTATTTAGGCCGTGATATCCAAGGTTTACTCTGGTGGTGCACATTTGGCGGGTACTTTGGAGTTGGATGGTTTAGAGATTTGTTCTACATTGGCAAGTACGTTGATTACGCCAACGATGACGAACACTACCGCCGAAAAATGGCCTTCGAAATTCGAGCTAACCCTAAGGTAACAATAATATTATTATTATAATAGATAACGTACAATATGTAATTATAGACCACTAAAAATGAATATTCCCAAAGTAATTAACTGTTCTATGATTTCCACGTAGGCGTATGACGCATTAACTTTTATTGCGATTGCGATTAAATTTTTTATAGTTGGCGCAAACTTTTAAAATTCGCAAGCCATTGAAAATAGTACACGTATTACAAAAACTATCATAATTTTACAGTTTAACTTAATGAACAACCGTTATTTTTCTTCTCGGTTATCATTCCGTTATAATGATAAATGTTTATAATTGTTTGAAGATAACCAAATATATATATATATATATATATATTACTACGAAAAACACTAAATTTGTTCATTTTAAACGTTCAAATCTCTTATTAAAACATTTTAGATTACTCTCTTTGTGAGGATAAAAGTATCACAAACATTATTTATCATCAATCTACATCTAACGCAATTGCTGTGGTTATAAGATAAAGCTTGGTTCTAGAAAATGTTTATTTTGAATTTCATTGCCGCAGTTATTTTACGTGTTTGGTGGTTTTATTTGTCGCATTAAACATTAAACGGATTTGTCTGGATTAAAAAATTAATTTTTAAAATCATCTAATATTTCATTTATTTCTAGTAAAGGTTAAAACAACAAATTACCTGTTATCAAACATCCAAAGAAAATTTATAGAATTAGTTGGAAATATTATGCTTTTGATTTTATAATATTACTCTAAGTGTTTAATTGGCAATGGTGAGATTAAATAATTAAATAAGAGTTGTTTCTCAACAAATTAATTAACGTTTTACTGCAAAATTGTGCTACGTTTAAGGAAAAATAATTTACCTAGAATATTAATTTTTGTCTTTTGTTGTATAGTGTTGGTGTTATGAAAAGTCTTATGAAATTGTGCTACGTAATTACCTTATATTAGTAGTAGCTTTGGTAGTGCTTATTGTCTTCTTATCTTACCATCTATTAACATATTTTTTAATAAAATATTATGATCTCATTTTTTATTGTTTTACAGTTAACTTTTAAATTGCTTGATATTAATACATTAGATGAGTAATATTGTCAAGAATCGGTAGGACTGATGACATTTATCGGCAGTGGTATAAAGCTATTTTTAGACAATAATCACAGGATTCTGTTGGTTTTACAATGCCGTTCAAAAAATTAATTTTGTTCACTGTGTCTTTTCAACTAGATATAAGCTTTGTATAAGGATAGAAAAACAAATGATTTAAATTGGATTTCTCCTTGAACAATAATTTAAAATATGTATCTTGAAACTAAAAAAAAAATCACGCTTTGGCCATAAACTTTATTTTTTTTCTAAAATCTGAACTTATCCTTTTTGTGTAGTTTTAGAAAATTCTATTAACTTTTACAGTTATGTACTCAACACTTGTTGTCTAACGAAAATATCTTTTCTATTTTCCTCCATTAAAAATTATTTAATATTCAACAAATTAATCGAACTCCAAATGAATGAAAATACCATATTATAATACCTTCTAACTATTAATAGTATCTGATAATTGTCAATATTGTCAGTACCTGTCAATTAGTGCTAATGTGTTACCACTCTCTTACTTAACGTAGTTATATGCACCTGAAAGCAAATTACATTAAATTCATTACATTTCTAAAGAAATTGGTAACTGATTTCAATGAACATTTTATAAAAAAATCTAATTACGAAAAAAATATTATATATAACAAACAACAAAAATGTGCATTTTATATATTCACTCATTCACCCTCAATAATTCGTGATCTTCTAATAAGTATCCATTATGGAATTTGACCTTGAAAAATACCTCTCTTCAATTGTAGTATGTTATTCACCTATTACCTCAAATAATATAAAACCTGTAGCTCAAATATTGTGACGTGTCATTTCTAATATTTTTAATTATTGAACTTTACAATTATTTAAAGTATTGTCATTTATATAAAAATAGCTTAATCATTTTACTTATGAAAACTATATGCGTTGTTATTCATACATCCAACTTCCACGTAATCATTTTATTGAAATTTTAAAATAGTAAACTATAAGATTATATAATTGTAGATCGCACAGACGCCGGTAGATCGCGGTGATTATGTTTTACTTATTCACTCTCACATGTAATCATTTGCACGTTTCTGCTCAATATATAAACGCAAATAAGGACATTTTTATAATATCTCGTCTTTGTCACCTTACCATCGGGTCTACACTCCTGGCGCCGTAACCGAGCGGTTACGGATTGTCCAATATTTGACCCGAGGAAAGTCCCCGGACCGTGTTATCCGCAGAAAGTGCACCGACCTTACGGTCGTTCAAAATATCTCTTTCGTCCGCACCTATTACGGAAGTGAGTGGATGCCCTGGCGTGTCCACGATCTGTAAGGGCGTTAGGGGTATCTTTGCTTGGTCCTAGCCATAAAGTATGTAAAGGGAGAAACACACACCTGTGATTCTTAACAGAATGGGGCTTACACACGAAGACGAGATTCTCAATTTTTATTTTGTCTTAATATAATTGCTTAAAAAATATACAAATCATAATATAATGATCAAAAAAATTCAAAATATGTTAATTTTACCATATATTAATTTACTTTATTTGATTTTGAAATAAGAAAAAATCATAATAGTTGTTGTATGCGCAAATAGTCTTCTAGGGTTAGGGATATTTAAATTATAAAAATTATGGCCCAACAATTATTTTTATGGCTTCACTTAAATTAATGTGCTTTAAATTATTCAATCAATAACGTACTCATAAATGAACGATAAAAAATGTTGTATATGTACATTTATCTAATATATAACTATTTTATCCATATCTGTATACTAATATGGTTGTGTAAACAAATTTTTAGGCCTTTAGAACTTGAGTATCTTTTAGCCCCGAACACTAATGTGGTCATAACATAGTACGACACTTAGATAGAATACATACTGTACAGTGATAACGATATATATAAAATGTGATTTCTATTATAAACAATGTATGTAAGTTGTTTGAGTTTTTACAAATTAAGTTTGAACAATGTTTAATTAAAACTCCATTATACCTTATCATCTAAACGAATTTAATAATCGTTCATTAGAAATCAAACGTATTTTATTATTATAAAAATGTCAATAGATTAATTATATATTGAACACTTTACTAAAATTAGACTTACAGCATTCAAAGGAATTTTAGTTAAATTTAATAAATTTCTCATTATGTTTATCTATAAAAAGTAATTTTACATTATTTTAAAATACTTCATTAAATAATTTAATTATTTATTATAAATATTGTAAGTTTTTATTTAAAAAAAAAATATTCTTATTATGATTTTTATAAAATGATTAATTGAGTGTCAAAAACATAATAAACATTTGCTTATACGATACAAAGTAAGGTAGTCTGAAATATCTAGTTTCACTGTAAGGGTGTTAACATCTGTTACTTGTACCGTATTTTGTTTTTTTTTTTTTTTGATAAAAAGCTCGATCAATGTCACATATTTTTCATAGTTGGAACTCAAAAGTCAACAACCTTTAAAACTGATTTATGTATAAAAATATAAACAATATCAATAATAAACAAAATCTTTTATACTTTTCGAGACTTAACTTAGTTTCATATATTTTATGTAAAACAAAATCATTTTAATTATCTTAATTAAAAAAAACATTAAAGTCTTAACTAGTTTTGTTTTAAGCTAATAAGAGTGTTAATCTAGACTAGTTATTTGTATGCATGAAACTGATGTTGGCTAATGTCAAATCAACTTTCTAATTATTAAGAAGAAAGAATTAAAAAATTCAATTAACTGTTTAAAATATTGTCTCAAATTTTTTATGTGTAATTTTACTCATTTTATATTATTAAATTGCTTAACTAACGTAGAAATGATAATTCTTTATTTTTAAGTAAAATACTGAAAAATTATTTTTAGAAAAGATTGGTCTTGTTAATACGAATATTTTACCTCAATTTTATGTTTTATTTGTTTTATAGACCTTATTTAAAGTAGATAATTCATTTTGTGTTCAGTTGTTGTTTGAACAGCTTTGAGTTCGTTGAAACATTGACTTATTACATTATTTTTTAACGTTTTATTATTTTGAACAATTAAAAATTGTTAAAACTTTGTAATACTAAACGGTTTTATTGAAATTTTACAAAAAAATTGGCTAGACTACCTTTAAATTACACATTACATAATTAAAATTTATGAGGTGTCTAATCTCTAAACAACTGATATATGTAGCATTATATGCATGCATTAATACTCGTATAAATTATGAACAGGTAGTTTCTGTAATATGGGTTAAAAATTCACGAAATGGTCTATATAAACTGGGACATTTATAATACGATTGATAATTATAGTTTAATCATTGATTATCGCAGTTTATCAACCGTGTATCGAACCTGTGTCTAAAAACTTGAACTAAAAAAAAGTCATTAACTTTATATTATTATTGTACTAAAACAACTGTCCTTATTTGACTTCATTAAACGAGAAATCGTTTTGTAGGGTCATTCGGCTATGAGATAGTAATCGGTCCATTTGACTTAATTGTGACTTATGCGTGTTTCAGCCTCCATTTTCATCGTGCCGTTTTACTGGTATGGTTATGGTAGGATACCTTTTTAGCACAGTCGTATCATTAGCTATACCCGAAGATAAAGTCGGAGGACTTAGTTGGGAATGGCTACACGCATTCACTCCATTAGCCGCAGCCTTTGGTAAGTACTGTTCGTGTGATCATATATATGTTGTTTATACATTCTAAAAAAGTTTACACCAAAACGTGTATTCTGTAAAGCATGACGCCGTATGGCTTTAAGGATCGTTTACTTTATGATGTTGTTTGTCATGGAAACTATCTAAACGACATCAAAGTTTATTAACCGTTGGATGATATAACATTTTTTTTTATCCCTTAAAATAGAATAAAGGTTTTACTGAGTATGTGTTTACCATAAACAATATAATTTTTAGGCGTGTGGGCTGTTGGCAACATCGGACACGAAACAGGAGCGATAAAATGGCCGGCTTTGTCAGCTTATGCTATCTGGGGACTAGGTAATCCATTGAGGGCATTTGTTTTTAAGTTCACGAATTTGGACATTGACGAATCGATGTCGTTTACTATCATGATTCTAGTTGCTGCTTGCGTTTTTGATAAGGTAAAAAAATGGCGCGTTCGAAGGAAGAAAACTGCTGGTGTTTGCAAGTGAGTACTAAGACAGTACTAGTATTGTTATACCGAACCGATAAGTTGATTTAAATTATAAACATGTAATTCCTAGACGTATGCTGATAATAAGTGCTTGTTGTCTGCTATACATGTCATTGTGGAGCAGTTATTTGTATTTTAACGCCAAAGTGACTGATGAAAATGGTGAAGAGGTACCTTTCCACGAAGCTTTAGGTCACTTCTTTAATTCTCCCTGGTGGTTGGACGTAAAACAATCGTTATTGGACGTTTGGAATTTCGCGCAAGCTCATGGTTGGATGGAAACGTGGCGGCAAATTGTAACACTATCCGACCCGTCTGGGGAACAAAATGCCTTTAAAGTAAGTAATTTCAAATTCATAACAAACAAATAATAGTAGAGTAGTTAGGTAGTTCTGAGTAGAATGTTATCATTAAAGAACGTTAAAATTTTATTCAAATCTGTGGTATTCCGAATCAAAGGAAGTTTACTGCTCTCCTATTTCAACGTACTAGGGAAACAAAATCTTGTGAATCTCGTTTCTATTCGACAAATGATTATGGTCAAATACTTTTGTATAGTTTCTACTGTAAACTATTAAAACAGTAAATATATTTGGCACATTCTCTTTGAACTTGGGTTATTTTAAGAATGCGGAAAACATTAATGATTCATAAAATCCACAAATCTCAAAAGCTGTCGCCGCTCGCTTTTTGATGTGATTGTTGTTTTCGTATTAATAAATCTAATTTACACAACGATTTCGATTAAACTTTTGGTGGTTGTTTTAATTTTAATTACTATATTGTGGTAATGCAAAGTAAAGTCAACAACAAACCAACCGAGTTGAGTACTTTCATTTTTTTGGTATTCGCGTGTAGTTAATGCTTTGTTCTGAAACAATGTGCTATGGGGTTGCCTGAAGCGAATAGAATAAGGCAATTCAAGTATTTGATACTTAAATTGGTACGATTTCTATCGAATTTCCATTTGAATATAAATCAATATTTCTTTACAGGTGTTGGGGTTGATGTCGGGTGCTTCACAGACTGAAATAAAGCAACAATGTAAGACATTGGCGGTGAAATATCATCCGGATAAAGCCAAAGACGAAGTATCTAAAAAAGAATCACAAGACAGATTCTTCGAAGTTCAGCAAGCGTGCGAGTTGTTATCCAATAGTCGGGTAAAGAGACGTAGGAGAAATAAACAGTTTAAGGAAGAGCTTTAAGTCATTTTAGCGTAACATTTAAACAAAAACAGTCGTGTCTGTTTGCATATGCATTGAGTTATCCAAGTTATTCACTGCCTTAACTATTTATGTCATCAAACTCTCAAAAGTTACCACTCACAGTTGATAGTTGTTCATTCAAATGAGCAACACAAACTAAATCCCAAACTACAATTTTGAATCAACAAATCATAAAAACTATTATAACTTGTTATAAACATTAATATTAATCGACTACAAAAATCAATTACAGCTTAACATTTGGATAACTCTTGTACAAAACTTTTTTTTTTATTGATATTGTAATTTAATATTTTATGCAAACCATACTTTGGATTGCATTCTGTGATATAAAATAAAAATAGGAACTCAATCGATTCGCGTTTGCGGACTTTCTGACAACTGTGAAAATCGTTTAGATACTTCGGAACTCTAAATAAATACATATAATATTTAATATGAAAATCAAGTTGAAAATTGCAAAACTTTTAAGGACTGATGTCAAAATGAGTTTTTCATTACTAAAAAATATTACCCTAGTCTAGAAATGTAAAATTTTAAAAATGTCATTCTAACTCTTTTTCCGCCTACCTTGTATTTATTCCATTATTAATTATTATTAAATTAAAAGTATTTAGTAAAGTCAATAATTTAAAAGTTCCTAAAATAAAAAAAATATCAATTACAATATTTGATAATATAATTTAAAATGTATCATTTGTTTAAGGTGTTTAATATCTTATTTGCAATAACCAGTGTGTATTATAATTATTTGTTTATATTTAATTTTTGTTGTATATTTATATAATTACCTAAATTAATCCTTTATTTATTAATTTTAATAACAAATAACAGCAAAATGCTTTGTTAATAATAATATTGTATATTTACAACACAAATAATGATTGTTTTTATTCGAGTAGTAATTAATATGTGATATTGGTACATTCATGAAATGTTTATTAATTTATCAATGCTCAAAAATAAAATAAAATTACTTTTTAATTATAATTTTTATTGATATTTCCATAAAAATATTTGAATTCATACTAACCAGATAGCATATCAATTTGCAATTCATTTATACCTAATTGAAATAAATTTTATTTCAATTAGGCGTTTAATTTAATTATACTTTGACTACGTCATCATTAATTAAAATAATATTTCAATGTTAATATATTTTTTGTATAAACATGTATAATTTTTATAAGCAAAATAAATAAGACAAGTGTTAATTACTTTGTACAGTATTTTTTAATATTGATATGGTCAATTCATTAATAAAATAATTTAAAATAAATTTACTGTTTTACTACAAAAATTTTATTAATATTAACATAGTTATTTAAAAAATGGTAAAACAAAATAAATTATTTGACTTTTTTTACAATTAGAACATAATTAATAATTTAAGGTGTTAAAAGCATTATTTAATATTTATCCATAAAAAGATAAATTTTTATTTTTATTATCCACCATAATGGAAGCTGTTTTAAGCTATTAACATAATATTATTTTCTTTTTAAATCCATTTATCTAAAGGATTATATCCACAAAATGAAGTTTTATAATAAATTAAATATGTATTATTCATGTGCTTAAGTATGGAACAAAAACATTTTCGATGATAAAACTTATTAATTTGTTTAAATTTTTTTCCAATATAAAACTGAACTCTGTAATGCAAACTTTTTATATAATAAAGTAATTACTAAAGATGTCTTTAGTAAAAATATTTAATTTAGCTTCATTAATCTTTATTTGATTTTTATAAAAATAATTTTATTGAGATTAGCACAATTATTAATACTTATATAGTTGGAGTAATCAATTTTATTATCAGGCTAATATTTTTAATTTGAAATTGAATTTAATGAATACACACAAAATAATAGTAATAGTATATTCTTAGAATTAAAATGCAAATGATAAGAATACGTTTGTTTTTATTATGAAAACAACATTATATATGTAATATATTAATATTATATATGAAATAAAGCTAACAAAAAAGTTATACAAGAAAGCTGAAAAGTTTGTTTCCAATTCAACACATAACAAAAAGCTCATTATAAATTTAAAACAAATGAATATTTGCCTACGCATTCATTTGGAAAATATACTGTTTTTACTAGTTATGGTCAATTTAGTATGTAAAAATAATATCGGGTATACAAAAGTTTTAATCAATAACTGCGTAAAAGCATTATTTATAAAAAACAGTTGTTCAACGTTATTCATTGCTAAAAATATAAATTTACTTCAAAACTTATATAAAGTTATTATAATGAATAAAAATTGACGGATTTCTTTAAATTAATACTAAATGTCATAATAATTAAGAGTAATTAGAACAACATGAAATCCTAATTTATTTAAATGGCACTTAGTCATGATCTGGATTATTTTTTAAAACGCCACAGTATCTTTTGGTAATAAAAACATGAAAAAATGTAAATTATACCCAGGTTTTTATAAATTATTAAATACAGGTACACTTTAAAAAAATGTTTTTGTTAAAAAATATAACAAATTCTCTAATCATACTTTTCGAACGGCTAAAAATAATAATACAAAAGATTTTAATTGTAACTATGTTTCGCGAGAAACGTTATTTATAATTAAAAATATTCACCTACACTTAAATAAAAAGTGATTAACGAAATATTTGAGATTATTATTCATTTTATATTATTAGATATTTGAAATTGCGCAAGACTACATTTAATTCATAAATGGATTATGGTGTGGCTGGCAAAAACTGTATAGACACAAGTACTTATTATTTTACTTAAATGGAGTATAAACTAAAACACCTCGTCTTATTTGAAAACGCATTTTAATATATAAACTCTATTCAAATAAACCCAACCTGAGGAAACCACAATTATTGATTAAATTCTCCCCGTTTTGATGAAACCATCTGAAACGAAATAAATAAATCAATCAACTATTATTTAATCTCAGCTATTTATCAAAATAATATAAATGTAATAATTAATAATAGAACTGTTAATCTTTTACTTCATTCCTCAAAAAAAAAAAAAAAAATTATAAAAATATTTACATTTGTTTTAAAAACGTGTAAAGTCTTTAAATAAAAATAAATAAAGGGTTGACATTTAATTAATGTAGACTAAATCAACGATAGTTTTCGAAAAAGCTTGCGCTTCAAAATAAATTATAATAAAAGACATTTATATCTTTTAAAAAGATTTGGTTAAATTTAATAACAGTAAATAAAAAAATTGTAAATAAAAAGCAGGCAAACAATGATCGCCTTTTTATTTAAATATTGTATACATAAATACATATAAGTAACAATAATAACTATTTATTGTTATTATTTTTAACGACCAGACGACTATCAAATAAATGTCTAACCATTTTTACCCGGATAAAACCATTTAAATAAACTCATTCTTCTGAAAAAAAAATTAATGTTTTGTTTTTAAAAACTTTTTAAAAGTTTTAAAGTGGAAATGAAAAAGAACCTACAAAAAACACCTAAATGCATAACTGCGCGTACATTTTGGAATAGAGACAAAATGCGAAATCGCTTCCTTTACGTTTTTATACATTTTCAACTAAATGGAAAACATGCCCGGGAGTGTAAACCTAATACTACGCTAAAATTACAAAATTTAACTCAAATTTTGAGCAATAAATATTACATTAGTATCAATAAGAGTAATAAATATAGTCTCGAACACTGAAACACGTTCGTTTTGTTTTCAATAAATCAATAAAAATCATCAAAACAAATAATACATATTTAGTTATTTGAATCTTTATGATAAATAAAAAAAGAAAGAACGCCATTAAAATGAATACCATGGAGTTGCATTTACTCGTTTAGAAAGAAGTTGTTTTCAGTTAATTAATATTCTCTATGTATACTACGATTTTGTGTCGTTCAAGTTGTTTTATTATACAAAATACTGGAAAGGTTTGATATGCTGTGTATAGTATAAACCAAGCACAAATCATATACTCAGTAAAAAAAATATTTTCCCTCGGAATAACAATAGTGTTCTAATTTTTAGTTCGATCATCGCCTTTTATCCTTATGTTTTTTTTTACAGCGAGTCTCTGGTGATTGTGGAGTCACCGGAGCATTTGGTTGATCCTGTAGTCCGGTTATAGTAACCTTTGGCACTGTGAGTGGTCTGAGCAACGATTTTACCATTGGTTTAGTACGTGTATTCACAGGCAACGCTGGACTACTAGCACACAATGCAGCCCCAGTTAGTTGTGTCACCAAGGAATACTGGTTAGCCGTCGAGTCCGGATTGGAGGATGTGCGGAAGGCTCGCTTTAGTTTTGACTTGATCGAGTGACGCTGTGAACCTGATCGTTGAAGACTTGAAGGTGGCTGCATTAGTCGTCCGTTAATTAACAGATGAGGCCCTAATTCGGGATCACTACCCCAACGTCCATAAGAGGTGGTTCGTTCCAACAATCTGTTTCGAGCTAATTTTTCTATGGCGTCTGCACAGTTGTATCGGCCACAAAATCTAGCCCATTGTTCAGCTCGTAGTCCACGACCAGTGTCCCGCATGGTCGGCGAGGCGCCTATGAACATTCCAAAAAAATTATACAAATCAATGACAAATTGAAAAGTAACAGATCAATGGAAACACAATTTTTATTAAAACATTTAAGCAACACAAATCGATATATGATAATGAATAATGGCTAAACATTAAAAAGTACATAATTGATAAACACATTGACAACGATTTGCATAGTAATAAAAACATAGTAGCTGAAACATTATTTTTGTTAGTTATTAAATTTTATTAAGTTTTCAATACGAAAAAACGCATAGAAAACTAAATTGGAGTTTTGAATCAAATAAAGAATTATTAATAATATAAACTTTTCAGGTGTGTTCTTAGGTAAGATGAAACATCTTAGTTCACAATATGCCAATGAATTAAAAATAAATTAGACAAGTGCAAACAAACAGAAAACAAAAGGTATTTGTCTGTCATTGTATATTCATATTACTTATTGTTCATATAAAAGTTCATAAAAAGGAAAATAATTTAGTTTCGTTTAATCAGCTGAGTTCAAAACATACAACTTTCAATAGTATACAAGTATTACATTCATCATATAAACAAAATTTGAATAATAATCTTAAAAGTACATTTAAAAAATTATTATTATTTAATTTAGAGCATCTGTTAGAACTAGAAAATTTATGTATATTTTCTAAAGCTCATTTTAATCAATTTTAATTTACTATGAATTAAAAAAATTATAGTTGTTTGAGATATTGAGTTTTAAAGATTGAGATGTTTAAAATACTAATACAATTTAGAATTTAAAAACTATAAATCTAACGATACAATAATTATAAATGTCAGTGAAATACATATGGTCCTTTACATCTATTCGCAGAACATGTTAAGGATAGGTAAACATCCTACTTTGTGCCATAAAGTTATTTCCACTAATCAAGCTCTATCTTTTTAATTCGAGAACTTTATAAAAATTTTATATTAACTTTATTGTAATATTATACATAGTCTTCTGAAAAATTATTTATTTTAAAGTTCAATAAATCAAACTTCAAAAGTTCAATTCGATTAAAACTTTAAGCAGAAAGTTACATTGCATTTAAATAAATTGTAAATCAATACTTTAATAGTATTATAATGAAAGCTTTTTTGATTAATATAAATATCCATGGCATTAATTATCATAGAATGTTTTTTTTTAATAATAATGTAATTTTAACTTCTCTAATTAAAGAAATCAAAATTATTGTTATAGCTACTAAAATATTTTATAAAAGTAACCAAGTGAAAATACACTATGGAAAAATGTATTATTATTATCACATTATTAATATTATGTAATTATTACCCGAAATTCCATCTAATGACACTCACACATAAATATATCTATTAATATATAAATGAATAATTGTTACCAGTGTTACAGAAATATACTATCAACGTTTATTTGCAAAGGAATTGTATTTTATAATAAAATGCGTAGGGTGAAAAAAATTAAATTTAGTCCGCGCGGGAAGACCTTTCATTTTAAACAAAGAACACAGTACTATAAAGTAGTAAGCGTAATAGTCAATAGTAAGAATAAAAATTGTATTGTGGTTCTCAAATGTCTATGTATACATTAAATTAGTTAATACTTAAATTATCTAGAAGATATGAAATTAATTTAGAGAGTTTATTTTTGTTACAACATATTATTAAATATTTCTATCATTTTAATTTTAAATTGAAAACATTTATAACATAATGTTTTTGACATAAGCTAAATAAGTTTTTCAATTTTTATCTTTAGAAAACAAATTTTTGTTTTCAAAAAACTTGTAAATTTATTCATTTTTTTTGAATTTAAACTAATTTTAACCGAAAGTTAAAAATTTCGTTATTTATAAACTTGCTTTTGTTTTTACTATTTCATATTCAAATTTATTATTAGAGCTGAAATTTATTAAAATTTTATAAGATATTTACTAGAATGTCATGCTAACTTTTTGATAATTTACCTGCTTGAAAGTATACACTTGATATTTTTTCTTTTTCTAATAAAATTGTCAATAATATACTTCTCATCATTTACTAAATTAATTATAATACTTTGACAAATACTATTATTTTATATTGTTTTTTATTTAAAACCTATTCTTTTAATTAAAATAGATTAAAACTAATTTAAAATTAATTCATAAAATCACAAAAGTTTGTATCATATAGGCTTACATCAACAACATGATTAAAATCTTATTATATGTTCTATCGATTAGTAAATGATTAATTATCGGTGTAGTGTGATATTGAACTATGTAATAAAATTCAAGGATAACTAAAAGGAATTAAAAAATTTGTAAATATCTAAAAGACTATATTAAATAAAAATAAAATGAAAAGTTCTTCAAATTTGTGATGTTTTTATACAGTTGTATAAATATTAAACAAAAAAGCAAATGTTATGATTTTTTTTTTTAAATTAAGATATTCATATATGTTCAAAGTAAAAATAAGTTTTAAACGTCTAATGTTATATCTACGTTAGTTGATAAGTAAAATCAAATATGAATGTAGAAGGTCAATGATGTTAATTATTGTCATTTGGTTTTTTAGTAAATTAGTTAACAAAAGTTTAATAATAAAACAAAAGAAGATAACTAGCCTTGTGAGGCTTTGAAATCATTTAAAGTGAACGTGTATAATTTCAAACCAAATTTAGTAAAAGAAAAAATAAATAATAAGATTTCAAATTGATTTTTTATTTTTACAGTTTTAAATGTAGCGTGCAATATTTTTTTTTACTAAACTTACAATGCATCACAGCTTTTCACAAAATAATTTGTTTAAACATTTTAACTAAATCTTAAATTACCAATCTAAACAATCTAGCCAGGCCTTTTTTGTTTTTTTTTTAGCTTATCGCATGGTCATATTAGCGCCAAGAAACATACTATTTATAGTAATAATTTTTTAATTGGGAGGGTGGCTATAGCCCCTTTAACCGTCTCTTGGCTACGCTACTGAAATAACCCATATAAATATTTTTAAAACACAATTTGAAATAGCTGAGGTATTTACCCTGCGCAAACGGCTGAGTGTTAAGCCAAATATAGCTGACCAAACGTATGATTATAATCATACGTTTCGACTTTAAGCTAAAATTATCTGCTTTAATATTTAATTGATACTACCTTTGACACTTTAATTAATAATAGAAACTATTTATGTATTTTTTATAATTTTAATCTATTGCACAGTGTTAAGAATATTTTGTATTTTTGAAGAATAAAATGGTTTGAAACAAAAGTTTGCATAAGTGTACGAGATGAAAATTTTGTTTGTCAGTAAATTTTCATTTACTCGTGTTTTTACGAAAATAAACATTTAGTTAAAGTTTCCAATATTTACAATCTACACAGAAGATATAAACGTTGTGTCAACATTGTTAAAAATCATTGCGAGTTCAATTTATCACGACATTACCTTGCCAACTAAATTTTTAGGTTTTTTAAACTACCAAAAATATGTTATACTTGGGTTTTTTAATACATTAACCAGCTATTAATATATAATGTAGATATACTAGTTCGTAAGTTGTTATTTTTTTCTGTTGTCCAGTCAATAATACAATTAATAATGGAATAAGTTTCATTAGGAAATTACGTTAAAAAGTGTTAAGAAGAGAATCATACTGACATTAATATAACATAACAATATTAATAAAATAATAATATGATTTAAAGTATTCTGGGATAAAAGTGCACATCATTTATTCTATCACATATGACTTGTAGTATATGATAGTTACAAACAATTTTATTGAATTTACTAATTTTGCAATTCAATATCATAAAATTTAATTGTATGAGTGATAAAATAAGTGGCCATTTAGTAATACATTTTTAATAAATGAGATAATTACATAAAAATTGGAGTAAAAATTATTAGATTAATTATTCAAATTTAATAAAATAATGTATGAACTTCATTTATTTCAAAATAAGTATAAATTGAATTATTTTAGAGTGACGTTCGACTTTAACTTTAAATCAAAACATTTTTTTTTTAATTCCATGTCATAAATTGTGCGCGGAAATAAAACTATGTCATTACTCAATATTGATTAATGAAAATATTATATATTCGATAAAAAAAAATTCAAGTCGTATAAAGTTGTTTTATAAACTTAAAAAAGTGTTCTTAAAGAGTGAAATATAACAAGTATGAATATTTTTTATAATTTATTAAATTTAGTTGGATGATTTTGTAACAATTAAAAACACATGCAAAAATAGTTCAATATTTGATATTTATCCACCATTTGTTCATAGCTATAAAGTAAAATTATTCATTTCAATGTTGGACTCATACCTAAGTTTATTCAATTATTATTTTATCACATCTATGATTTTGGTAGATTCTTAGCCTGTAAAGCTGCCGGCTACATTGCAATCATATTATAGTTCTCTACCAAGAATAAAAACGCGTTTTGAAATTTAATTAACATGTAACTTAATGAAAAGTGACGTTGGAACAATTTTATATGTGTTTTACCTGCGTAAAGTAGGAACTTGGCACATTTGGTACGTCCCTGAAGGGCAGCCTTCATTAACGGCGTGAAACCTAAGCAGTTGCGGGCATCAATCTCTAGCTGCAGACAGCTGTTCAACAACAAACAGACGATCTCTGAATGACCTGGAAATGTCTGGATTAATGCAATCGCTAGCATCATATAATATTCTAATTATCTTAAAAAATAGTATTGGGATTTGAAGGACTTGACGCGGAAATGGCATGTACTGTATGAGTTGTTTATTATTCTCTCATTTATCTATTTAGATAAATGAGAGGATACATGTTTATGTATTAATACATTGGTACACATACATCATTTGAGTATTTCTGATTATTTCTCTAGCCACTGAAGTAGTATGAATTTCTAGACAGCAATAAATGCGCTGTTAGAGGCAATTTGAATTTTGCTAAAAACACTCTTGTGGAAAACTTTTGTCACTTTTCAAACATTATATAGGATTTTCTCACTTGAATCTCAAAGATCTTATTTTTAAAGAGTAACTTTTATATTATAATAAAATAGTAAAGATCTAGAGTTCAATTTTTATGCAATTAATATATTTTAAGTATGTATTGAATAACTCTAATTAATTATATTTCTTTTACTAACTCTATCTCCACAATTTAGTGAACGAGTTTTCCAACAATAATTGACATTATATGAACTTTCTTATATAAACGATTTTAGTATACGAAGGATAGCTAAAGTGTACAAACAGACATTCTATACAACGATGAATTTTGATATTTTCATACTGTTATTTAATTAAAATAATTTGCATCACTTGCATTACAATGTTACAATTAAATAGAAAACAACAAGAAATCTAAACAAAATCATGGGCGAATATTAACTTCTCATTCAGTATAATTTAATAAGTCGGAAAATCTAGAGTATATTTTAAATAAAATAAATTTTACGATCATATTAAAAAATATTCCGTTGTCAATTTTACAATTCATGCATAACATTTTGAAATAGTTCTTGTTGTGAATATAATAAAAATAACGTAATTGTTTTTCATTGAAAAACAAAATTGAATTACAGTCCAATAAAAATCCCATAAATTTAAAGCATCATACATTTTTCCCAAACTAATATTTAATGGCACCATGAAGGTTTATCTAGATATTACCTAGGATAACGTACCAACTACTTGCTGTATATTAAGTAGAAACAAATTTGCATTTAAGACTTCAATATAAAACAATTTGAATATTCTAAAACTAATACAGATACATAAATATTAAAATATCTTACCCGCTTGTGATGCAAAGTGTAATGGTGTGTTTCCCTCATTATCTGGTTTATTGTAATCCAGATCAAGCACTTTAAAAAGTTCTTCAATTAAATCTACACTACCACTAGAAGCCAAATAGCTGAGCAATGTCTGTAAATATAGCAAATAAAATGTTTGCATGTTTTAAAAAATATTCAGTAACTGTTTTTATTGTTATTACATACAAAATATTAACTCTAGTCTTAACATTTCTGAAAATTAGATAGCAAGTCATGATCATCTGCAGTTTATTTTAGACATTTTTTATATTTTTCCAAAGTATTTAAATGCATTTATGATATTAAAAATGATGAAATTCTAAAAGAACTTTTATTATATATATCATAAATTTACTAAATCAATATAATAGTACAACGATTATAAGAAGTAGAAAAATTAATATTAATTTAAATAAAATAACTAAAACTTAAGTTTTTAATAAAAGTTATTAAACCCTAAAACTTTTTAAAATTTAAAACTAAAATAATTTAAAAAAACAAGTAAGCATATTTAAGTTACAACGTATTAAAATAATTAATTAACGTATTTATCTATAGGTGATTTGCGTACATGTGTGTTTTTATGATAAAAAACATAGGATAGAAAATGGGAATACATCCAAATTGGCAGTAAAATTAATTTTATAAAATGTTTTTATTTTTACGTAAAGCTTAAGTGTTGTATTTACCGTGTAAACAATAAATAAAATACTATGCAATATGAATTAAAACAAAAATATTGGTAAGAATAATTGCATGAATTTTTCAATTAAACATTAAATAAATATGTTTTTCATAGTAGTACGTGTTTTCATGGTGACATGTGTCATAATTACTGAACATTTTAAGTGGGATTACATTATTCAAGCCTTACTGTTAGACTCTAATAGTTTCTTTCTCTACCGAATCACCCAAATTATTATGTTGAATTGTCCAACAATTTCTTGCTTATATATACAAAACACTTGTAAATATCAACGATATACAATAGATGAAATAATGAGGTAATTTGTTTTTAATCTAACAATGTTTATATAATATAACAAAATTATGAGGCTACGTCATATGAGTACAATCATGAATCCTCTGTATAACACCATTAAAGATATTTAAAGTCAATCGACTATGCCATCTTTTTATTTTTAGAAAAACCTAAAACTTCATATGTTTAAAGAATAAGTTAATAATCGTTGTAATGCCCTCTAAAATGTCCGAATACTTTCACACTAAAATTAATTTTAAAATGAAAAAAGTGTTTAAAATTTGTTTTATTTTGGTTATCTAACTACAACTCTTAAAGTTGATAAATGTGAAAAGTTTAGACTTACACATATCAATTGTATAACTGTATCAGTAATTACTTTTTGAAATTATATATTTAATTATGAAAGAATTTCCTAAATATTTGACATAGTATTTTTGTAAAAATATAGATATTCATATTCAAATAGCTTATTATTTAAGCATAATAACGAAATTGAGGAATTAAGCATCAAAATTTTAGTTTATTTTTTATAATCTCAATTTATGTTCAACAGCACTTTAGGGGTTTCCTTTATTTCTTAAAACATTAAAGATGATTTCCACGTCGTTAGTTGAGGACAAAAGAATTTTTATGATTCGATATAACATCAGAATCCAAAAGCTATCTTATCCTAAACCGGAATCAATGCCCCATGGATTTCAAAATACTACACAGTACCACAATAACTCACCGAACTAGAAAGTGAAAAAGTTCAATTTAACCATCGTCACGGAAACATCATAAATTGTTTTTTATTACTACACTGTAAATCCCTCCTACACACAATCAAAAACATATGACACGTTTTTGCTTACACGTGTGACAAATGTGTTGTTCATTGAAATAAAAATTGGCGATGGTCATTTCTTTTTCTTATTGTTTTGTAAATAGAAAAAAATTTAGAATATTCTGACACTGTCATAACTCACTCTGCCTGTTGAATCAGTATCATTTATATTGTTTTTGAAGAACTCTTCGTCGTGACTGGCTAATGTATTTGCCACAGTTTCCAGGTTCATGTCACGCGCAGCTTTCAAAATATTCCTTATGCATTCAGCTGGGTCATCTGTATCTACTAGTCCAAATTTAGGAGGTGACCGAACTCGTGGATCTGGGACATCTGGTGTCATGTCTATGGATATAAACCACATACGTAGTAAATAATTATACAAATATAAATAACAACAAAAATTAAAATTTTCGGATAATTATAACTATCAATTTAATAAAACTAATTATTTTGGAAAAAAAATTATTTAATGACACAAATTTATAACAATGCCGTTTTTTATTACGCGAAAAATAACAAGGAAAAAATGGTATAAAAGCTTAACATAATCCGAAAAAAAAAATAAACACATCATAGTAAAATTAATACCTTTTCAGCTTCGCATCGAAGCTAAAACAAGGGATGGCATTGTGAATTATACCTCCATGTTAAATCAGTTTATCCCTTCCAGTGGATATTATTTCATATATAAGTCTATCATAATTGCATGAATAATATACGGCTCACTAATATCCAGTTTCTCACATGCCATTAAAATGAACTATCATATTACCCAAAACATTATTAGGGTTTTAATTTTTAACAAAAAATGAACATTTTAATGCTGTAATATATACATTGCGGCGTAATTTTTATTTTTTAAGATATTTTCGAATTAAACCTAAAATAATACTTTCATCGCTAAAAAAGAAATATTAAATATTTTTAAAAATCTCTAAATGATAATGGTTAGTTCAATTATTAAACACTGAATAATAAAAGTTTATTTATAAAACTACTAATTTCAATCTGAAAAAGAAAAAATTAATAACAATAAAAAAATTAAATTTAAAACTTTTTTTATTATTCAAAACATTTAAAATATGTGTTTTGTTTAGTAAATTAATAGTTAGAATATTTACTTTATAAATACATAAACTTAGTACTGATTTTTCTTTTAATTAATATATATGATGTTTTCTTGCTATAATAATTATTATTGATAAATAGATTGTAATTTAGTACTATAGAATCATTAATTAATAAATTCAAATCGTGTTATCGCACTTGTGTTTACTGATTAATGAACTTAATTGTGTTCAAGTTGAAACGGCTTAGAAGACAGCTTGTATGTGCCTATGCATATAATATAATAAAGTCGCATGGCCTTAGCTCAAATAAAAGGAAACCTTTTCACGGCTTGCGTGTTATATTATGTAAGAGTCAAAAAGCAATTTTAAAATATATTTTCATTCTATTTCTAACATAATAGAAAGGCGTCTAGAAGAGATACATAAGAGAATGCAGGCCAAGTAAACAATATCTGTGTGTGCTACACGAATGTTAAAAATATAATTTCATTAATACGCGATAAAAACCAGAAAGGCTATAGAATTACTCCATTTGAGATGTATCTAGAGTTAATCTAACGGAGTTTATACATATATATACATATACATATTCCATTTTTATTAAACACATATAAAAAAATAACTAAATTGTATCAACATGATATTTTTTCTGGTTCTAACTTCTGATTAACCTTTTAACTTCACATTTAAAAGCTTAGAACATTTTTACCATTTTAGTTTGTTTAATAACAACATTTATTTATTTTATTTTTAAAAATTTAATATTAGTTTTTAATAACAACAAAAAATATGAATGTTATTACCACTGTTAAGTATACTCGAAACATATATTGACGTACAAAAATTTCCAGATGAAATTACTTGTTTTTAATTGAAAAATACAAACAAGTGTAGATTTAAAATATTTTTTTTGTTTAAATGGTGTATTGATTATGAACTAGTCACCGTAATCTACGAATAGCATTAAAACTATCAGAAATATTTAAAATAAAATTTTTAATCTAAAAATTGCACAAAAATTGTATTAAATTATAATTTATACATTTGCCTTTAAATAAAACAATAATTAAATTAATCTTCCTAACTGGAATTAAAAAATAAAAATAACTTAAAGTTTGCAAACTAAACATTTAGTTTAGTTATAAGTTTAAAGTTTTACAAGATAAAATATTCTCGTTATATGCCTTAATGAAAACAAACTTGATTTCTAAATTATAATCTAGTAATAGCTTAGCCTTTTCATCTTACATAATCAATTATACAATTAATTTTAATTATTTTTGTTCCCACAGTTATTAATTTGGTTCAAATAAATTCGAACTTATTATTATACCATTAGCAAAATGACCTATTTTCCATGTGGCTATATTATTGATTCTTGATTAACACAATGATTTAAAATTAAATTTACAAACTTCTTTAATTAAATTATTATTTATTATTGAGGCAAAAAGCTTATGTTATTTTTATAGAACATTATACCACGTGTTTTTATTGGTATATATTTAATCTGTTTACAATTGTTTAAAAGAATGCTAAAAAGTTGTCACACGCCGAAAGAATAGATACCTCAACTACTAGTTGGAAAATGTCCAAAAAAAAAAATTATTCATACAAATAAACCATTATACACAGTTTTATGTAGTTAGTACAATTCTAAACTCTAAAAAAGTAAAACAATTAAGTTCTCTCATAAATTTTTATTCAAACTTGATTATTATCAAAGAGTAATTTACAGAATTTTCATTAAAAATGTGTGCACAAAAATTTGTCCTCGCCTTTATCCTAAATACTTGGGGTCGACCAACACAAATATAACCTATTAAATAAAATATTATTTTCAAATGTATACAAGCAAAATTATTTTTTGAAATTAAAGTATGATAATAGGTAAGAAATTTCGCAATAAATTTATTTTTGATAAAATAGTTCTTCTATTCTAAAATTGGCTTTGTATATTTCATCAATAAAATTTAAATATCATGAAGTGAACAGAAAATGTTATTTGTATTACTCAATGAAATTAATAAAATGAAAACTTTCTGTGCATAATATTTATTATTAAGATTTTGAAAACTTAATTAATTAGGTCTAACTAAATAGATTTATAATAAATTAATATTTAATAATATCATAAATCACTCACTGGCAATTCGATTCGGTGGTGTGTCATATATGGTGATCTCAGGAAAATTTTGATTTAAGTTATGTATGCTCTCTGCCAGTCTTTTGTCATATGGAGGCGAGTCGAAAGTTACCGTGGCCGTCGTACCGCCAACTTTTCGCACCGCATCCAAACTACATTCGTTTGCTGAGTATCGCCTTTTAACAGTAAAAATAGAGCACTTGTAAAATTAAAAAAATATAACGATATCGATAGTGTAGAGTTTAGGAGGACATCGTTTCAAACTAAAGTGCGGTGTCTTTATTATGAATTTGCACGGTGCGCGTTCGAACGGGTGCACTCGAGTTGGTGTGTGTCTAATTATAATACACTTGGGTTGATGCGTTCTACCGTATGACAAGAAAGACTCTTCTACACATTATACGTTTATATATATATATATATGTACAAAGTTGTTATCGTATAAGCGTTCAGATATATCACGACTTGACGTTTGAGCTGTAGGAATAATCGCTCAGAGCAACCTGAATGTCTGTGCCTGCGATGCGTCTCATCTCAACTTCCGAAAGCTACTCACGTCGTGTCGCAAGAATAATACACACGTCAACCTATGCCGTCACATCAACCTCACGCAAGGTCGACGTAACCAAGGTCAGCTGTGGACAACTGAATGAGGGGTAACATTATGGTGACCAGGTTTGTATAAAAATAAACGCCAAATAGTATTATAATGAAAAACAGTAGATGTGCCAACGATACTTTTACTAGAGTTCTAATTATTTATTATTCACAACTACAATTTTTGTTCTTGACCGGACAAAAAAAACTCAGGTGTTTTTTTTATGCGTAATCATAAAACTAATTAAGTACTTNAGATGTGCCAACGATACTTTTACTAGAGTTCTAATTATTTATTATTCACAACTACAATTTTTGTTCTTGACCGGACAAAAAAACTCAGGTGTTTTTTTTATGCGTAATCATAAAACTAATTAAGTACTTATTTTTTGATTTTTATTCCAGTTTAAACATAAGTGGAATGTTTCATCTTTTGTAAAACTCTTTGATCGATATTTTGTAATATTTTTTAATTGTGAGATTGAAATATCATTATGCGTTTTTTGACGTTGTGTGAAGTCAAAAATTAAGCGTAGTTGGATCAAGTCGCGGATATCGATATTAGGACGTATAATAGTTTGACTAAACTTGGTGATAAGTCAGTTACGAGAACAAAAAAAAAAAACATGGAGTATATTGAACTGATCAGTATTTATTATAAAAATTAACAACACTATGAAAATCATATACTTTTTTGAAGAAGCTGAGCCATTAGGGATTTACTAATGATACGCCGTTTGAGTCTCGTCTAGATCTTTGCTTATGATACTACGAGGTATCGTAAAAGTAATATTAATTTTAGCTGCGATGCCTAGCTGAGAAATTATTAGTTGTGTTTTTTTTTGTCTGTGTCAGTATACACGATTATTTAGTTCCTACTATACCGATTTTGTTCAACGATACTTTAAAACAAAACGTCTCTAGTTGAAGATATCGGAGACATAATTTTGAAAAATTCCTCTAAATTCCCGTGTTAAGAGAAATGTCCAAAAATGTTATAGTCGTTATAAAACAGTCAATGTTGATATTTTAAGTCTTCACTTTATATTGAAATAAATTATTGGAAACTGAACGAATCATTACGAACATTTTGTTGATAATACTTTAGACGTTAATTTTACCGACGACATACTTTTTTTTTTTATACAATTATTAAGCAAAATATATAAAATTCCTATAAATGTTTTTTTTTCAATTTTTTTATAATGTTTCAAAAAATCTAAATTAAATTAAACTTAAAACATTGTGCTTTATAATAAAAAAAGAAAACTTATTGTAAATCTCAATTTTTAAAGATAATTGAGCATTAAATCCAAAAATCATAAAAACGTTTTTCTTTATTTAATCATATATAACATTTTTTAAGCTCTGATTTGAAATAATTTTAAATAACGCAAATATTCAGTAACTATGCAAAAAACTATAAAATCAAACATTTTTACTGAACATTGTATGATTTTTTGCTTAAACGCTGGATAACTCCTAGAAATTTTTATTTTTTATCTTAAAATCAATTGTATTAGTCACGTAAATACGTTAAACTAGATACGTTTTGTAATCTTTTGAGTGAAATCGGTCCGGTAGTAGTAATTGTGTATATTGTCAAAAAAAACTGCGGAATAAAACCAATAGTGTCTCAACTACGCATCCAAGCTGAAAAGAAATATATTTCGCTGTCTTATGATTATGAGTAATTATATTATCTTGAGTTAATAATCATGACATTTTTGGTGTACATAATACACTTTTTTTTTAATTTCATTCTAATACGCATCAGATATCAATCAAAACTAATCTAACATAAAACTACTAAAAAATGCCTCCACTATGCTGGGTCCGACTGTACTTAACTTTTATTATTTCATATGAATTTAAAAATTTTCTTAGAAAAAAATAACTTGAGTACTAATCTTGAAGTAAACTATTTGCTAAATATATTAACCCTATCGATTCTCCGTCACTTTCACAGTAAACCTTGCGTTCTCTACTGCCTACAAACTGCGCAATAAGCTCATACACTTCATTTGAGTTAATTTTTAAGAGGGTATTAGTTTGTTATAAATATAACGACAAAGTAATTACAATCAATAAACGTGAAAGTAATAGTAATGGCAAATATATCCGTTTTTACTAAGAAGCTATCGCTCTTGTGGAAATGGCTTTAGAGTTTTGGTAAATTAAAAAAGTGCTACGAACAAAAGTAATTTTCTAGTTAAAATTACAACAACTCTTTTCAAGTGATTAATATTCTATAGCGTTATAAAAATTTTACTCGCAACGAATACATAATTGTAAAAAATGATAATTTTACTACACATTCGTAACTTAAGCGTTCTGACTGAACTTAAAAATAATTGTTACTTAATAAGTTAAATTATTGATCATTCGAGTACAATAATTGTATATACATAAAACTATTTACATGTTCTTAGGTTTAATTCTATTATTAGCGTTTTCTATGCGTACAACCTTATGGATAAGTAAATTCGATATTAAAAATAAATTAATGTTAAAAATAAGTCACCCCTTGAAATGCTAGTAAAAATAACTTAAGTGCATAATAATTATGTAATCAGTCGAATTAAGTAAAATATTTTCGTATTTAAAGTTTTTAAAATGTCTAACCTGTAACTTAAATAGTCTTCAAGGTCTTCTACACTACAATCGTTTGGGAATGATCCACGAGAATAAACATTTTCGTAAACCGCCGCCACGTGTTTTTGTCCACCGCGTCTTTGACATGTTGACGCCGAAGTCAAGGCTGCAGCTTTGATAGCCTGTAAAAAGAAAATCGATAGTTTTTCATCAAGAAAAAATATTCATAAAGTTTAATAAAACGTGTTTGTATCAAAGTGTACTTTTTAGTATGCAATAGACGCTACTGAGGAAATCATCGTTATTTTTAATGCTAAACCGTTACAAATACATTGTATATTTGGTGGATCATAGATTGATAAATTCGACATAATAATCAAAGGAGCAATGCCAATAATATGAACCAATGGTCGAGTAATCAGTTTAATTATAAAAATAAAACAGTACAGTGTATATCACATTACTCGGACATGTGTTGTAGTACATTACAAACCCATTAACTCCAACACTAAAGTAATAACTTTTACCCACTTTTACTCACAAGTCGTAATAGAGTATATTTTCATAGTTTTTGATTCAACGTGAGCAAATATCAGCACTTTTAAACGACCGTGCCCTAAAAACATTATTAATAATGTACGCATCAGCTGTTTTTATTTTTCATCCCTTTTACTACCCAAATAGTGCCCTGTGATATTTAAGATTTCTCCGCGAAAGGGTATAATCAGTAGCACAAGTGGAGATATTAAAGGATTGGAAAACCTTCTCTTACCGAAATAACAGCGTTTCTAGAGTTATAGTCTTGTTAAACTTATTGTTTTTTTAACTATAGAATTTATGAAAAAATAATAAAAAAAACACCTCCTCAATAATATAATTTATATAATTATCTAATAAACCCCTTCAAATATTATTTCTATATTCTATTTTTAAATAGTCAGCACTAAAATATTAATATATTATAATCGAGAGTTATCCTTGAGGAGTCTAAGAGGCAATTATCTCTGGCATCTCTTAAATACTACCCTGTGTAATAATATTTACTAATTATAAGTCATCTTAAAAATTAGTTGCGATGAAAAAAATCTGAAGCTAGTTCGGTTGGAATCGGCGTCGAAATATTTTATCATATTTATCTGAATGTTGTAGACAGCTATTTTTCTGTGTTATGTATAAAGAAAATAAACACCATACTCATCCACCTAAATTTACTGTTATTAACGTTCGAGCAACAGAATTAGAAAAAGAATTAGAAGTCTGTATTTTTTTTTTATTATTAATTATAGTACTTATTTTTTGATAAATAATAGACGTAAATAAAAAAATGTCGTTGTATAAATATAAGTAGACGTTTTCACTTTAGACATAAAAGTAGTAGATGATTAGACCTGTTACTGATACTCTTTTAACATACATTTATTCAACAGCATTAGGTACATATTTTTATTAACAATAGCAAATAAACAATAAGCGTTTAAATTAAATTATTTTTAACACTATTGCTATTTTGAACTAAGTGTCTTTTGACCTTGTTAAAAGACACTTCAAAATATATTTCCTTCCCGCAGTAAACATAATAGTATATTGATCATTTAAAAGAATTAGTATGTTCTTAAAAACGATTTTGGGTTTAACTAAAATCAATACCACGTGGGTGTTGGAGCTGCCATAATAAATTCATGATAAAAACTAATGTTTCTTGCCAAATTATGCGATAAAAATATAAATCAACTTATAGAAGTTAGTACCAAAGATAGATTTAATTATTTATTATAAAATATTTTATATTTTTATTGGGCCTCTTCAAACTTTACCATTTATTTTGTGCAGTTTTTTCTTTTTAGCAGATTGAGCAAGTCATTTTTAAACGTGTAAAATTAAGTTGGTTTAAAAAAAACAAGTTAATTTATAAGTTACTATATTTTTATAATAAACTCAGTTAAGTTACTAATTATTATTTTTAAATAATAATAACTTTTTTAATTAAGTTACCATTAAATTAGCTTAGGTTTCCATCAAATTAAAAATTAGCCTTTTTAAATTTAACTTAAAAGCGTTTTAATATACAATCGTAAAGTTGTAAAATTGTATATTTGATAAATTATTATTCTAAATAGATCCAATCTCGATTTTTACATATTTGAGTTACCTGAAGCTCAACATATACGTTTGAAAGTGGCCGATTATAAACTTGAAAGACTATTTGAACTCTTTTTATAATAAATTATTAAAGAGAATTTTTTGTTATCTATATTAAAAGAATTTTTTTTTTGGAAAAGAAATATAAATTTGAACTAAATACCATAAAAATTACAAAGAAATCTATTTTCATAATAAAATTAGTGAAAACACTTAAAAATAACATAAATTTATAAATTCTGTTAAAACCATAGAAAATAATTGTCTATGTCTTGAAATTAAGACAACTTACACTAAAAATAAATATAATAATAAGTCTAGTAACTCCGCGAGGTATAATTCATTCATTATTTTAAATTCCTCGGAAAAAATTAATTTATTTCGACATAATGCTAAATAGTTGATTATCTACAAGAACTAAAAATAAACTAAACTTATTAAAAAAATTTAATTCTTTATTTAGTTAAAATTACAAGATGATTGGCCTACATTGAGTTATCTTAAAGATAAAAATTAACTATTTAAATTAAAAATTAAATTAATTTAACTTTTAACGTGTTAACGCCTATGCTTGTAATTTAAGATTATCAAAAAGTTATTATTTAAATTATTCAACAATAACATAAGACGTAAATCTAAACGTAAATGGGTTTTATGACTTAATCATAAAACAAACTCAGTATCATAAATTAATAGAAATAAACTGCAAAAATAGTAAGATATTGTATATTACAAAATATTAATATATTATTCTGAATATGTTACCCAGAAAAGACAAAAAATAATAAGAATTTTAAAAATTTATTTGTCTAGTACACTTTTTTTTACTTTCGTTGATGCAAAATAATATACACTAATAACTCCCATAAATACACTATAGGCCAAATATGACCAGACATCCAAAATATGCAATATCAAATTTCACATTTTTATTATTATTTTTATGAAATGAATTTGTAACTTACTTAGCATGTTTTCCTAAGAAGCAAGAAAATATAAAATAAAAAACATCTAAATACATGAACATACGAGCTTTGTTCACTATATTTGATAACATGTAATATCACATTTGGCCTCAGGAAATAGTATGCTTTTCTTAGATATAATATATATACAATAATTTTCTTTCCAAAAAGAGATGTTTTCCACGAATAAAAACTTATTGAAACTTTTTTGTTAAGTCACCTGAATAATTTTTTTTACTATAAATGTTAAATTTTATTTATCTAAAAATAATGTTTAACAAATGAAAATAATTTTCCAATTGTTACAATATTTCATCAAATTTAAGTAAACATTAATATTAGACAACCACATTTGTACCTCATAAAATGTTTAAAAGATATAGATAAAATAAGTGTTATTGTATTAAATTAATAATACTTTTATAGCCTTTAAAATGACTATAAAAAATAAAAAATATAAGAGACACAAATACAATTTGACCAAATATTCTGGGTATGCTAAAAACTTCACAGACTCATATGATGTTTTTTCATACCGTCTTGCGTTAGTATTATACACAATGTACAGTAAAATCGGTTATTTTGATACAATATTTAAAAACAAATTCATTTTTTATAATATCATTGTAAAGTTGATAAATTCTTGTTTTTTAATCAATATCTTTTATATACTACTCATATGTAAATCCCAATTTAGTTTCCCCTTCAAAAAAAATTATAATAATATTTATAAAATATAATTAGGGAAAATTTTTTCCTAATTCCATAATACATTTTTTTGCTTAATATCCCTTTAAAAATAAAATTTTCTATCAATATTTGGTGATAACGTGAACTAATAAAAAGTCTTTTATAAATAAGCCTCTGACTAGTTTTTACTATACCTAGTTTCGACTGTACTGGATTTTTTTCTAAGTTATTATAAAATTATAATTTTAAAAATAATAATAGAAAAAATGCAGTATTTGATTTAGTTAATTTTAAATAAAAATCAAAATACGAAGTGATCATAAAAGAAATCTATTTTTTACATTTTTTTAAGTGTATAAATTTAGAAGGACAAAATAATTTATATTAAGCCAAAAAGAATAGTTTCAAAAGACAGATATAAAACTCTATGTTACATGGTGTGGTGGAAGACGTGAAAATATCAACACTGTATACCCAAAGGGCACGTAGTCAGCAAACCTTTGTAATATGAGTAGCAATTATGATACGAGTAGTATAGTATAAAATGACATTTTTATCCACGCGAAACAAAAATTTTCCCTAAAGGCCGTCTTGGGAAATGAAGATATATAAGCACACAAGGACAAAGATAAAAAAAAAAAATTTTCTACAGTTCTGCTAATACAAGTGATATTATAAAGATTGAAATATTAATAATCAGTAATTTACCCAAATTCATAGTTATATAAATTATTATTAAATTAATACCATTCAGTTTGTGGAACGTTTCTTATAAATTGAACTCATTTACATTTACGTTTTTTTTTTTTGTCAAAATGAACATATTCATAATAACGTTCATAAAAAAAATCAGCACCATCAGTCCTGGTATAGTAGGCCTCATTATTGACTAAAATCTGACAGTGATTAAAAGCACTAAAAGTGTCAAAAACGACAATTCGATACGATTCTGATAAAGAAAATTCAATAATTCTGAGATTCGTTATTTAATCATGATTTTTGAACAAAATTAAATATCACTAATAATCGAAAAAAAATTAAATTAGAAAAAATAACAATACAAAACACAGTGAATTTTATATAAAAATATCATTTTTTGTTTAACTTTGAGAGCCGTTTACACATTAAAAATAAGTGGATTCAAATTTTTCGAACTTGTAGTGTATTACATAAAATTTAATTTAACATATGTTTAATGAATGCAGTATTTTTGGATCATTTTAATTACGTTGAAAAAGTTCATTTGAAATACAAAAGTTATTTTTGTCTCCCATTTCTAAGAACAGTGACCTTTTATCTGATTTTCAAAAATAAGATAATGAGATTCAAAAAAAAATTGTTAGAACCTCATTTTGGTTTGATTTATTTATTTTTGAAAAAGTTTTGGTAAATTTGCCGATTTGAATAATTGTAATTTTTTAGAGAATTTACCTTATTTGAGGGGATTAAGAAAATTTCGATAAGTTAAACTATATACGATTTGTGATCTTGCGATGTATAGTCGAGACAAATTGATACAGTAGTTGCTTATAGAAAACACGAATGGGTACAATAGGAGACACAAAAAAAACACATTGTAAAATAATTAATACCTTCTTAGCGTCGCATCGAAGTTAAAAGAATTGTAATTATACTACAATTACAATATTTCCCCTTAAAATAGGATACATGCTTATATATCATGGGACAAAACATTCTTAGACTTCTATAACTCTCTATAGTTTGTTTGGAACAAATTGTTACCAATGAAAAATATGTATCTTTTCCTTTTCCTTACAACATATTTTCCCTTGCCTATCCAGGCACATTATATTCCAAAATTACAATCTTTTAATAATTTTTTTTTTTATTTATTTAATTATGTAAGATTTTGTTTTAATATTCACAAATACTAGAATATTAATGACATTTATAAAAATATATATATATATTTTTTAATCAGGGAGTAATTTTCGAGATATGTTCTAGTTTTATTGATAAATGTATATAAAATTATTGATATATGAAAGAATGAATTGAAATTTTTATTTATAATACTCACTTCTTTTGATCTATAACCATGATCAGCTCCACCATTTAATGGAATTTTTGAATTAAAATGAATGGTGGTAGATGTTTTTCTGTTAGAATCGAATGCTGCAGAACGACCTGAAATATTTAATACTTTTAGAAATTATAACCGACACTTAGAGATACAATAACTTTACATTTTTAATAAGTTTCTATGCATATTTAAACTGTACTAAAGGCTTATTAATTTGTTAATTTCAACTTAAAACATTCACAACTGAAAATATGTAAATGTACAGAATCCAAATCATATTTTTTTATCACACTGATGTATTATTATTGGCAATAAACTTTTTCAATTGATTTTTAAATAAACTATAGATTAAAAAAATAGATATTGTATAATATTAATATCCCTGTGTAATGTTTCATATAGATCATGTATTTATCTTGAATGTAATAGGTTTTATGTAAATACATATAGAGTGAGAAAGAAGCAACGAAAATCAATCTATTTAATTGCCATATATAATTTTGTAAACTATCAAGACAGGTAATTTGACTGCAGTTGACAGCCGCTAATGTAATTTTAATCAGCCTGGTTTTAAACAAAACCTTGGCCCTCACTTGACCATGAACTATCAGTATAAATTATTTATACGGATAGTTTGCTATTTTTTCGATGTTCTCTTTTATTAGAACTTTCACAACCAATTCGATTAATTTATGTTATAAATTAATTTTTTCAATTAAATGGAAACACAAAAGATCTATTTGTTTCATAAAATTTACAAAAAAAAATCAATTTTCTTAACTTAACAAAAATAAACTGATTTGTCAAATTTTTAAGAGCTATTATTATATAATTTATTATAAATTCATAAATTATTTTACTGCTATATTTGATTTCCAGTTTTATTTTTACTGCTATTCTATGCAGACTCGGATCTATATTTCTGTTAATATTGTTTATAATAGAATCGTAGGTACAACAAAAACGATATTTTCGTACCTAGTTTTTATGTTTATATCATAACACTTTCATGAGACCCCATATTTTTTAAAACCTACAATTACAGATTTAGTAAAGTATACTAAACATTTTTTAAGAAAAATCTTAATTACATCTATTGGCAAAAGCTTCACATTTTAAAGCAAAATCATACATATTTTTAATTTGTTCAAAAATAAACATTTATTTACCAACCAATGAATTCCAACCAAAATAAGTTGTAATAATTTAGTATTTTTAGGTAAAAACAAAACAATTTCAAAGTATTTCCTTTCATCCTAAAGATGAAAATAGACAGATCCGCGTTTCTTCTTTAAACTTTTTATTAAAAAATTTAATATTTTCCAACATTCTATATCAAAAAATGTTTGTTTATTATTAATGCATAGGCATAAATATGAAAAAGATGCTTCCTTCCCACAACATTTAAGAATTAAATGTATTTTTATGCTAACAAAATTTAGGAAGGGAAAAAAATTAATTTAGCTCCCACTTTTTTTTATAAATTACACAACATGTGTGTTTTTCCATTTAAAGATAATATTTTAAAAGGGTGATAGGGAGATAGGACTAAATTTATTTTTAATATTATAGAACATACAATACTATTAAATTCTGAAAATAAAAAATAGTATTACGATTTATACTTTTAAAGATATTGCATGAGGCATTGTTAATAAATCAACTTGTATATATAAAAAAAAATTGTTTCACTATCTAACTTCTAAAATTAAAACAATATAAACGTACATGAGCGACTGCTTACTTGAAAAAATTAAATCAGCTAACATTTTTTACTTTTTATAAAATTTTAAAATTGTAGAAGATTTTTAAACCAGCGTTTGTAAGTTACTTTTAAAGAACTTGTTAATAACATACTCATGCTTAATTTTATAAACACTTTTCCCATGTTTGCAGAATTATGTCATACATAGAGCTTCAAAATAACTATGACACAAATTTAAGTATTTAAAAAACTTTATATTCACAAATGACAAATGTAAATTTTTAAAATACTTAAGTACTGTAACCTTATATAAATATGAATAATATTCAAATACTTAAAATTTAATTTATACAGCAATGTTCATCCTAAATTATTTTGTCAAATGCAGGGCAGGGTTGTTAAAAACAATGTTTAAAAAAAAAATTTGTTTAAAACATAAGTAAAAAATTTAGAACGTCCCATAAGATCAATGTAAATTTTGAAGTTTTGGTGTTTTAAACAAGCAGTATTTAAAACGTAACAACCTTGGTTAAATGTAAAACAATATTCTATTAAGTATAAATCTTCTGATAAACGTTAGGCCCTAATTACACGCAGGGTCTAAAAAAAGTTTTCCAGTTGACCAACTCTTGGATCCGGCACGAAATACGAGTCATGAAATACGCTTATAATCTAGAATTATATAAATATATTGATATTTTTTTCTATAATAAGAGAGACAAAGATGATACTTTAAGATAAGATTTTTGTTTTACTGTTTAAATTATAAATTTTGGAAGTTTACAAATAATACGCACAAATAAAATATATTTAAATTTATATATTATGTAAAATAAAGAAAATTAATTTTGTACTTTTGAACGTTACTTTTTAAGACTAATTAATTTACTGTATTGATTTTTTTTTTTTAATATTACTTATGTTAAATTTATTTGAGTAATATATGAATGGGACTATTAAGTTAAAATTACAAAATAAATGTTATGTTAAATCAAATTTTAAACTTACTTTATTATTTGTTTAAACATAGATACAGGTACAATATAGAAAATTTTTATTACATTTGTCTTGGGCTAAAAAAAGTTGTGTTCGAAATATGAGGTGTGAGTGCCCTTTCAAATGTCATTAGTTCACTAAGAAAAACTTCAATAACCTTTTTTATTGTACTAAACAGTAACATTAAAAAATACTGAAAATATAAACATATTTAATAAACGTTATTTCTGATGATTTAAATATGCATTATTTTTTACTATCGAGATAGATATAATTTAAAATCTTTTGCTATGTCTAATTACAAATAATAATTATAATGTTTCTAGATACAAAGAAATCTAAATGGGCAAAAATCTCCAAATTTAATGAATGAAAGGACAATTTCAGTAAAAATGCATACATTGAAAGTAACTTCTTTATGAATTTGATGCAATAAAAAATATTTTTTGAACTTAGAGTTTCGATTATATGTATTATTATAAATAGATAAAATTTCATTATCAATTACTCGAATTTACTAAGGCTGTATAAGTTAGAAAAAAGGCAAAGCGGATAGCTTAAATTTAGGAGCACATAGTAGTATAAAGTATTGTGTTCCCAACATATTTTAATATTGTACAGTGATCTTAAATTGTAAATTTTGCTATTGGAGTTAATTTTATATTAAACAGTAATAATAAGTTAAAGCAGCCATTTTAAAAATTAAAAATTATTCACTTGTTTGAGTATGCCGATAAAGTGAATATTGTATCTCATTTCAATTTATTTCAACAAAAGTTATCTTATACAAAAATTAAAAACCACTAAATATCATTTTTTATAAAAATTGAAAAGAAAATCATTTTGGTATAATTTTTAAGCATTTTGATTAGTATTGAATTTTTTTAAAGTAAAGCAAATCGGCAAGTTTAACGTCTAAAGTTTAATTAATAAAAATTTCCGTTTAAACCATCCTGTTTTTAAAAATGTATTTCAATATAAAGTAAAAATAATAAAAATATCATCATTAACTGTTTGTTTCATAACAATTTTTGGGAGATTATAGCGTTGATAGATTAACTAGATACGTTTTGCAATATTTTGACGTATCATTAAGCAAAATACCAAAAAAAAAAACACGAGAGTAAACAGACGAAATTTGAACAAAATGTTTGAGGAATCTAACTTAATTTCTTTCCTTCTTAAAAATATTTCTATATAAATTTACACGCAATTTTCATGATTTGTTTTTAAGAGGGCTGCAACAGAATAGAAGGATAAGCCTCCTCTAGACTCTCCAAATTACGCCAATAAAAATGCTAAAGCCTATAAATAAAGCTAATAACTTCTCAACTACTAATCGAAGCTATAAAAATAAAAATGATCAGAAGTAAATTTTGTTTACTTAGTTGTAATTTTTAAAATCTAAAATTTTCCCTTTAAATGTAAAGCTACAGAAATTTTATAACAAAATAGCTATCCACCTTGATGAACACCTAGTTTTATTAATATAGATTGTTTAAAACTTCTAAAAATTCTTATAAATTATAAAATTTGTGGTTATTTCAATTCAGTACTTACATGGATTTGGCGTAACTGTATGCAATTTATACGCCGTGAAACCGTACATAGTTTAAGAAAAGATGATCTCTTATAGTTCTATTTATTGAGTTTCTTAACGATGATTGTTATATTTGTTTATCTCTATTTTACCGGAAGTTCTTTTTCTTTCTACGGAAATTATTACTGGAGAATTCATTTTTAGAAAAATTATACTAATATATTTTTTTATAAAAAAAAAATTGTTTACACTGGAACACAGGTACACAAATAAAATATAAAAATTTAATGTACCGATTTTTATTCCTAGTGTTGATCTAAAAGTGGAAGCATTCAAGACATCATCGATAACACAGATCGTACAGATTCACGTATGCCAAATGTTAAATTTATATGCCGGCCTGTTACTTATTGTTTGTATGTGTATACGGATACGTTACGAAAAACAAACTGTGTTTTCACGAGGCGTTTGGGTAATGTGTTCCGAACTTGGCCGACATTTCGCGTTTGCGTGATTAACACTATCAAGTTGAATGAGGGGAGAATTTCTAGACAGGGAAGCGGCAATATGAAGAGGAGACAAAATTTTCAACGATAGCAGAAACATTAAATAATGTTTATCGTGGTTCAATACATTATATAAACACAGCTTAAAATGAGAAATCAGAAAAATGTTGCTTGTGTAATATATCATCTTAAATTATAACTTTATAATTAAAAAGAAACATAAAATCGTATAACATAGTAGACATATAAAATAAGACTAGAAAATTTACTACAATTTATAACATTACACAATCGTTTAAAAATCAAATGAAACATTGTTTAACATTCATTTAACATAGAACACTCACTGGAAAATTAATTTTGATATTACATTAATCCACAATAGTTCAACCGGCCTCTAACTTCATGCTCCTGGTGATCCTAACAAAAAAATTTAGCATGATAAATATTTGATACAGTTCCTAAACAATATCCATAAATGTAATCAAGATGACTCAAAATTTAACGTACTCTCTTCTCAAAATTAGCGATGCTGAAGAAAAATTTAACATTTTGAAGAATTAAAATTTTACTTTAGTCTCCATGAAAATTTAATTAAGTTAAAAATAATTGACCTACATTAATTGTGTCAATGCGTTCTTAAAATACAAACATTGAAAAATGAATTACAATAGAAAGTTAATAATTTTGACTGGGGAAACTACTTTACAATGACGTATATAAAATAACTTTACCTATTATTAACTCTTAATTTAAAAAAATACACCTCAAAATAAAACCCAAATCCTAAGAAAGTCAGTCTTAGGCTCCTTCACGCTTAGTTTACGTTTAAATACTCTTCTGCTAGTTCAAATTAAGATATTTTATTTAACAATAAATATTATTTTTATTTTTAGTTTAGTACAATCGCTATCGACGCATTCTCCACATTCCCCTTTTTACACCATTGACTATTTTAACACATTTTTCAATCAAATAGTTACTATTTAATTAGAAATACGCCAAAAAAAACCGTTAGTGGACTACAAACATTTAATTATCATCAAAAATTTAACTAATCTATGCTCACGATTTAAATCAATTTTTATTTTATACCACAATAAAATAATGAGAGTAACAATATTTTAGTCATCTTATGAACAAATTGCGCTATCTGGATTAGATCGAGACGTATGAATTGATACATATCACCTGTAAAACTTATTAAACTAAAATATAGAAAACCTTTTTTGTACATGTTAAATAATATTTATTTTGAATAATAATACAAAATTTACATACCAAGAATTAATCTTATAAAATAAAAAAAGGGAAAAAAGATAAATAATTATACTTTGAAAGCCAGTATTCGCAAAAACTATTTTTAGAATAAATACTTTCAGATATTATTAACTTGAAACATTTGCTCATAGATCGATGTCTGCAGATACGACGTATAGAAATGTTACATTGAGCATAAAATCGAACCGGAACGTTGCGCTTCCGCCAAATCGCCAAAAGACGATTTAGAGCATTAATTCGAAGACAGACGTCACAATTTATTAAATGGGTAATTCTAAAATAGAATAAAAGCAGTTCATCACTACCGATGACGTTTAGAAAATAAATGTGTCCCTGTGCTGACGGCTGTGCCGTATGCTTGCTAGAAGTAGCTATGCGTCGCTTCTATTCATAAACCAAACGCGGGTCATACATTTTCAATACAAAACTATCCAGACAGCCTATTCTATGTCTTGTCTACCGAATGTTAGTTAACACGATATTACCATACAGCGTGAAACTTTTTAAGATAATATTTTAAACATTTTTCATGGATTTGGTATAGAAGAATAATCTGTTAAACATATTTGATGCTATTCAAAACGGTAAGAATTAATTAATTTAATTGAAAATTTGTATATTACCGCGCGTCTGGTCAAAGAACTAATCAATAATATAGATAATTTGATGTGACCGTTTAGTTGGCTACACTGTTACAAGATTCAGCTGACCCAGAATTGGAACACCAGCAGAAGAGAACCTAGATTGATGCTGTAACTGTACCTTTTAATGCAGTAACTTCAATAACTCGTTAATATTATCATTCTTATTTTTATGTTTATATATGTATTTCTATAGTGTAGAAGACATCTGCGTATTATTACATTGCTGCAGTGCGATTAGACAACTTACATTTTGATAGTGATGCTTCAAACCATTTATGATAGTTGAATCTGTTTTAATTAATACTACAATGCAGAAGCAAATAAGTTTTTATTTTTTAACAATATAATCACTATTTAAAATATTATTATTTAGTTATATTAAGGATTTGTGTTAAAAAAACATGAGTGTCACTATGGAACAAAACGGCATTTTGGATCCTGGTAAGTCTCAGTATTTTTACTGTGCTTTTTATCTATGTTACATCATTTCGTTTTTACATAGCATTGATTGGACTCTTAGAGTCTTTGGAAGATTCAAGAGATGCTATATCAGCTTCCAAAGAAGAATTAGAATTTTTAAGCAATCTTTTACAGAGCAAAGAATTGCATGCTTTATTTAAAGTATATAATACTATTGTGGACCGAGTACAAGATGATAGACGATGTTCCCCTGTTCTGTCAAGTTCAATGCAGACTACTCTGGATGTTATGGAAGTGTTATTACCGAGAATAGCATTAAGTGATATTTCAAGACAATTATTCCAATTATTACAAAATCCACATATGCAGGTAATTAAATTCAATTTTTTTAAGCTGTTTTTTTACAAAAAGTTTAGGACAAAATAACTTTTCATAACTTGTTATATACTATTAATTTACTGTTATTTGAACAGTCGAGTGCAATAACCAGTCATTCTCAATTTACTGTTCAAAGACAAAACAATAAATAATTTTAATGCTAAATTTTTTATATTAGGCACTTCAATTTTTATGTTATTAGCTTTTATAATATACAAATACTTAGGTATTACTCCGAACTGGTAAAAAATTAATTTTCAAAATAAAATGGAAATAACAGATTCTGTACTGGACCCTTTAATTACCTTGTTTATCTTGCATATAGCAATATTTTAAACTAGATAATATATAGATATAGATATCTGTCAATATGGATTATATAAAATGAAAAGGATTATTTTTATTTTTTACTCTTTTCTTCATTTTGTTAATTTAAATTTTCTAAATTCTATTAAAGGGATTATTATGTGCACATGATGCTGTAGCTCAAAAAGATTACTTACCTCGATTACCTGAAATTCCTCAAGAAATGGATGAAGATGAAGAGACAATCAAAATTGTTCAACTTGTAAAAAGCACAGAACCTTTGGTACTAAATTGTAGATAAAATTTAAGGCATGATAATGCTTCTTGTTTATAATTTGTTTTGTACTTAATAGCATTTTCACTATCAATTAGCTTTTGTTCACTTATCAAATCCTTAAACTTCCTGTGTGATATATATTTTTTTTAATTGGTATCATTCTAGTCCTTTATTTTTGTTTTGTGTTGTATTTATATTTTTAATTAATACACGATTAATTTTTTTTTATTCATTTGCATTTTTTTTATTTTAACACGCATTAAAACTGTTTTTTCTTTGTGGTTAACAACTTTTTATATTAAATGTTTTGCTTTACACAAGGATGGAGAACTTGATTCTGCTGAACCAATTGTGGTAAGTATGGTGATAAAAAGAGTTCTTTAGAGAAATTTATGAGAAAAATATTTATTATTTAGATACTTCTAAAGCAGAAATCAGCATCTATAACTTATGAATTTATGTTACTCATAAAGTTATTTTATTAGCTACTTTTATGTTTAATTTGTGTTTTCTTTCTAATACTGTTAGATATTCATTGATGAATATCTAACAGTATATCATAAAGTACACAAGTATTTGTAACAAAGTTTTAATTGATTTATTAAGTAAATATTGAAATTCAAATAAACTGAAAAACCATTATAGTCCATTAATTATAAAATTGATATTTTTAATAAAATGTTTATATGTAATAAAAACAAAAATAATTATCCAGTTCAACTTTAGTAGTTAAATTGTTTTTATAACAGCTTCTTATATTAATATTTTCAAAATAAATTTGATAGGTTTGGATTACTTATAAAATTACATTACAGGGTGCTACAATAAAAACTGATGAAGAGAGTGGGAAAATAATTATTGCAAGAGTAATGCATGGAGGTGCAGCTGATAGATCTGGTTTAATTAATGTTGGTGATGAAGTGTGTGAAGTAAATGGAATCAATGTTGAAGGGAAATCTCCTGCAGACGTGCTTCAAATACTAGTAATTTATTAATTTGATATTTAAGTCAAAATCACAAATAATGGTATAAAAAACATTGCTTATGAAATAAATATTTTTGTCAAAATGAAATAAAATTAAAGTTTTTCTTTGTCTATCTGTTATAAGTGCTAGTTTCTAAATGTATAGTCTTAATGCTTTTCATTATAATTTTCATATTTCTTCCATTGTTGAAATTAATTTTAATCTTTAAAAAGAATGGGATTACCTACCTATATTACAGTATGATAAGTCTTATTAGATATATATATATTTTTTTAAGATATAAACTGGTGAATAAATTTGAATAAACTTAAAATTTTTTTTTTAAACCGGTAGGCCAAACAATCTCTAGTTTACCCTTGAACTTTATTTATAGATTTGAATCAATAAAATTCAAAATAGTTTTTTTTAATAACTAGTTATATTTTACAGCAACACTCTGAAGGGACAATTACATTTAAGCTAATACCATCAGATCCTAAAAATGGAGCACGTGAAAGTAAAATGAAAGTCAGGGCTCATTTTGATTTTAACACAGACGTTGATCCATACATTCCATGTAAAGAGGCAGGTTTAAGTTTTGTTAAAGGGGAAATATTACACATTGTTAGTCAAGATGACCCATATTGGTAATTTTTGTACATATTATACATAGTAATTTTTATAAAAATCAATTAACTTGTATTTCTAGGTGGCAAGCTCGAAAAGAAGGCGATCGAAATATGCGAGCTGGTCTTATACCAAGTAAATCGTTACAAGAACGTAAAATTATTCACGAAAGACTTTCTACAAATGATCAACAAAAAAAAAAATGTAAGTTGTGAATTTGTGACAAAACTACTCAATATACTGCTTTTTCAGCCATTTTAAGTTAATTTGCATGTGAATATGTAATGATTCTTTAAAATTATACTTATACTTTTTCTTCAGTTTTGTTTCCTCTACATTAAAATTATAATCAACTGATTTTAAAGTTGAGATATGAATTAATAGCTAATAAATAAACTGTAATATTTTAATATTTATAACTAGTTACTTTTTAAAACTTTACTTTTGTATTTATTATAATCTAACTTAGTTTAATTGTTTGTTTTATGTTAACAAATGGCTATGTGCGGATAACAGGGGTCATAGATACAGCTAATGGGGGTTGTATAAGTGGGGGTAACATAACATGTATGCCAGATCGTTCATCAAGCAAAGATCCTTTATGTGGATCATTTGCTGCTTTGAACGATCTTGGTAGCGACATGACTTCAGAATGTTCGACACGAACTCGCGTTAAAAAAGTTATCTATGACACAGCTGAAAGTGATGATTATGATCGAGAAGATATTGCCACATATGAAGAAGTTGTCAAGTTATATCCAAGACCAGAACAACCTCGACCTATAGTGTTAATTGGACCACCAGGTGTAGGTCGAAATGAGTTAAAAAGGCGCTTAATGGAGCTTAATCCTGATAAATATCATACACCAGTACCGCGTAAGTAATATTTTATAATAATGTTTTCATATTTTTAAAAATAATTGTGGGCCAATAAATTAAGATACTTCAAGATCACCCAGACCTGGAGAGGTAAATGGTAAAGAATACAATTTTGTATCCAGAGATTTGATGGAAGAACAAATAGCTAGAGGAGAATTTTTAGAGTTCGGGGAATACAAGGGAAATCTTTATGGCACATCTTTAGATAGTGTTAAATCAATTATTAGTTCTGGACTTACCTGTATAATAAATCCACATCATCAGGTTTGATGTTTTTTTATTTTAAATAATAAATAATAATAATAAAATCTTAATTTTTAGGCATTAAAAATGCTACGTACACCAGATATAAAACCTTATATTATTTATATCAAACCACCAGGATTTGATGTATTAAAAACTACTAGAAATACAGCATTTGCTATGTCAACATTTGATGAAACTAACTCTAGAGGTTTCACGGTAAAAAACAATGTTTAAATTAATTTGTCAAGTTTATTATTAAAATGTTTATTGAATTAGGATGATGAGTTCAATGAAATTTTAAAAAGTGCCAAAAGAATTGAATTTTTATATGATCACTGGTTTGATGAAACCATAGTAAATGATGACTTTAAATTAGCTTTAGAACAATTATTAGAAGCGGATAATAAGTTAAAAACTGAACCACTATGGGCACCTGCATCATGGTTGCAATAAGGTAAATTACTAACTATTAAAAAAGTACAAATAGTAGTACATAATAGCATTTTTAAATAATTATTTACAGAAAGATTTCAAAAACAATGCACTATCAGTATTTTGTAAAAAATAAAACTATAACACATCAATACCAAAGATAAGACCAAAATAGGATCAATAATATTAACTATGATTAAGATTTTATTTATTCTAAATATATATAAATATTCTAGTCTTATAATTTTAATTAGGTTAACAGAAAAAGGAAGTTAATATTCATCAGTTAATAATTTGTATTTTTATGAATAATGGAAAGTTAAAAATAATTAAATAGAAAAACTGAATTATTTAACACTTGCTTTATTTAAGCTTATTTAGAACAAATAAATAAGAAAATTTTATTATTAATAAAAAATTTTAATTTATTAAAGGTTTGATATGGTTGTGAGTTGTAGTTTATTTTACTAACTAATTTACTTATGTTTCTAGTCAACAACAATAAATAATATATTATAGATTTGAATTCAAAGAATAAGATTTTGAAAATTAGTAGATTATAGTTTAACTGATATTTTCTCATATTACAATGTACACATTGTAATATGCGAGTTATGTTATAGTTTTGAAAAAAATTGTATTTTTATCTTTGCTGAAAATAAGATGTTTTTATTCTATTGTAATTTAAAAAAGTTCTTTAATTTTTATTAAATAACTGACAACTTTTCATTTTCATTTCTGTGAATTAAATGTTAATTTTTTTATTCATATTTTTTAATTGTATAATGTAGTTACATCAATTATTATACACTATTATTCTTATTAACTATATTTTGATAATTTTTATATCCCCTTAGATTATAATTTAATTCTAACAAATTGTTATTACTTCTGTTACTTAAAATGTGGTACAAAACATTTTATATTCCAATAGCACTTATTAAATAAATAATACCTAAATAGATGTCACTTGTTAAACCAGTAATGTGTAATTGCATTTTTTATGTATCATAAAATATTTGTTTTAATATCATTTAAAACAAATAACGTTTGATTAAATTTATAGATTATAAAATTTTATTAAACTGAATATAATTGTTTAAAATGTTAATCTTAGATTTTAAATTTGTTTTATAATTTTTAAGAGATTTAATAAAATAAAAAGTTTTAAAATGATTTAATTATTTTTTACATGAAATTATTCATTATTCAAATTTAACATAATATTGTGTAGAATGTGAATACATTGTTTTAATTTAAACTAATTATAAAAATTAGATTACTTGTGGATATTTAACCTAGAAGGAAATTAAATACAGTTCTATAAATATTGCACTATAATAAAAGTACATAAATAGCATAAAATTGTATGACACACTTCATGTTAAATTAATTGTCAAAAACTAATTAATACCTAAAATCAGGCTGTATGAATACTGTTATTGAATAATTGCCAAATTGTAGGTATAATATAAATTTCAATGTGACCTTGCACTTTCTGAAATTAATATTATAAGCACAAGAAATAATATTATAAGAATAATTTAATCATAAACATAACAAGTAAAATATAATTATTGTTTGTTATTTCAACACCAATTCATTTTTGTAAATTTTATGAAAAACTATTTATGATTTTTGTTTAAAAAAAAGCCTTATTTTATGCTTTCAATATTTTACTTAAATGTATTTTAAAGTATATTTATTCATTCCTGTCACAAAATGTTGTATATTTTAGACAGATGTAATAATTTAATAATTATATTTTTCAATCCCAGCTTTCCTTGTTATAGTTCTTGTTTACCAATATCTCCTTTTAAAGGACTTTCTTTTAAGCATGAAATATCATCATCTTTTAAAGCACGATTTTTACATAAAAATTCCATTAAATTTTCTGTTTGATGACTGAAATACCATTCTTCTATATCTGATTCATAATTTTCTAACAAATCTTCACACTAAAATAAATTGATGATTGTATACTAAATAAATTAAGTTTATTACTTGAGAGTACACTTAAAATATAAACTACTTATATGTTTATGTAAATATTAATATATTAAAATTGGATACATATTTACCTGAGATTTCATGGTAGTAATTTCAACTGAAGGTTTATCCCAAAGCTCGTATGGTATTCCTAATTCAACTTTAACACCTTTATTTCTAATTAACAAAACAAACACGTTAAAACTTTCTCATGAAGAAGACTTAAAACTTTGATTAATGGAATTATTATTTAATCAATAATAAATGAAGAAGTCAGTGGATAAAGGTGTTAACTAATATTTTTTTGAAATAGCATTTTATTGCATGAATAAAAGTGTTATAGTTCAATAAAACATTATATCAGTCTAAAATGGGTTTTGTCTTAAGGTTAACAAAATAGTTAATTGAATAAGGTGTTTTTAAAAGAATATACTATTAATATTTAGTTACAAGACTATCATTCCTGAATAATATAAAAATATTAGTTAACATATTTATCAACTAAACTTTTCAAATATATTATAATATAATATAGGCTTACACAAGACCATGAAGTGTTTGAAATGTTTGACTCATTCCTCTAGCAAAGCGTGAACTATCAGTTCTTTCTTTGTGAATATTATACTCCAAAATTCTTTCACAAACACCATCTAAAGATTCAACTAATCTTAGCTCACTAAAATAAAATTATATTAATTGTACTACAGTTAATACTTCAGAATGATACTTTTTAATGTTTTTTTTTAAAGTTAAAGCATATTCAACAGATTCAGTTTAATTGATGAGTAATTAAAAGAAGAGTATAAAATGATAAGGGAATAAGTACTTTTAACATCTCTTAAGTTAATTCATAGGTAAAATATACATAAAATACAAGAAAATAACTCACGACTTTTTATATTCTTTCTTCTTCTTAGGTTGATCAACAGAGTATCCTATTTCTATGTACTCACTGGTTTTTCCAGTTTCTTGTAAACGACTTTCTAACTCTATAGCTAGAATCTTACAAACTAAATAATGAATAAAATAAATAAATTTTATTAAGCAAGCTTTTCTATAAACTATTAAACGGTATCAATATTTTAAAAAATTTTGTTGTAGTATTATTAAGAGCTAAACTTTTTTATTTTAAAATGTTTTTCTTATTAGATATTTTAATTTTTGCAATACTAACCTTCACATTTGTTAGCATATTTTACTCCATCTACAGAAGTATCACAAAATGATTTAACAATATATAAAACTAACAAAAATAATTTTATTAAGGTAACCATTTTACAAAAAAACAGATTAGCATTCCTAACTTCAAAATCATTAATACATTGTTTATAATTAATATCTCTTCGACGCAGGATAAACTTTTACAATTGTACCCACAATTTTTTTAAGATCTTGCTATTAAGCAAAATGCAAGTTAAATTTTTCTTAATAAAGGATATGAAACAATAAATAAATCTTAACTTTGTACTCATTCAAGTTTTAAAATTCTGTAGATTGTTAAACTACAAGTATAAATCGTTTTATTTTAAATCAAATATTAACTGTGTTAATTATTTATCACCATTTGCAACCACGAAACGAGATAATAAAAACAACGAATCAAGATTACAGATAAGACTATAATCGTAGACAGATAAAATAAAACCAGGTGGTGCACATTTTATTAAAGAAGTGGAATTCTCAAAAATGTAAGCAAGCCAATTTTGCCTCAGATCAGTTTGGCCACTCATAAGAAAAAAAAGTCATTCTGAAAAATTATAGTTTTTCAACTATGCATTTCTGATTTTTATTGTTTGTTATGAACCGTTGTAAGCACGCCAAATTTACTAACACTTTTCAGCTAAATTTCATTTTTGCTATATGATTACCATTTTATATTTGAAATTTATTTATTTATTGTTAATTTTTTCAACAGTTTTTTTGAGTGGTTCGTTTTTAAATTATGACCTATGTAAAATGTTTATCTCCAAACTTAATTTGAATTATTAAATTACATTTAATGCAAAAAGAAACAATGGGAGTTATAAATATAGCAAATAAATGAAACAATTAGCTTTAACTATTTATTCTTTGGGTCCAAAGGTTTATAATTGTATGAAAAAACTATAAAATTTAAAACTACAAATTAAACAGCAGAAGAATTACAATATATATTTTGCGCAGAATATATGCAAAATCAATTGTATAATACAATAATTATAGTAAAAGGTGGTGCTGTACAATAATTTAATTCCTCATATGTGGTGTTGTTGCATTGAAAAATGTTCGACTTACCAATAAATCAAAAAGTGTACCATCTGGTTTTATCTGATCTTAAATTTTAGACCAATATTTCAAGTAATCTTTTATTTTTTTAATAATAACTTGTAAATAAAAGTTGTTGGAGACCAGTCATTTTCTTAATTGGATCATTTTTTTATTTATAAATTAATGAAATATAAAAATTATCATTAAAAAAACAATTGACACAACGTCATGTATATAATCATCAAGAGATGATTATAGAAAGTGATCATTACCTGATAAATCAAAAATTATATGTAACTAAAATAAATGAAAATTATTTTTCCAATGTTGAATTTATTTTTCAAGTAATCGATTGGAGTAGCCGATCTTCCTGTGTAGTTTAGTGTCTTTTATAGAACTATCTAGTTAACTATCGAAATATAACAACATAAAAATATAACATAATAAAGCAACTATGAAAAAATGTTGACATGAGTAATAAAATTTAAACCAAGATTAAGTAAAAAAAAAAAATTGAACTAAAATTAAATTTATTGAAAAAATAGATTTTTTTACTATAATATAAACATCTGTTTACAGTATACTCTTGTAATAATATGACATTAAGCAAAAAATGAAAAAACCACAATGGGCCTAGGTTTAAAATTTGGTAAGCTCTAATATCAGTTTTTTGGAAAATTAGATGTTTGTAGCAATAACTGTTTTGTGAAATTTCAAAGTATACGAGTGTCAGAGCAATAACCTTGTAAAAACTGTAACACTATTAAACTTAGGTCTTTAATTTACTCAACACCATATACACCAAGTAGAATGATATTTTTATGAGTACTTAATAAATATTTTCCCCCATCAATAAAATATTTTTATGGAACAATACATGTAATTTTATAAAAAAAATTTAGGTAGCTTATTTTCTCTATTGCATCTATATTTAGCACAAACAACATCATTAAATTGTGTAATTTGTTAAATAAATAATGAGCTTGTACAAAAACTATAAAATCATAATACAAAAATTGTTCTTCTACTGTAAATAAACAATTCAACAATTTTTTTCCATAAAATATTTAATTAAATCCAGAGCAGCACTAATATTTCATATTTAATATGGTATGTTAAATATAAACATCATTTAAACCCTAACACAATCCCTGTAATAATTAAATATAAAATTACAAATAATTATTAGTAGCTGCTAATTCCCAATGGATAGTACAAACATACAATTATAATTAAAAAATATATATATATATTAAAATATGTATGTCATCACATAACATTTTAAATGTTGAGGTGTAATCTTTAAATATGATTTATTTCACCATATTTGCCCGTCTAAAATCATCAGTCCTTTTTTTATAAGTCAGGAACATTGCCCAAAAGAAACCAACCATATTATGAAATAAAACACGTAACTAAAAATAAAAAATTATTAATTAATTAAATTTTACTTAATTTAATTATAAAATTATAACATTGTTTACCATAGGAGGTACAAATTTCATATTGAAAAATTGAAGGACTGATACAATCTGCCAATTAGCTTTCAATATTGGCCAATATATGGCATAAATTTGTTTCATTGTATCATCATGTGACTTTCCCTGTTGTAATAAACTAAAACTTAATAATTTAAAAAATATATAATAACAAATTAAACAACAAATTACCTCAAACCTTGAAAGTACATATAATGAAAGAAATTGGTAAAAAGGTGTAAATATTAATCTTTCAATACCAAATTTCAAAAATACCATTTTTGAAGAATTATCAGGAAAAGTACTTTCTAATGTTTCATAAAAAAAATGTGGAACAGGTCCACCAAATAATAATCTGAAAAAATATTATTCCATTATAAGAATATATATTTGATTGATTAAATTATTGATTATATATATACCCAAACAGACCAAATGCAACTACACTGTCTTGATCAATCATTTTAGCACCAGCTATATTTTGTAGAGTAATATTTCCCAGAGAAGCAATAATACAACTAAATATACAATGATTAAACTTCAATCATCAAAGATATAATAATGTCTTGTACATTATTTTAATTTAAATCTGTTTTCATATTATATTATTAGAAAAAGAATGTTTTTACCTAGTAATTGATTTAGTACGAATAGGTCTCGAATGCAAACGTTCCAAATATGTTAATACCATACTTTGCAAAATTTCACCAGGTTTTGAAAAAGCCATTATATTTTTTAAATAAAGAGTTCAAATTTTCAACTTTAAATTTAGCCAAGTATCCTAAGTAAAAAATGTTTATTAAATACAAATAATGTTTTAATTTATGTTAAATTTAACAAAATTTATCATACTTAAACGTATCTGCTCAATTTCGAAGTACAAAATACAATAAATTTAAGATTTATGTTACTTAGAAAAAATAATTTTTTTAATTCTATGTATATTAGTGACACAATTACTAAAAACGTTATTCAATTTTCAACTTTCTATAATTGACGTCGCCATTCACTATCATTACTATCAGTCAACGATAAAATGTATACCTAATCATCTATTTGATAAAAAAGAAATCCACTTAGATGAACTTGAAAATTACTGTTAGGTCAATACTTCAATGCAATCTTTACATTCATCAATTTCTTCTGGTGGGAATTCCTATATATTAAATTCTTTAAGAACCTAATATGAAATAGGTATTCCATCAAAAATAAACACCAGATAGAGCAACATGTAACTATTTCTTAAATAATTTTTTACTGTTGAGATTTCCTTTAAATTTTTTTGTATTTTTTCATTAGTTTTTATAATTAAAAATATTAAATTTTCTACATTATAAGAATTATTTTATTAGCTTATATATTATTTAAAATAATTTAAAATCTTAATATCAGACACGTATTTTTTTCAGAATTTTTTTCTTTTATTATTTATTTTTTATTCAGGATTTTTTTTTTATACTTCAGTCTTTACAAATAATAACTATATACATTGTACTTAATAGTATTAACTGTTAGTTTTCAGTAGATATCTACTAGAAAAAACGATTATAAGCAATTTTCAGAGTCGGATGAATACCTAACATAATTCCAATTTAAAAAACATTCAATTTTTCTAATAATATATTTTCTTGCTTAAAATGTTATGGTTACTGTATTTTTAACTTGGCACATCACTAATTTTTACATAGGATATTTCCAGGTATTATCATTTTCTTCGAATTGCTGTAAGTGTATTGCATCTGAAATTATTGAACTACGGGCATTAACACATGAATAATAATATGTTTATTTTGACCTCTAAAAAACTTTCTATATCGCCACCCCTCATATAATATACTGCCACCACGTAAGCGTGACGTCATCGAATACGAGGGGTCGTAGTGATAGTTTTACGGCGCCACACGATCGACCGGCTCAGACAAACCCTCCCGTTATTCCTGACGCCCATTAGTACCGTCTCAATGATACAAAAGTGCACGTTGTCAGCATACATATCGCGGAGCTAAGTATGCGTGCTATGTAAAAATACAGCATGCAACACTATCAAACAATATCAATTTAAAATAATAGTTATTTCCTTCGTCAACACAGTAGATTAATATTTTGATAATATTTTAAATTCAGTCTGTGAAGAGAGGGCAGGTACTACAAGAAGTCATGAAAGTGAACCTGTCCGACAACAAAAGGATCGAGCACCAGTAGTAGTTACGAAGAAGGCAGTGGAGGGATACAGTTCTGCATACATACATGACCGCTGATGCCAGAGATTAGTCATCAAGGTCTTTGTGCCGGTCTACTCCAATACCGGTTTTTTCGCGAAGGTGTACCTACCGGCCGTTCACGTTCTTCATGATGTATTCTTCTTACAATATTTCTAGTATACCTGTGTCCGTACAACGTTCACTACGTACACCTGTCGACACGTAAATTTCACGCTTTAAGAATATTCGCGATATGAATGGCCCGTTTACAATTAACTCCTATTCTTAATTTCAAGATTTACATTCATTAGACACCACATGTTTGATATCTGTCTAAGAGTCATGTTATTATATACAAATAATCGAGAATTGTCGTGATAAACGTTGAATTTCTATAAGTTATTTGTGTTGCGTATAATCAGTTAACATGGATACAGTTCGGGCGGGTAGTGCGCCAAATCTAACAGCATATTTGGAAATGGACAGGATTAATAGTACATCCAAAAGGACCGACAAAAAACTCACTAAAAGGTAAATATAATTTTAAATATTAGATATAGCTATAAAATATTTATAAGCCTCATCAGTCTATATTCCAAAGCTTTGACTTTTAGACAGTCTAATTTTATACCCTTTCACTGGTAAAAATATAGGGAAAGTATTAAATAAGATGCATACTTAACTCGCAATAACTTATTACTTCTATGTGAAATGTTCAGCGCAAAAATAAATTAACACTAAGAAACTTTTTATAAATTATTAACACATTTTTGTACATGGGTCATTTATAAAATAAATAAAATGCTTATCACAAGTGATATAAAATTCAAAATACTATTAATTTTGTTACCTGTGCAATACCACAAAATATGTTGAGATAATGTGTAATAGTTCTTAACGTTTGCATTTGTTGATCTATACTTGAAAATTTCACTTGAATCGATAGTTGCTAAATGCATACTACTACTACTATAGTATTATAGTATGTCGCTTTGTATACATAGCGACATGCTGTGAACATAAACTCCATTTAAGAAATTATATTGTAATTGATTATAAATTTTAGCGTGTTCATAAAAATAATTTACAAAACATTGGAGAATCAATTAGGATACTTTTCCGAAGGTCACTGTATTTTTTTAACCAATTTTTAACAAACCAACTTGCAATCATTTTATTCCTAATAAATATTAAACGAAATAAATTGACAACAAGAACACATTTCTAAAGTTGTTAAAAAAAATAAATAAATAAAATTGAGTCTTGTATTGAAGCTAAAAGTTATTGTGTTAATAAATATGTATGTATTTTCAAAAATATATTAGTTATACATTATCAGTCTCGTATATATTTTTGAAATGCATTTATACCTATAATGTTAAAACATTCAAAATGGTGAGTCATTACTTAATAATATTATTTTTATAATTAAATGTAGTCTTTGTAAAACCTCCAAGATAGAACTATATGTGAGCAGCACACTACAGACTGTGGTAGTGTAAATTGTATTTAAAAATGAAAAAAAAATCATTTAACTAACTATATTAAATAAAAATGTCGCACACTTTTCCATAGAAAAATTGTATTTTACGTAAAAAAATTGAATGTAGTCGAATTATACAAAACACTTTTAGAGTATTTTTAGAGATGAAACCATCCAAAATTAGCTCTTTAAGCATACAAAGCTTTAATGCGTGTTTGTTTTTTACGAGTTAAATCTCTTTTACTTCATTGAATTTGAGAGGTAGTTTAAAGATATATTATTCAATTTCGGATAATTTATCACTAGGAATTTTAACATCTTTGTTAGAGCCGTATGCATTATTTTATTATACCTTTCCTTTTTTCTATTTAATATTTTCCAAATGCAGTTGAGCTACATTGTCTACTTTATTTTAATTACTAAAATTTTTGTGCTGTATTACATTTTATTTAATTATCCATTTAATCCCAAATACTATCTAAACAAAATTAGTTTTTGTTATACACATTATAAGAAAATTCTCTTTTATAAAATATTTCATATGCTATATTTAAATTCAAGGTAACTTGTATATAAATAATAAACTTTTCTTTCATTTTTTTAAACTTTATTACATATAGTTATTTTTAGTTTACGTATACAGAATGATACGTTCATCAAATTGTGCCTAAGCTATATAATTTTGAGCTTTTTTCCTGGCCGTTGTAATATTTTTATTAACATCCCTTTGATTAATGATACGAGTAGACAGTATGATTTAATTTATCGACGCTAAATAGCTCAATACGTCACTAACACGAACAACTTGTACCCTCTTTTATTATTTTTAGTGACATGGAAATGTTCACGATTAATAAACATGATAATATTGTCCATTAGCAAAGATTTCTAAGAGAGCTGGACATATTCAGGCATTAAACAATATGTCAAAAATAGATTATGAAAACAAATACATTTTATTACGAAAAATAAAAAATTTTAAGTCGCATTATATTAAAGTAAAAAAATTTACCTTTCATTATTTTTTTTTCATAAAATGTATATTAAGTTTAACCTAACATGCTTACAAAAAAACCAAATTTTGTAAAAATGGGTTTTCAAAACCTCGGTTTACAATTTCTGAACTCGTACAAAATTTCATTTTTGTCAACAAGACCATGCAATTGGTACATTCTTATCAGTCTATCACATTAATTCTTGAAGTTCGCGAGTTCATATCAACGACCAAGTTTATTGAATTTCATCTTTTGTTTTCAATAATAAATTAACATGTACTCAAGAATCGTGAAAAATTTTGCAAATTTCCGGACATGAATTAATTGATATTTAAAGTCACAAATAGTTTCTATATATTTAAAATACTTCAAACATTTTTTTGCGTTGAATATAATTATTTTTTATTATATTTATTTCGTGGTAGGCATTCAATAAACAATATTGATTATGGGTTATAGAAAATTTAGAATTTTTTAAAATAGTATTTAAATATTATATTTATACACGTTGTGTGTGTAGTTGTACGAATGTGTTAATTGAAAGCACGTGAGCCATTGTCGTCACTTATTTGCTATTGACATTTTTTCGTTCACACACATTGCGATTCGTGTACTTCCACATAGACAATATGTTTTTATATAACACACACAAACAGATGGAAATAACATGACGTTGAATACAGGTATACTTGAAGGTGTTTTTACATGAACAATAAATTAGTAGTAATAAAGCATGCAAACTGTAAGGGAGCGCAAACGTATCGTTAAAGCGTTTGTCGCCATTGCATTGTCGGATTAAGCGCGTCACGTTCTTCGGGCATTAGTTCCAAGAAAAATCGACAATTCGAATACTTTTAATAGTTATTTTATTTTTTATCTCTCACATTCAAATTAATACATTTTCAAACTAATTTTGAACGTGAAATCTAAATTATTAATATTTTCCAATAATCAAAACTAATAGTGATTTCACACAATGTTGATTAGAAAACTGTTCCTACGAGGCAAGCGGATCCCTAAATCGACAACAGAAACACTACCCGAAGATAGGGACGTCAGCAGCTTAAGCGATTCCATTATCACAGCCAGTGAATCGTTAAAAGGTCGTGAATTGTATTTTACTAAAAGGCGAGTAAAGCGCATGCGCTAAAAAATTTACTCAAGCATATATGCGCCTGATTACCAGACCTATAGAAATCATTATATATCTCTATATATAGATTGAGAATTTTAAAAAGAAGAATAATATATATGTTAAGATTTTTATGCTTACTTTAACAGCATTTAAGAAATAATTTTTAATCTATTGAAAGCGCCAATTGACTAATTTAAAATAAAATGTTAACAAAAAATTACTATAGAGTTGGCGGATATTAAGAAGTTTTAGTCCCCTAAATTAAAAAAAATGGAGGACTTAGCTCCTCTAAAAAGTAATTACAATCCTATTTATTAATGAGATGATTAGGACATTTTTCTTGAGGCGATCTAAAAGATTAAATTTATCTTTTATCACTAGAATTATTTCACACAATTTTCGCCTATGATTGAATTAATTGGAAAATCTAGCTAGTAAATAAAAGTCTACACTATAACAAAGTAATATAATTTAAGCTCAAATAATTTTTCTATAATATATTAACTTTTAAAGAGAAATGAATTATTAATATGGGTGGACCTTATAGACATTTCTCCTTTACTAAATACGATAATTTTTCTAGACTATTTTAACAAAAACTGTAATTTTCCAGTTTAGTTTTAAATAAAACATTTAAATGATGTAGGGAATTTTTCGTTTAAAATAAAAATCATTTTTTTTTAAATTTAATACTGCTATTTTAATAAAGCTTTTAGTCGAATTTACTAATTAATAATTTATAAAACCAATGAATAGTTCTTGAATATTATATTTAAATATAGGCGAGAGAATGGCGCAAAGTAGTAATACTTCTATCCAATTGTTTTGATTAAAAAAAACATAACTAGTGATGCTATAAGGAATATACGGCGTATATCCATTTTTAGGTTTTTTGTTAATTTTTTTTTAATGTTGGTTATTGCATGGTTACAATTATCTTGATTATGATATCAAATATTCCGAATACCAGATATTTTATTAAGGCATAAAAACTGTAATTTAATCATAAGTGTAAATAATTGTTGTAATATATATTCTGGGGTTATGATAACTAATATGTGCAAAAAAATGCATATATATATATCATAAAATTTTATCAGAACACCATTGTACACATGAGATTTGAGTTTAAAAAAAAATGTGTAGATTTTGTAAAGATTTAATTTCATTCAAGTGAAAATTAATTTAACTAATATAATATTTTTTTGAAATTGTGTAATTTGTTTAGATTTTATCTTTTGGTAACAACCTCATATGATAAAAAAATACTAAAATGATTAAATATTTACATGTAGGACTACCCTTCCTGCTATATGAAAAAAAAAAATTTAGTAGTACTCAAAATGTTTTTATAAATTATCAATTGAATAAAATTGCATTCTATTGGGACTGTAAGTAAGGTATGGCTTACGAGGAACAGCTTTATTTATAGCCACTGATAATTTATTATTTATTATTAATATATTAATTTATATAAAACCCTTTTAATATATTAAAAAGGTTTTTAAAACTAAAAATATTTACATTGACTGTTTTATAATAATTGTAATTTTTGAAACATTTACCCTTATTACTGGGATTGATAGGGATTTTTCAAAAAATGGTGTTGATAGCTTCAACTAGATATTTTTTGTTTTAAGGTACCATCGAGCAAAATCGATCCAATGTTCCCACAGTAATCGTATACACTAATGCAAAAATGCATTATTATTTTTTATATAAAACTAACTTCCAAAAAACGATTGTTTTTATATTTTCCATCATTAATAACATTTTTTTTTTAAATAACTAAACGTGTACTCAAATTTTATTAATAGTTTATTATACGTTTATGCATATACATACACACACACACACAAATATATATATATATATATATATGTATAATACGATAATCACATAACAGAAGGAATATAATATTCTTCTCCCTTTTTTACTTTTTTATTATAACATAAAATTATGAATAGTTAACTTGAATTGGTACTCATTGGCAATTAGTGCAATTTACCAAAATAAAAGTAACAATTATCATAGAGATACTTCAGTACTTTACATTACAAGATACAGTAATTTTTACATTATTTAGCGTTTTTAATTTGTTAAAGATGAATCATTTTTTAAAGAAAAAATAGTTCCTTAATATATTTTTTTTTTATAAAAAATTTTACATTCACTATACAATTTTCTGATAATTGTCCACAGAAATGTGTTTCCATAAAACTATTGTAGTACAACTTTAGCAAGTCAATGTAATAGATGTGGAATATTTCAACTGACGTTTCCTCACACACATTCTTTAGTTCAAGGTCACGTTGAAACTGATTGTATTTGGGCAAAAATTGTGATTTGCTAATAGTGGGGTTCCCGTTCCGCGTCGGACCGTCTCCGTGATCGGAACCGCGTAACTTATACATGATATAATATTATATTGTTTTCAAAGAATGTACTCGGAATTATTGTTACCACTGTTTTAACAGCAATAATATTCATTACCTATATTTTGTTATATTCTTCCGTATGTAAATATATTTCTAAGGTAAACGAGCGTTCTCTACTAATAAATGAAGTTGATAATAATGTAATACAATTCTATCGTTCTACCAGTTACCCACCTAAAGCACACAGCACAGCACAACGAACGACCACGTACTTCTCAGTAATCGTATCCACTACCATCGTCATTAATTATTTGTTTTTATCTCATAATATTATCATTCGCCTTATTGTTGGTTTTAATTTTAGTGTTTCATGCGAAGTTGTTCAAAACTTAAGGGAAAAATACTGTTTACGAGTAACAGCGGAGTGGTAGTTTCGCCTACCAATCAATTGATGAATCAAGTTTAAAAAAAATTATNTCGCCTACCAATCAATTGATAAATCAAGTTTAAAAAAAATTATAATTTTAACGTTTAAAAACGCATTATTGTACATACTTATTTTTGGTTCATACTATTGTGTTACTACGCTTTTATTTTATATTAGCTCATATAGTTTTTTTTAGTATAAGTAATATGTTAGTGGTCACTTTTGCGATATTCTATAATTGTCTGTTTACCTATTTTCATTAGTTTTCTTTTTAACGCGTGTGCTCTAACGTTCGATAATACTACACAGTTGTATTGTCCAATAAACTGAAAATTATGCGGCAGTGTTTGAGCGAATTCATTTGTAGAACAAAACTCAGCACAAAGCCAAAAGAAAAAAAGTGAGATTTAATCTAAAACGTTAAAACACTTAAACATCTGTTATAAATTAGTGCACATATCTAATTTTATGTTTTTAATGTCGTATTTAATTGTTTTATTATGTGTTTAATTTCTTAATTATTAATTAAGTATTATAAGGGCTTTATAAGCAGACTTAGCAGAAATTAAAAAATTATCACTGAAAAACTAAAATGGACATTTTGTCATAACTTTTCTTTTACAATATTACTAATTAAGGAAAGGATTTATATGTATTTATAAATTTTGTTTGACTCACTTTGGAGGATACTCAAGTTTATGCAATTTTATTGTTAATTAATAGTAACATAAATATTTTTCGTTTTAAGAGAAATGAATCCCCCCAAACTATACCCCTAGTTATAATATATTACTAAGTTTTCAAGCCAATTATTGTCAGTACAGATATGACCTGTTATATATACCATAAAAAATTATATATAGTTCTAAGAAATAAGTAGAAATATATTACACACGTATGTAATTTTTTTTAACTTAAGGTGTTCGATGAATATTAAACTTTTTTAAAACATAAATAAATCAAATTAATGAATTCATTTTGGTTTTCCAGCATGCTATGTATACAGGAAGAACTTGGCCATCTCAGTGTTAAAGATAAAGAACAAGTTAAAGAAAATACAATAGGAAATGGGAAACTTGATTCTGGTGTGTTACAACCAAGTGGATGGATAGAAGGTCTGTTAGGATGTTTAAAACCAATGTGGACAATTATTGGAAAAGGAAATAATTATGATCATAAATCTTTCCAGGGTAATGAATTAAAAATATTTATCAATAAATAATTACAGTAGAACAATAAAATTTATCAGCAAAATAATTATACAGAGTTCTATAATTATACCACTTAAATAAATAAATAGTTTAATTAATGCATTGTGATGTTGTTATGCAACACTTTAAGAATTTCATTTTCATTTTTCATAAAGTATTTATATATTAGATATTGAGATACTTCATCTGTTTAATTTGTATAAACAATGATATAAAAAAACATAATACTTATAAAAATGTATTTTAAATTTAAGTTTATTTATTAAATTTAATTTAATTTAAAAATGACTACTAATTTTTGACTCTCACCATCATAATAAAATATAACATTTTATGATGCAATATTATATTATTTTTATTATTATACTTATATCATAAAATAAGTGCAGACATGACATGTGGACATAAATTAGTAGCTGATAAGTCCTAATGGTATGCTGTACATGTTGCTATAGGCTCACAAATGGGTGACCATATAAGAATTTATACAGCGACAAAAATACTATGTTCTCACTGTAAAAAGCAATGTGAAACCATTGCACTCAATTCTTTTTCTAGTATACACCAGTTCAACTTTTGTTGGCTGTTGTTAAATCAACCTTTTAGTTGAGAAAAAAATTAAAAATATAAACTGTATTTTAGATATTTGGGATATTCCTTTTGAATCGATTAGTGATTTACAATGGTTGGGTTCTGGAGCTCAAGGAGCTGTATTTAGTGGTAAGTTAAAAAATGAAATTGTTGCTGTTAAGAAAGTTCGTGAACAAAAAGAAACAGATATTAGACACTTAAGAAAATTGAATCACCCTAATATAGTACAATTCAGGTATGACTAAATATATATATATACATATTTTTTTTTTATTTGTCATAAATTATTATTAATTTTTATAGAGGTGTATGTACTCAAGCTCCTTGTTACTGCATTGTAATGGAATATTGTCCTTATGGTCCTCTTTACAACCTGCTAAGAGATGGGGAAGAAATACCACCTGTACGTTTAGTATCATGGGCCAAACAAATTGCTTCAGGAATGCATTATTTGCATGTGAATAAAATCATTCATAGAGATCTTAAGAGTCCTAAGTAATTTATTAATGCTTTTTAATTTTATGTCTGAATACTTTTTTAAAATATTTTATTATTATTTTTAGCGTTTTAATTGGACAACAAGAAATGGTCAAAATAAGTGATTTTGGCACAAGTCGTGAGTGGAATGAAATTAGTACCAAAATGAGTTTTGCTGGAACAGTTGCGTGGATGGCTCCTGAAATAATAAGAAATGAACCTTGTTCTGAAAAAGTAGACATTTGGTAAGCTTTTTTGTAACTTAAAAAAGTTTTATTTATTAATAATGCATGCAATCATATAAATGAATTTACTTTTTTAAATTACATTAGGTCTTATGGTGTTGTATTATGGGAACTTATGACATGTGAAACTCCATACAGGGATGTAGATTCATCAGCTATTATATGGGGAGTTGGTAGTAATTCTTTACATCTGCCTATTCCTTCATCTTGTCCTGATGGTTTTCGGTTATTAATTAAACAATGTTGGGCGGCTAAACCACGTAATAGACCATCCTTCAAACATATTATGATGCATTTAGATATTGCTAGTTCACAAGTGTTGGCTAATACACCTGATGAATATTTCAAAACACAAGTAAGAATGAAAAAAATTTAAATACTTTATAAATTTATTTTTATAACTTTGCATGTTATTTATTATGAATATTTTAAAAACTAGGCTCAGTGGAAAGAAGAAATACGGATTCACATGTTACAAATGCAAACAAATGGGAGCCATATACCCAAATTTGAAGAAGATCTTATTAAAAAAAGGAAAAATGAATTAAAACATGCACAAGATATAAGAGAACATTATGAAAGGAAATTAGAACGTGCTAATAACCTATACATGGAACTTAGTGCTGTATTATTACAACTAGAAGAGCGTGAGAGAGATTTAATAAGGTATGGTTTAGAATTAAAGTTTAAAATACTGATATTTTATTTAAATAAAATTTTTAACATATTAGGAGAGAAAAACAAATGTCTAAAGTTTACAAGAAAAGGCTTATCCGACCACTTTTGAAAACTCAAGATAAGTTGAACAAACAAGATAGGTCTATTTCGTTCACAACAACTACACCATCATCTCCAGAAAAAAATATTCAAGAATGTACAGATGTAAATTTTAATTATGATACCTTTCAATAGAATTTTTATCTACTAATACATATATATATATATTTTAGAAATTTCAAAAAGCTACACTTTATGCTCAAGTATGTAATAATAATTCAAATAAATCAGAATCCATTATCATTACACAGAAACAATCTCAGAAAAAATCTCGTTCTAGGAAAGCTCATTTAATATGCACTATTTCCAAGACTCACAAGGTTTGTTAAAATAATATTATCAATTTCTTAATTAAATTTTGTAATTAATGAAAATTAGGTGATTTCCAAAGATCATAACTTATACCACTAAAGTTGTGTTATTTTATGTACTATAATAAGCACATAAAAATATTGTTTTTAGTACATAAATATGCATAAAAAAGACAAAAAAAAAAAATTAGAAATTTTATTTCATAAAAATATTTGCAATTTTAATTCAATGCTAACACCTAGTAAAAATTTACTTAATAAATTTTAAGGATAAAAATATTTATTAAAAAGTTCTATTAAGTACTAACAACCAAGACTCAATTGTATACATTTTTGTCTTTGGCATTCAATAATTTTTTGTCCATCATCTTGTATATTTATTATTTATAATATTTTATTGAGGTTACACAAATATTGAGTGACCCTAAAAACATATGTTTCATGTTTCATAAAAAATGTTATACTTAAAAAAAATTTTAACCATAATTCAGTATAATTTTAAAAGTAAAAAATAGTTTAGATCCAGTAAAGTGGAGTAGAGGCTTCTTTTAGATTAATATTGATAAATATTTGATATTGATTAAAATCACTGTAATAAAACACTTTGATGATGCATATTTAAAACATCTAAAAAAAACTATGGTTTAAAATAATTTAAAATGATGTAAGTATTACATTATTATTCAATGTATTCAATATATTTTAAAATGCAATTTTTATAAAAAAATTGTATAATTTTTGGCTTTAATTTTCTTAGACTGAAATATTGTTTCTGAAGAACAAGATTCCAAAAAAAATAAATTTCACCAATATTATTCTATAAAAACAATAAATAAAGTTTAATTAAAAACAGTAGTTTATGATTTTTTTTATTAATCCAAGTTAATATTCATAAAAAAATTTTTTTAGTATGATAATTCAAAAGAATGGAATTCTTTTCGACAAATAAGTAATAAAGTCAATAGTGAAACTCAGACTGAAACAATTGATTCTGGTCTTCAGCAAGACATGCTTAATGGCAATATGTCTGACCAATATTCCGCCCATTCACAGGTATGTATAATGTTATAATGTTTTAAAAATCCATATAAATTAGAATATAGTTTAAACCAAGGTAGTGGTTGTTAATTGATTTTACTCAATTCATCATAGCAGCAGTTCCTTGAACTATAGAACTTTTTTATTAGTATCACTGCATTGTAATACAAATAAAACAGCTCTGGTATACATTTTGATGCACAATGTAATTTTTTAAGATTGATGCCCCATTTTTTATTAAACAATAATTTTTCATAAAAATGTACAAATTAAAATATGATTTATTTCTATAAACCATAGTAAATATCAAATTTAATATAAAAAAATTATTTAAAAGGGTTAATTTTAGAAGTGACTTTAAAGTTAATTGGAAACCTATTATTATTTTTTTACTATTAAATGAATAATGATAAAAATAAAATTTTGTCTAGTTGTAACTGGTTTTGTTTTATTACTTTTTAAAATATTAGCATTTAATGATTTAAAAAAGGTGAGGATGCATGACACACAGATAAGAACTTTCCTCATTGCGTACATGTCTTGCCTATAACTAAAAAATATATTAACTCCAAAAGTAACAATACAAAAAAAAAAAAAAAAATGTCTATATGGACTATTGGGCATGCATAAATGGTTTTTTTATATAAAGCTTATTTAGATTATTTTAAAATAGTTCTCCACTGAATTTATGTAAAAATAATCAAGGCTTATAATTAATCTACCAAATTTATTGGATTATTAAGTTTTTCATATTAGTTATAATACTATTTAACTTTTAAAATTAATTATTATATATAATATAAATATAATTAAAATTAGAAAAAATATCAATGGGGTAACTATTGTCTAATCCCCTCTAATTTGATGACGTCAACTAAAACAAGAATAAATCAAACTTTTTTGAACAATGAACCTCAATCTCAAACAAAAAGTTTTATGATTTTGTATTTAACATTTTTTAAAATTGTATTAAGTATTTAGTATAACATCACTTATTTGTCTTAGGTAGCATTAGAAAAATTGAACATTTTGAATGTATTTAATTACTAACCGAATTAATCTACAGCCTAATCAGACATAAAAATAAGTTTTAATTTTAAAAAACCTTTGTTAAATTTTAAAAAATGAATGTTAAAGAAGTCTATTTTTTTTTCTAAAAATAAATATATTTAAATAGATACAAACACAATACAATTTAAAACAAAATGATATTAACAGAGATTTAGTAATTTTTGATTATGATATTAAGTAGCATTAGTTTTTCATAGTTCGTATTGATTAAAAGTGTTAAATATATAATTTATTAATTTAATTATTTTTATTAAAATTTGACGTTTTATTTTCTCAAACTTAATGCCTTGCACTTATATGAAAATTCATAAATTTGAGAAGTTTCTACTCCATCCCTAATTTAAATAAATTTTTATCTATATTATAGAGGTTATTTGAAAATGTAGTTGTATCAGTACTTGTTGTCTCTATACCAAATTAGTTTAATAGGTAGTATAGGATAACGGTTACTTCAATGAGCAAAAACAATTATTTTTAGAGAGTTTATACATATATTGATCATTTCCTAGGAAAGAATGTGTAAAAAAAAATATAAAAATAAAGTCCATATTCACCAAAAATAAAAAGATATATTTCTCATTTTTTAACTAGATCAGAAATTAACTATTACTCCTAGCTTTAAAAACGAACTATCAAAAGAGTACCTATTAACTATTAACTTGGTTTTGACAAATCATGTATTGTGAATTAATTGGTATAGGGTGAAGAAAGTTCCTGTAGTAGTGGTGTAAGACTTAGTGATGACGAACATTTAGATAGATTGGGAAGGCAAGTAAATGAAATATTGAATAACAATAGATCTTCAAACTTGGTTGAATTATCAGAGTACTATCAAGATGTAGAATCAAATTCAAATAATTTCAATCTAAAAAGAAAAAGGTTAATTTCTTTATTCTATGAAAGAATGGCTAAAGATTTACATTTGATTCTATTTTTTTTTACAGTGCTAGTAGACGTCCTATTGGGCCTGGCTTAAGAGTACGTCGATATAGGACTGCACAATATTGTCAAGAACTCAATGGAAATTCTTATGCTGCCAATAATTTATTTGACGTAGGCAATTAAAATAAATTTTATAATCTTAAAATTCTTATAACTATTTTATTTTTTTTTAATTATAGAAAAATAATACCCAAGAAGCAGATAGTTCAACTTCAGATTCAGATATGAAAGAAATTGATTTAAAATCTACTTTTTACAATATGTCACATAAATTTCCTGTGTAATACTGTGTATGTATATAATTTATCTATAGGACAATAGTTAAGACCTAGATAAATAATATTTATAAAAATCTATTAATAACAACAAATTGAATTGAAACTATAATAACAATATACATTTATCTTCTTTTTTTTTTTTATAAATTGTATTTATTGTATCCAGATTTAAAAATATTTTTTACTGAAAAAATTTACAACTGTTACCTAATTGATTATTAAAACTATTTAAAACTATTATTAAAAATATTTTTTAATTTTTCTTTAAATATACTAATAAAGCTTTTCAATTATAATTCTTTATAATCTAATTGTTCAATTTAATATAATACTGAAATAGTTTCATAGCTAATGACTTACAGATAGTTTGAATGTTAACAAAGCTTGTAAATGTTCATATTATAAATAAAATTCATGCTCAAATGTTTACTATAAAATAATTATATGCAATTGAAGTAAACATATTAATTTAAAATGTCATTTAATTTATAGATATTTGAAACTTCTGAAGTTAGATTACATTGTTCTTTCTGCATTCATTAAGCAATTCATTGTACTGACGTAGTCATGTTTTATACTGTACTGAACATAATGGTAGTTGCTTAACAATTAAATGAGCAATAATTATTGATCTCTTTTACCATTATATTGTGATGTAATCAATTTGTAATCATACATGTTGTGTATTGTAGACTGACCTTATATTAAGGTAATTTTTTTAGGAAATTATTATATTATATTAATTAGTTATTAGGCTTATTTCTTTATTTTGTATGCTGTAGCAAAACAAAAATTATTTTTATGTATACTATGTTCAATAAAAATATATATATTGTGAATACATTTTTTTTTAAATTTTGAATAGGATTGGATCAAATCCAAACAGTACAACATAATATAGTTGTAATAAATGTGTATAAAACATTCAAAATGATATTATAAAACAATGTGTTTTATACAATAAATATTTTTTAGTTTTTTAATTGATGTTTATATATTATCCATTATATTAAAGTTTGTTCCAAAGAATTCCATAACTTTTATCCACTAATTATATTTTGTTACTTTCTTTTTTAAATAATTTTTACAGTTTTGGACTACATTAAAAACACATTTTTTAATTATTTGTCTCCAATAAAAATAAAAAAAAAAAATTTATTTTGTATATATAGTACTGATGTTTGTGTACTTCCTTGCTCTACATACTTAACGTTTTAAATTGCTTTTAATACTATAAGTATTTATCCTAAAATTGATATTGATCCATCAACGTTTTTTGTAAGAAAAGTGTAAAAAATAGGTGGTTTTACTATGATCTCGCAAAATGACGGCACTATTGGAAGAGCACCATGGCATGTGACGCCATAATCCCCTAAGATTTAGTCCTAAACCTAAGAAAGTTTAAATATTACTGGAACGACTTTTCTGCTCTTTGTATAATTTTTAAACGTCAAAAAATGGACGAAATTGAAAGGAAGAGATCCTTAGTAAGGAAAGTACTTTCAAAATTTTACTCGTGGTTTACAGATTAAAATCTTTAAAGCTGGAATCTTAAAAATTATGATACATATTAATCGTCAATAGATATTAGGGATGGGTAGTTCGTGAGTAAGTCAACTCAAAGAGTTGACTCTTTTAGGTGAACTGAATGAGCTGAATCAGTGTACCATGGTACTGTGACTCAATGACTCAGCGTGGACTAAGAATTGAATTTAGTTTAAAACGTCTTATCAATAAATTCTGAATCATGCGAATTGTGATATATAGATTTAACTTACAGAAGTAGAAGTTGATGGAGTAATATTTGGGTCATCAATCGTCTCTTCTATTACATGAGTCTATTTAATAAATTTACTAATGGATGCTTAGATTTAATATGTCTAGTTAAATTTGAAGTCGAAGAATGGTTATTTTTTAATTATATACGACAAAGTCCACACTTTACATGAATATTAACTGCTTCAAGTTGAAAAAAATCCCAGATAACACTTGATTTATTCATTTTAAAATGAAATAAAGTACCTTCGTAAATTAAATAAAGTGTTTCACAATTTTCGATTTTGTGCACAAGATTTATTGTAATCACAGGAAACAGCATTGACACAATGAGAAAATTTTAAATAAATGACACTAGATTATACTTAATATGTCAGTTTTTAGAACAATTTCCATTCAAAAATAGACCTGTAATTGCATACAAGAAAATTTTGAGAGAAGTGACCTATTTTTCTCACTGCATGCACTAAACATTAAACATTGATGTTACAAACCTACATTGTATTTGTATACCTAATTTAACACATAAATAAATCTATGTGTTGATGTTAATAATAAAAAAATAGTGTTTTTAGATTTTAAATTTACTCTTTATTTCAATAATAATTAACAAATTTAAATATAATTAGTAAAAATATTAAACAATTTAATAGAAAAATATTTTATAAATATCAAATAACCAAATAAATTACTTTTTATGTAACTATTGTGGGTATGTATTGAGAATCTAAAATTTTAACAGAAGAAAAAAGGAATCAAACTATTGAATGATTTGAAGTTTTAACTTAAAATTAGCTCAACCATCTTATAGGTAAAAATCAGAGTTTGAGGCCCATTATCTCATAAAATTATTAATTAGTAATAACCAACTACTTTTTCCATAATGTACATACAATTTGAATTTGATTCTCATTTCTTTCGCGCTTTAATTTAATTCCAATATATATAAACAAATAATGAATAAAAAATTATTAATAGCAATATTACATTTCATTTTACAATAGTAGTTAATAAATAATAATTATTTACAATGAGTAAAATAAATTATTATTCACATTTGTGTAAAACAATAATTCATTGATATTTCATATTTAATATTAATCTAGCTATGATAACTATTAAGGCGCATTTAGAAGGCACTCTATGAGTATGCCTTGCGAGTTGCGAGTTGTAATTCGCGTCCACAAACTTCTACAACTTACGAGTCAGAATCGCGCCTTAACTATTCGACGATTTGGGAGTTGGGATTTGGAGTTGACTCACTGAGTCAACTCATTTGAGTGAACTGATTCATATCAGTGAGTCAAAAATCCCATCTCTAATAGATATACATTTTCTGAACTTATCATAGATAAGATAAAAGTTTTATCTTATCTGAGGAATTATGGACAGAATAACATAACCTCAAAATATTTTGATTTCCGTCGTTCATTATTCTCTTTAACTACTATAAATAATTATTTATGAAAAAGTAAGAAAGTAATATATTTCAAACATACTATTGAAAAAATTGAAGTATTTATTGTATTTATATATTCCAAACATTCTGAATTAAATTTTTTTGCATTGCATAATGTTTTCAAATTCATTAGTCAATTTTTTCAAGCAAGGAATAAACTCCTCTAAAATCTTACACAATGTTGTCTGTAAGTCAATCATGAATTTCTAATAGTATTTTTTGCAGTCGAATTTATAAAAAACTCAAATATATGTACAATCTAGTTTTAGTCATTATTAAAATCATTATATGAAAGACAGCGATGTTGGTGAAACTTAAAATTATTATTTAGTTTTTATATTAAATTAATAATAAAAAATAAATTTTTTTGAGTATACTTTAGAAAATCTATATAATTTTTAAATTCGGATGTTTTATCTTATTTTATGAATTTTCACTAAAGTAAATTTTAATTTTGTACTCTATAGACTTATTGTTAAGTTATGCATTACGCTAATTTTTATCCTTAATAGAACAAATACATTTATTTCAAATTATGATGATAATTGGTGAAACAATGAATTGTGCCAAATAAAAATATTACTTAATAATTTATGATAGTATTAAAAATATTTAAGTTTTACTTTATATAATTTAAATATGGATAACAACGTTATATATTATTAGAATCCACAAAACTAGTAAATTTTAAATCTATGTTTATAATATGTTATTAGTAATTAATTAGTGTTACCTTAGGTCCCTCCTGAAAATAGATTTTAAAAGCAAAGATTGAGATGTTATCTTTTAAAAAATTTTTATTTCAAATTAAAATATGAAATATTATATTCAAAGCTTTACTTAATAACAAGTTCTCGAAAAAATTTTAGTTTGTTTAATTATTAAAAAATGATAAATTACTTTTAGATAAATATAATATTTTTTGTTTAGGTAAACGTAACTTATATGAACCAGCAGCAATTGGGATAGATAAATACCAATTTTATAGAGATAAACTTAGTAATCAATATTCTGAAGTTGACAGACAGACATTTTTCAAACGTATGACTTCATTTTCTGATCCAGAATCTCTTAGTTTAATATTTACTGAAGACCTAAAGCAAATTGTACATATGATAAATGATAATGAAGAAGAACTTTCACTTGTTGAAAAAATGATGAAAAAGTATGTAGAAAGAATAAATTTAAACTTAAGATAAAAATTGTTAATAATGCAAATGGATTGAAGGAGTAAATCAATTACTTCTAAATATTTATACTCTATTTTCTAACTAATTTTTATGATCAATGACTAAAAATTGTTTATCATCAATGATTTATAGATTTAATCAACAAAGTAAAGGATTACGTTTTGGAAACTTTACATTTGGACCAGTTGTAATGCGGATGTACTATCATCTTAATAAACCTGAAAGTGCTTTGAAAGTAAGAATGTTTAAAAAAATTTTCTTATGTTATTTTTATCCACTTATTGTAATTTTACTATACTATACTCTTACATTAATTTTTTTCATTACAATAAATATCAAGATTGTATCTTAAACTAGAAGTTAAATGATTAATTGTTTTTTGAAATTTTCTAGATGTTTTTTGAACCAGAATTAGAAGGATTTTTTAATCATTTAACATCTTATCAAATATTAATGGACTTATTATTTATTAATGCAAAGTATGATGAAATATTAAATGTTTACAAAACAATACAAGAAAGACAGTTGCAAATCGCTAAATTTCCTAAAGGAGTTATGATGTTAGTTTATGCTGCGTGTTATAAACTGGTAAGCTTAATTTTATTTTTGCTTCATGACAATGAAAAACATTTTTAAAATAATTGTTCCATGCATAAATCATGAAAAATAAACTCATATGACTGAGTTACATAATTAAATTTTTTGTCCTAATAGATTTTTTAAAATTTTTAAAGAATACATCAGAAGCATTTGAGTATGCTTGTAAATTGTGGACTGAACAACAAGAAGCTGGTCACATACCTATTAGAAAAACTGTTACTTTTTTTGCTGCTAACGCATTAAATCAAAACAGCCCTCATATTGCTCTAGAAGTAATTTCAACTATTAGAAATCAGGCATATGTGACACTTCGTAACATTAAAGTTGTTGCTTTAAGTGATTTGGGAAGAATCCAAGATGTTTTACCGATACTAAGAAGTGTTTTATCTTTAGATCAGCCTTCAGATAGTTATAATATAGCTGTTAAACAGACATTTTGTAGAGATGTTGTAAGCATTGATTTATAGTTTTAGAAATATTATTAAATTCTACAAGTTATTTGTTGCCGTCTGGCAACAAGTTATTTGTTGCCGTCTGGCAACAAGTTATTAAGTGATAACTTTATTATTTATTTTTAATTTTTCAAAACATTAAATTATTTAAGTTTTTGAAGCATTAAAAAAAAAAAAAAAAGTTGGTAAATTCTTGCATGAAGGCACAATAAATTAAAAAATTAATTTATTTAATAAAATTAAATATAATTTATTTGTTATAATTCTTAATGAATTAATTATAATTTTATATTTATTCTATTTCCATGTTCTCTGCTAAAAAAAGTTTAATAATTTTTTTTTTTTTATGAATAACTTTCAGCTAAAATTTTATAGACCTTGTATTAATGAAATTGCATTCATATTAAATTTAGATAAATATAGTTAAAAATGCAGTTGAAAAAAGCGACAATGAAGGAATTATGATGGAATTCAATAGAATATTAAGTCAATTTGATGAATTAAGCATTATATCAGAATCTGTAAGTTACATTTAATGTATATGATAAAGATTTAATGGTTAAATGTATTATTTTCAAACACCCATATCTTTAGTTTTGTGCTGATGTTTTGAAAAATTGTTAAGTTCATCTTCAATGCAGTAGTTACTGCTTTGAAGTTAATTGGACATAAGTACATTATGAATACTAAAAACATGGATTTATTTTTAAAATATTCTAAATAACATTAATATGTATTATTTAAATTTTTCTAGTTCCAATTCTTTAATAATTTTTAAATGTTTTCATTTTAGACACTCGATTCAATTCTTTGTTCTAATGTTAAAATGATTGAACGTCCAGATAAAGATTTTCGTCAGAACACTATGGTAGCTGCTAGTTATGACAATAGTAGACCATTTAAAAAACGCGAATACAAACGCCCTGGCCTAAGTGAAATGTTATAGTTCTTATTTTAAATATTTCATGTTTCTTTAGAATAAAATGTATTATTTATAATTATCAAAGTCAACCTACTTAAATTTTTTTTTTCTATCAGTTAGACATATATCTTTAACATTAATGATTTTGCAACGCCATTTTATACTCATTTATAAATTTAAAAAGAAGTTTTAAAAATATATCTGTTCTATAGATTGAAACATAGAGAACATATTGTATTAACAAGGCTTGTTACACATAGGATAGATAAACTCAACAAATATAGAAATATCTTTCCTTATCTAGAATGGGCTGCAAATCTTGATTGAATTAAAAAATTATTTAATGAATGTTTGATTAAAATCAACTTTTACTATCAGATTATTATTTAATAATATAAGTTATTGATTTTTTCATAGGCCCAAGTTGAGCCAAACCTTTGGGATGTTAAAATTGTTAAGTGTAAAGTTGTGTACCATACTCCTGTATTCAATTTTACTTGAAACTTCCAAGTAATGAATTTCTCTTAAAATAATAATTTTGAAAACAAATGTTTTGATTTTGTTTAATATTGGTTATTTCTCGATATTTCAGGAGTTATAATCTTTTTTTTTAACTTAGGTGGGAGGGAGAAGTAGTGCAGTAGAACAATACATAATGATAAAAATAACACAACCCACATTTCTTCTAGTCTACAAATAAAAATATTAATAGCATCTGAAATATTTATATTACCATTTAAAAAAATGTACCATTATAAGGAATAAGGCATAAAACTAAAAAATATTTAATCAATGGAAAATTAAGGAACAAATACTACTTAGATATACAAAAATAGATTTTCAAATTTTTATTTTAGAAGAAATCTAGTGGTCAACGATAAATAAATCATCTGTAGAGATTAAAATAATATTATTGAATCATTTTATTAGTTGAATTAAAAAATATTTTTATTATTTCAAAATATTAACTTATTTTTTTCTTATAAATTCAGTACTAAGTAAGAATATGACTACAAACCAAATAAACTTAACTTGTTTTTTTTAACTTTTAAGGGTAAAAAAAAATTATTAACTGAATCGGGGATAAAACTTGAGTATTGCCATAGAATGTCAAAAGATTAAAATGAGGAACAGTTCAGTATTTTATTTTATCACTTTTGATACAACATATAACATTAACACGGCCGCCGGGGATTGAAGGCTGGTTATAGAAAGTGTACCGGAAATCATGTGAAAAAAAGAGACACGGTACGGGATTAGAACCCGCGACCCAAGGCGTCGTAAAGACAAACCTTACCACTAGGCCACCGTGCACTTTGATTCAGATACCGATACACTTTCATTTAGGTTGATAACGTGATGTGCGATTGAGGGAAACATGGTACCGTGTCAACATACAAGGAAAGGTAGAATATTTCTGGGTATTCTCAAAAATGTAATATACAACAGATTTATATTACAAAAAACCTATAAAATAAAAAAGAAAATTATCTCTGATAAATATTTTCGAAAATAAAGCACTTCAATACCTTGATATTTTTTTTACACCGGTATATTATAAACTTTATAACAAAAATATCTTTCAATTTATACTAACATTTTTGAGTTTAAGTTTTTATATGAATTTTTCTTGATTTATATCAATGCAAGGCTTGGAAAATAATTTTTGAAATTGAATAGGCTTATCAATTTTTTTCAATAGTTGACACTCAAAAACACTAATATATACGTTATATTCACAAATTGTGTTTACCATGTTATAATAAGGATTATTTTATAAAATATATTTTTATTGAATTACCATTATTTATAATGAACTATATCACCATAATTATTTAAATTATTTTAACTATTTTCTATAATGTTTTAATAACATCTTTTTTCTTATAAGATTATTTACACATTTTAAATTCTTTATTTAAAGCATAAAGTATTTATTATTTCTTTTGAATTTTTTTTATAAAATATTATAGAGAGCATGTATCAGAAATTTTTTTTTTTTTTAGTGTTATACAAAATAGAACAATTAATAAATATAATTAAAATGATGTTTAGTAATCTTTCAAGTAAAGAATAACAGTTAAAAAATATAAACATAAATTAATATGACGTTCAAAAAAAAAAATCATTAACATTGAGCTTAATATTTATTTGACCTTACTTATTAGTATTTTATTCAATGGCATCAGTTTTTGTGACTGAGTAAGGTACTGGAATAGCAGTATGACCACAATCTACAATTGTGACATCTTTAAAGGGTTTATTTCTTGAGTCTGTTTCTTCAGATTCTATTTTTCTAATAGTTTTCTATAAAAAAAGTTAATTAATCAATTAAAAATAACTAATTATAGTACAAAAATGATTTTAAAAAACATTGCAGAGATTTTAATAAAATAGTAGTTCATTAATTTTTATAAAATATGAGAAGCGATTAAAATAAATTCATAACATTAAACAAGTATAAACTAATCTAAAATATTAATAAATAAGACAATTTACCATTCCTTTGACAACTTTTCCAAACACAACATGGCGTTTATCTAGCCAAGAAGTTTTTACAGTAGTAATAAAGAATTGAGATCCATTTGTATTTTTTCCAGCGTTAGCCATTGATAACCATCCAGCACCATAATGCTTAAGCTTGAAATTTTCATCATCAAATCTTTCACCATAAATACTACGTCCTCCAGTACCATCGCCTCTGGTAAAATCTCCTCCTTGGATCATAAAATCTTTGATAACTCTATGAAATTTACTACCTTTATAACCTTCTCCTTTTGGTTTTTGAGCTAACTGAATGAAATTTTCAACAGTTATAGGGACAGTTTTACCAAACAATCCAATTTCTACACGTTCTGGATTGTCAGAACCAATTTGAATATCAAACCATACCTGAATGTCAAAATATATTAAAGATAATAATATAATAATACAAGGTTTAGTAATTGGCCTTATCTAAAGTATAGTACCTCTATGAAAGCACTTAATGAACAATTAAATAAATAAAATCTTTAGAGTAATTACTTACAACATCTGTGATTTTTGGTCCTTTTTTTTCATCCTCAGGTGTTTTTACACCGAGATCGCAATAAACAATAGTAATAACAATGAAAATAGTTGCCGGTACGATTGCCCATTTAATCATAGTCATAATTCTGTAAGAAAATAGTCGCATACACACGAACTAAACACTTAAAGTAAAGCTAACAACTAGTAAGAATTAAAGAATTATAATGACGTGTCGTTTAAACAAGTTACAAAGCACAATTTAACAAATCACCGTAACAAAAATTCGTGCTCCTACTGATACAGAAGAACTATCTCCTTTTCCCAGCTGGGTAGGGTTATATACAAATCGATGTTAAACTATCGATATAAATGCAATAATAAACCTAAAAATTAATAATTAAACCAAATAAGTTTCGAATTAATTAATAACGAATATAATTTCATTATGTAACTTAAAATTCTTCATTATGTTATTCAATAAAAATTTAATTGCAACATCAGTCTTTTTTTAAGTCAATAACTATAAATAAAAATTATTTAGATGATGAAATATATTTTTGTATCGATATAAAACAGAATCGAAAATTTGTGCTAGGTATGAGATTTATTAATATTGACCAAACAAAAGCGAACACGATTTTTGTAGATTAATAGATAGTTCCGTTTGCAGTGCAGATAAATTTATTTTAAAATCATTGACTGGGAATTTGTTACAATGTACTTTTAGATACTTAAACATGATAACTACATTACAATTTAGGGTTGGAAAAATAGAAATTATCTTAATAATACTAGTTACATATGAAATAGCTAGAAATTTATTGCAATTGTGTCTCAATATTTTTAGATATTTTGTGATTTATAAGATGTAGTTAAAACAGTAAAAAAAAATACCAAGTTGTTAAATTTTTTATTTATTATTTTAAGTTATTTACTCTTTTAATTACAACAGAGTAAAATACTAATTAAATATTTTTTTTTTTTATAAAATATTTCACTGTGTAAAAACAACTAACAAATATTTTCTGTCTTAAACAGTGGCGTATTTTGAATGATTTCTCGGGTGGTGTCCAACTTTTAATGAACCTCACAAACGAAAATTATAGAAATGTTTACTGACGTAAAAAAAACTTACTATTTTTCTAATTACTATTTTAGGAATTGACAAATAATTTGAAGTTTGAAATTTTGGTACTGTTGTATCTTAAAAGAAACAACCCTAGTGTCTTAACTTAAAGTAATAAAAGTTTAATAATAACTCAAATGTATTTATTATAGATATAATTAAACAATGCAAAACATACAAAATAAATATACACTAAAAACACAATAAAACAATACACAAAATGAAAACTTAATGTCATAAACGTACCGCGCGAAAAGAGATTACCGTCGGTGCTCCTGAGGTCCTCTCTCCTCTACAATTCATTCCATTTCGTCTTATATACTAAAATATTTTGTTTTTCTTCTTTTTGCAAAATTAATAATACTATCGTTTTCAAAAATGTTTATAAATATTTAATTCCTGGTCTAGTAATAATAGATCAGGAAATTACAATTAAACGAAACATTACAAAAATGTTTTACTTCCAGCTTTACAAATAATAAACTATATTACAGTATACAGATTGATTTTTTTATCATACCCACTCATTTACTTGTAGAATAAATATAATTTAAACATTATTCTTGGTTTTCTTTAGTTACACATTATTCTTAAATTATTAACTATTTAAAACTTTTTATGTTCATCCCTTATGCCTTGTAAGGGTATTAACTTTGTCTTTTAAATGGGAACACATTATCAATTATGACTATCATAGATATACTTTCTGTATTGTCAGTTAGTGTATTTATAAACTCACAACAATGTGCCTTACTACCATTGATAATAACAATGCTGTGTACCTGCTAATTTCTTTGAAGTTGTTTTAAACAAAGTAACTCATAACTAAATACTTTATTTATAATAAGTAAACAAATAATAAAATCTACTTTCAGTATTGATGTTCGTAAATTACTTGCTTTTGATGATGTTTCAGACTCATTCCACTTCGAAATTATAAATAACAATTCAACATTAGGTACACAAAAAGCTCAAGAAAATCATTGACAGCATAAAAACGTTCAACTTATTTAGTCACGCATAATTGTTTTAATGATTTTTTAGTTATACATTTTTGACTTTCTTCGATTTGACTTTTCAACACATCTTTTCGCTTTGGGTATATGAAAAAATCTCTAACTTTAGATGTTGTTCCTAATCAATTTCGTGTTTCTTGTATAGAAGATGAATAAGAAATAGCAAGGTTTAAAACATGAACAGCACAATGAACAAACGTCGCAAGCGGATAACTTTGGTGAATAAGAGATTGAGCTCCGTTAAATTGACCAGACATAGAAGCACATCCATCGAACACTGTCCTCTAAGGTATTTTGTTTCTACACCAAATGAATGTAAACTTTGAATAATAATATATAAACCTTTTCCAGTAGTATCTGTTGTAAGCACAAACTGAAGAATTCTTAAATAATTTTATTACAGGATTCAATTATTTCATTTTGAAGTGTTTCACTTGTATATTTTATTGTTTCTTCAGCTTCCAAAAATGATTTTAAACGGTCATCTCCTTGGGTTCTGTATCTTAATATTTCTCTAAAATTTCCTTGATTTTCTTGGATAATTTGTCATTTTCTTGATATATATTGAAGTTACAAAGATAGCCGTTATTGTCAAAAAAAAAAAAAATTATAATTATAATAACATTAGAAATGAAAATAATAATTAAACGTATAAGGTAGTTAAACCCTAAAGTTATTTTCGATTTGTTAAAGTCGTTAAAATTAATTCAAATCTCCTGTTATTTTCTTTTATCAGAATTATTATGTCATTAATTCAATTATTAATTAAATTGTTAAACTATATTATATATTCAACTTAATAAATTTTTATGTTGATTATAATCGCATGGCATGATGTTTTTTGTTAATAACTAAATGGAAATAGCAATTTCACATGGGCAAAATTTTTAATAGTTGCAAGAGAATAAATCCAAACGTTGATATTTTATTTCATACAGATTAAATTTTATATGCATAAATATTCTGTTAACCGATATCAAATTTATTCCACTTGAACTTTCATAAAAAAATCTCTATCATTTGTAAACTAATGTAATAAATAAACAAACAAATACAAAAGGTTTTTCTTCAAAATATCTTTAAAATATATATATATATATTTTTTTTTTGATAATTCTCTGTATTATTCTTAAAATATTGTATTCTTTGACCAATAATACAATTAAAATAAATAAGTATTGTTTATACTAAATTTATTTATAATTGGCTTATACATTTTTTTAATGAATTTTTACAATTAAGTTTCCTTGACAATTAGATGTAAATGTTGATTTTATCGACATTTCAGTTCACTTCGTTTTTTCCCGTGAAAAATAAACTATCGTCTTGTGTAATTATTAAGATTTATTTAATTAGTTATTGATATGGCAAGTGAAAAAAATATTTTTGGTCAAACAAATGAATCAAACTTACATAAGGTCATACGCAGAGTTGAAGAAATATGGAATCGTCGTTTCATGCATTCCAATTGTGTTTTAAATAATACAAATAAAGGACAAATATCAAAAAAGTCAACTAAAGATGGAAGAATTATCTGTAAACACTATTAAGATTAATAATTAAACTAACTATTTCGAATAGAGAAAAAGTTTTTTAATATAAAATATAAGAAAAATTAATAATAAGTTCTCTTATTCATATATAACAATAATTCAGTCGCTTTACTTTAATTTAACTATTTTAATATTAAAAACCTTTTTCGAAATTGATTATTTAATTAATAATTATTAAAATTATATTCAATTTGCAGCAATTATTAATAAAAATATTTATCCTATAAAAAATTCCATTATTCCAAAAAAACGCACGTATCGAAAAACGAATAAAAATGATAAAATTATTCCAGAAAAATTGGTAACTATAATTATATTAATATATTTATTCGATTTAGCTATGTTATTGGGGTTTGTCTGATTCAAAAATATAAAATAAACTATCAACCCCCTTAATATAAATGCAGTAACATAATGTTTAATATTATTCTGCTATTTTTTCTATTAGATTTTTATGGGAAATTCAATTTTTATCGAAGATAATAATATAATATTAAGTATAGTTTATTTGTTTATTTAAATATCTCTTTGGTTACCTAGAATATGATGCAGCAAAGAGAATTCGGAACACTTTTTCAGAATGAAAAATCTGAAAAATATAAAAATGAAATTTTAAATTCAACAGAAAAAAAAAATATAGCAATTTCAAAAGACAATCCGCTATTAATATCAGCTGATTTGTTAGAAAAGGTATATTTTATTATGCTTTATTTCAATAAAAAGATTTTAGGGTATACCCTAAACCATTTTTTGGACTTAAAGCAGATTTCTTAAATAAATTTATCATATAATTAAATATATTTTTATGATCCGTTAAGAGTTTTCATAAGAAAAATTTGGAACGCAAAAAATCCGAAATAAAAAAACAACTTTTTGAGATATCTTCTAATACTACTGCTCGACCAAATTTAAAAAGAAATTCATCCGAAGAAGATGAAAAAGTCATAAAAAGTATACAACTTTTAAAATATAATTCATTTTTAAAAAATATGAAGTTTTGATTTTTGAAACAAATATGTAATATTTTTAAACATAAATTATTTTAGAGCCAAAAGTTAGTTCTAATCCTTTGACCTTAAATACGCCGAATGACGTAAATTTACTTGCTCTGTCCACTATTGAAGTAATAAAAGTACCAGAGAAAGAAAAAGGTAATTAGTTATTTAATCTATTTATTTTATGTAAAATTAAATAAAAAAAGATTATTTATTAAACATAATTAATTATAATAATACGAGTTAAATTAATATAACTTCTGCAGAGGCGTGTCATTAAGGGGGTCCATGGACGTTTTAAACAAAAGTAATTATACGTGTTTAATTTCATATTCCAAAACCTTAAATAAACCTAAATAATAGTAAACTGTTCAACAAAGTCTTTTATTAATTTTATGAAAAATGTTTAAATATGGTTACACTTGCAGAAGTAATGCAAGATCAGAACACAAAATCTCTTGATCAGTATAATGCACCTTCATTTAAATCGCCCACATCATGGTATACTTCAGACACAATTAATGAGTACATTAAAATGATAGTAAAACGGTCAGAAGGTGAAGTTTATGCAGTTGTCACTGATTTTATTGTAGCGTATCTTCGAGGAGGTTATCCAGCTGTAAG